TCATTTTTATTTGAGGTCCTAGAAAAGGACAACTTGCTTATTTCTATTAGTAAAATTTCTCAGTGATCTCTTTAAATTTACAGAATAACTTGGGTTGGTAATCCTTTCACGTCTGTGCTGGCCAGCTTCCAAGCTGACCCTCAGCGGTCCCCCACCGTATTCCAACCCTGGTGTAGTCCCCTCTCAAGCCGAACCAGCAATGACTTATGGGAGTGAAAGGGTTCCTGAACCCAGTTTCAAGGGGTGTGTGTATGGAGGCTTCTTTACATCAACAAGCAATTCCCAAATATCAAGAGATGTCCGAGAATTCAACCCAACTGTGACACTATCTACCCAGAGACAGAATCAGATGCCACAGGTAAAGGGCTCGGACCCACGAAGCCGCCCTCAACTTCACATGCTGCCAATGGCAGGTCCGACAGCCCTCTCCTCGGGTTCCATAATTCGCTAGAACAGATCAGAGAACTTAGGAAAACATTTACTCATTAGATTATTGATTTATTACAAAGGATATTAAGGATATGAATCAACAGCCAGATAAAGTAATGAAGTGAGGACCCAAGGAAAGGAGCGTTTGTCCTCATGGAGCTTGGGGCCCTGCAGGGTGGCCCATGCAATGACTCTGGTTCCCCAAAGCAGAAGCACCCTGAACCCCCTCCTGCTGGGTTTTCGTGGAGGATTCATTACAAAGGCCTGATTGATTAACTCATTGGCCATTGGTGATTGATTTAACCTCTAGCCCTCTCTCCCCTCCCTGGAGTCAGGGAGTGGGATCAAAAGTTCCAGCCCTCTATTCATGGCTGGTTCCCCTGGCAACAAGCCCCCATCCCAAGGCACTTCCTGAAAATTATCTTTCCTTAATGTGAACATGAAAAGGGGCTTGTTATGAATGTCAAGACACCCATTTTCACCTTTATGGCTCTGAAGGGCTTTCAGAAACTGAGGACGAGAAAGCAAATATTATATCAAAAGATGCTCCCACTGGTCTTATCACTCAGGAAACTTCAAGGGTTTTAAGGGCTGTGAGCCAGCCACTGTGGCTGAAGACCAACTATACCTGAGAATATATTTTGGTCATCTAAATGGCCAAATGGACATATTGTTGTAAGTCACAATATCTCAATCACTGATAGGATAACAGCAGAAATTTTGGTATGCCGCTCTGAGATCAGGTTATAAAAGGCACCGCAACTTCCATCTTGGTCTCTTGCTCTCTCTCTCGGGTCCCTTGTTATGGGGAAAACAGCTGCCATGTCAAGAGCTGCCCTGTGGAGATGCCCACATGGGGGAGGACTGAGGCCTGCTGCCCACAGCCATGCGGAGGAGCCATCCTGAAGGCAGACCCTCTAGCCCCAGTCCAGCCTTCACAGGCCTGCAGCCCCAGCCGCCAGCTGTAACCTCGTGAAAGACGTTGAGCGGGAACCACCCAGCTAAGCTGGTTCCAGATGCTCGACTCTCGGAAACCGCATGAGGTAATCAATATATGTTGTTTTCAGCTTCTGTGTTTTGGGGTCATTTATTCGAATACACATGGTTTCAAAACATTTTTAAAGAATATAACGAAAGCTCTTTGACGTAGCCCCCAGCCACTCCCACTTCTCCTCTAATTTATAGACAACCCTTGGGAAATGTTAGGTTTACTAGCTCGGGGACAGAAGCAGAGAAGCCCGGAGCCCCTCTCCTAGGTGGTCAGATCCAAGAACGGCGGTAGCGCTAAAACTGTGCCCTTCTCTCTCCGCAGGAACCGAGCCATCGGCCTTTTTGAACCCGGTTGCTGCCTTTCCCTGCCAAAGCCTCAGACGCCCATGAGCACCCCCACATCCTGTCACAGGTCTGGGGGTGGGGGCTTCCCCTCCTCACATGCTAGTGGAAAACATTGCCCGGCCTTTTTCTTTGACCCATACAGATCAGAAATCAACCACTTGCCTCTGAACATGGAGTCCCAGCCTCGTGCCCGGCCTCCCCTCCCGTAGTGCTCACCCTCCATCCTGCCCCGGCCCTGCACCCCAGACTTCCCAATCTGCTCTTCCTTCCCGGACATCGCTTATGTGGACCCCTCTGTGGGCCCTGAACACTCTGCCTCAACTCGCCCTTCAGGAAATAATCACCTTTTTTTTGTTGTTATCCTCACTGAAGGATATATTTATGGATTCAATTTTTAGAGAGAGAGGAAGGGAAGAATAAGAGAGAGAAGCGTCGATGTGAGATAGAAACATGGATCAGTTGCCCTCTGTGTGCACCCCAACCAGGACCAAACACGCAACCTAAGTGTGTGCCCTGAATGGGAGTCAAACCTGCAACACCTTGGGGCATAGGATGGTGTTCTAATCAACTGAGCCGCCCAGCCAGGACACAATCACCTATCTTCTAGACTCAACCCCCAAACATCTTCATAGGCCTCCTTGCTTCCCACCTGGCCCCCAGCAACCAACTGTCCCCCCCACTCCAGAGAGATTGAGGGATGGATGGGAAACTTGGGGTAGTGCTTCCCATTTTCCTAAGGTGGAGTAAGCAGTCTCCACCCCACCTCTGCTGCCGAATGCAGCTCCAAACCCTGGACAGAAGGCATAGAGCAGCTCACCGAGGCCCCTGGAAATTCAACAGCAGCAGGCAGACTAGGGAAGAATAGTAGTTAAGGCACCACCAATTCGGAAGTGAGTTTTTTCACTTCGTTTTTTCCTCCGATAGTCCCTAGTCTGGTCTCCATGCACCTAGAAGTGTGCATCAGTGTGAACAGCAGAAACCCTCTAGTCTGGTGCTGGAAAACTGAAAAGAGGACTCCGAATACTCAGAGACACTCGGGAGACCCCTATTTCTTTTCTTTTGTCCATTGTCTTGTGTCTTAGCCCCCAGGCCATCCCATGGGTGGCAGAGGTGGTGGCAAGTGCCTACAGGAGCCTGAAAGTATGAGAAGAACCTTCCTCTCTAACTGGAAGAGCTGTGGGATGAGCCCCTATTGTTTTGGCCCCAGATGCAGCTGCAGTTGTGGGAAATTCATATCAAAGTTAGGTAAACAAAGCCTCAGGGGACCGGAAAGTCCCCGGGAAATCTCTGGGAGGGAAGTTAGGGAAAGCAGCCCACGAGGTTATTTATGGACTCCTGGGCTCCCCCCCTAGTGGAACATGGGTAGGTCTGCCCTCAACCGCTTAGAGGAATGAATAAGGAGCTGGGCCACTGCGAGAGTTCCAGGTTGACCTCCGTGTGACATGCGCACGGGGCTGATGCCCATGGCATCACAGAGCATTTGAAAACAGGACTGACATTGGAACTCGTAGAAGGCAGGTGGAGTTTGCAACCTGAACCCACTTTGCCAACTGCCTGCTAAGAAAGAAAGAGCAGTATTTCTCCGTGGATTTAAATGAGGCCCAGAGCTTATAGTGTAATATTAAAAAAAAATATCCAGGACAAATGACTCACCATACAAAGAAGCGGGAAAATCTCAGCTTGAGTGGGAAATGGCAATGAAAAGATACCCACATCAAGGATTTGAAAAAGACCTCCAAGGAGCAGTGATAAAAATACTCGAAATAGCCCTGGCTGGTGGGGTTCAGTGGATTGAGCGCCTGCTGTAAACTGAAGGGTCCCCCGTTAGATTCCTGTTCAGGACACATGGCTGGGTTGTGGGCCAGGTCCCCAGTGTGGGGCGCATGAGAGGTAACCACTGATGTTTCTCTCCCTTTTTCTCCTTCCCTTCCCCTCTCTCTAAAAATTAATAAATAAAATCTTTAAAAACAATACTCCAAGGAGAGAATGGGAGTTAGTGTTTACTGGGTACAGAGTTTTGGTTTGGAGAGAAGAGAAAGTCTGGAGACGGACGTGGTGACGGGCTCGCAACGACATGTTAGTGCCCCCGAACCGTGCACTTAAGATGGATTTAAATGGTAGATTTTGTGCTATCGTGTTTTACCAAAATTTTAAAAAATACTCCAAGTAAGGATGAAGACTCTGAGATTTCCTCAGCTTTTTTTTCTAAATAGAAGATAGACATATACCAAACAGAAATTTTTGAACTGAAAAATACAATAACAGAAAAAAATTTTAATAGTTTATTTATTTATTTTTAGAGAGAGGGGAAGGGAAGGAGAAAGAGTGGGAGAGAAACATCAATGTGTGGTGGCTTCTCATGTGTCCCCTACTGGGGACCTGGCCTGCAACCCAGGCATGTGCCCTGACTGGGAATGGAACCCACGACCCTTTGCTTCACAGGCCCGTGCTCAATCTGCTGAGCTACATCAGCCAGGGCAGAAATTTTTTTTAAAAAACTACATGGATGGGCTAAACAGTAAAATAGAGATGTCGCAGGAAAGAATCTCTGAACTTGAAGACAGATGAATAGAAAGCACCCAATGTGAACAACAGAGAGAAAAACTAAAAAACAACAACAAAAAAACAAGGTATAAAGGATTTGTGGCACAATATAAACAAAAAATTAACATACATATCCTTACAGTAGCAGACATGGCAAGAGAAAGAATGCACTAATGTTTATAGCAGTTCTATTCGTAATTCCCCCAAGTAGGAAATAAGCCCTTTAACGGGTAAACGCATAAACAAACTATGGTATATCGATACAGGACATAAAAAGGAACAGGCTGTTGATACCTGTGCCAGATGAGTCTCAGTGACATTATTTTGCATGAAAGAAGCCCATTTCAAAAGGTGACATACTACATGATTTCATTTATATGACATCCTCAGAAAGACACAACTATGGTGAGAGATTGGCAGATACCACAGGCGAAGGGCGGGAAGAGTGTGTCACTACAAAGGGAAACATGAGGGTTTTTTGAGGGTTGATGAACTGTTCTGTATCCTGTTTGTGGTGGTGGTTACGCAAATCTACACGTGTTAAAGTTCATAGAACTACAGACCAAAAAAATTTACTGTATGTTCATTAAAACAAGCGAACAAAATACGTGGGCAGTCACCCTCCAGGACGGCCCACAGAATCCTCACCTCCTTGTACCTATGCCCTTGTGCAGTCCCCTCTCACACCGAATCAGGCTGGCATGTGTGAGCCATGAATAAAGCAGAAGTGAGGGCGTATGACTCCTGAGACCAGGTCACAGAGTACACCGCAGCTTCTGTCTTGGTCTCTCAAGTCACTCAGTCTTGGGGAAGCCAGCCCCAAAGTTGTGAGGTCACCTGCAGTCCTGTGAGAGGAGCTGAGGCCTCCCACCCAGAACCAACCCCACCTTGCCAGCCACCTTGGAAATGGAGCCTCCAGCCGCAGTCCGGCCTTCAGATGAGCGCAGCCCTGGCCAGCACCTGACTACCACCTTGCGGGAGACCAGAACTGCCCAGGCAGGCTGCTCCCAAATCCCTGACCCACACAGAAGGTCGAAGAAATATGTGAGTATTCTTTTTATTTTAATCCTTACCCAAGGACATGCTTATTGATTTTCGAGAGAGGGGAAGGGAGGGAGAGAGAGGGAGAGAAACATTAATATGAGAGAGAGACATCCATTGGCTGACTCTCACACATGCCCTGACTGGGGACCAAACCTGCAGCATGGTATGTGCTCTGACCAGGAATCGAACACGCGACCCTTTAGTTTACGAGACAACACTGCTCTCTCTCATACTTCACCCCCTACTCCTTGTCCTTCAGATGCACTAGGCTAAGCTCCACTCCAGCCCTCCTGTACTTGCTGTTCCTTCTCCCTGGAATGCCCATCCCCAGACGGCTTGCTTACTCACTCACCACTTGCAGGACTCTGCTCAGATGTCGTCTGGACGAGCCCTTGCCTAGCCACCCCAGTCACGCTTTTGCATAGTCGTGATCACCCCTTACACATCGTGTATTTATTTCTCATCTGTTCTCTCCTACTCGAGAGCAAGTTCCACGGGAGGAGGGACTCATTTCCTAAGGGTGCAATGGTTGAATCTGCATTCCTATTTCACGGATGAGGACATGAGTCCCAGTGATCCCACAATGGACATATGATAAAGCTGGGCTTCGCGCACAAGCCCTTGGACTCCAAACCTAGTGCCCCTTTCAAACGGTCACCCACCCCAAAGAGGAGTTTTATACTCAAAGAGGAGACAAAGAGTTCAGAGAGGGCCTGGGCCTTTCTTGCTGCAAAGACCGTCTTTCCTGCCTCCCCCCACGCACCTTTGGTCTCCTTGGCTCCCTCCAGGGCCTACTTCTCAGGGGCCTCATCTTCCATCTAGAGGCAGGCGAGGACCGAGGACCGCTCCCACCAGCCCATCTCCCCCGCAGGCCGAGCACTCAGGGTCCTGTTTACTCCACTGACAGCAACCGGAGAAAGAGGTCTCACTGCGAACAAACACAACATTGAAAAACCAGGGAGAGAGGTAAAGGAAGCTCACAGCGGGCAGTGCCTAGCAGGGCTGACAGAGTCCCGGTAAAGCTGAATCCCCCCTCTCTTAAATGGGTGTAATAGCTGAAAAACATTTCATGGATTTGGGAATCTCTCTGGCAGCCCCATGCCAGCGCTGGTTTAGAGCCGAAGAAACTGAGCCTGAGAAAGATTTTGCAGTTTCACGAAATAATAATACTATAAACCATCCAGTATTTACTACGTGGCAGATACAATGGCAGTATTAGTTCTTTTTTAAAAAATTTATTTATTGTTGTTCAAGTCCAGTATTCTGCCTTTTACTCCCATCCCAGTCCACCCTGCCCCGTGCTCCCACCTCCCTCCCATTTCCACCCCCCTTACTTTTTGTCCGCGTGTCCTCTATACTTGTTCCTGTAAACTATTAGTTCTTTAAGTACTCACAACAGCCTGACCAAGTGGAATGGAGTTATGTCCCATACAAGTTTAACAAATTAGGATAGAAAGAGAATACATTTTGGCTTTGTGCTTTAGGATCTGACTCTCAAGAGGAAACTTGACCGAAGATGTTATTTCCTTTTACAGATGTAAAAGCCTAGGTCCAAAGAGGCTAATAACTTGTTCGAGTCACACATAAGCTAGTGGCTGAGCCAGGACTGAAACCCGTCTCCTAGGCTGTGCACAGCCGGCACGCTCCGCATCAGGACAGAAATCGAGGCGTCCAGATCCAAGACCAGTGGCTTCTCCCAAAGCTGTGTGAAGAACTAAGGAAGCCAGACGGTGTTGGGAACTGTGCCCAGCGGGATCACTGAGCACAGCTTTGCTGGAGGGGGACAGCCATGCTGATCAAAGTTTGAAATGCACACACCATGCACACCAACCAGATCAAAGTTCAAAATGCACACACCATGTACCCCACCACCGGTGCCAGCAGCAGAAATGCGTCTTACTGATGTATGTGCACACATGGGAAATGGCATCTGTTCCAGGTTCTTCACTGCAGCTTTGCTCAGCACGGACAGACGGAAACGTCAAGCCTAGATGTCTCACGATACACTGAATACATTATAGTTCGTTCATAGTACAGAATATGGAGGGTGAGAAAAATAAGATGTGCAAATCTGATACAGAAAAAGCTCTAGGGTATGTTATGTGAAAAAAGTAAGAGCCAGACAATACAATTTTGTGGGTTTTTAAAAAAACCAATGTACACATAGGTGGGTGCTTATGAATGGCATGAAAAATTTCTGGAAGGTTTACAAGAAACTGTTAGCAACGTTTGCCTCTGGGGAGGGTTCTGGGCTAGGAATAGGCACTTATTTTTCACTGTACAGATATACTGTTCTGTACTTTAGGAATTTTTTACTTTGTGAATGAATTTATTTTCAATAAAGTTTTGGGAGACTTCCAGTCAAGATGGTGACATAGGTAGACATGGCTGGCCTCTTTGCACTACCGTGTCAAAATGACAACTCAGGAACATCAGAAATCCAGGTGAATGGAAGTCTGGCAACTACGGAACTGAAGAAACCACACCTACCCAGACTGGGAGGAGACATGCAGATGTGGAATGGGCTGGCCCCACTCCCCTGTGGGTAAAAATTTGGGAGGGATATCTCGGGAGCAAGGAGTCCCAGACCCATACCACGCCCCCCAATACTAGGATTGGTGTCCCCATAACTCCTGGCTGTGAAAACCAGAGCAGATTGAGTCAGTGGAGGAGGCTGCTGGAGCCCGGAGAGGTTCCTCTTGGGGAACCCACACACAGACTCACCTGCTCAGACTCTCTCTCTCTGGGCTCCAGCACCAGGGTGGCAGCTTGAAGGGCACCAATGGTATACAGGGAGAAGCTGAAGTGTCTCGCATTGGGGCAAGCAGAGGCCGTTGTCCCTGTGCTGAGCCCTCTGCCCCACAGAGCCCATAGGCTGGTGCCAAATCTGAGACTCCATCAACCTGGCTAATACTATGTGATCCAGCTTGCAGAGCTACAGAGGCTCTACATCCCGTACCCGCCCCCCCCCCCCAATTTACAGGCTCATCCAAGCTGCTTTTCCTTAAGAATGGCTCACCTTGGCTCCTAAATCCTATAAAACCAGCAACGGTTGGCTTCAGTAAGCCCTAGCAGCAGCCAGATTAGAGTTGCAACTTGGCTTCCCCATGGAATCTCCAAGCCCAGCACAAGGAGCAGCCATCTCAGATTGTTTTACAGCTCAGGCAGGGTGCCCTGAGCAAATCACAGGTTGGGGCTGACCTTGGCCTGAACCACCCGGGGAAACCCCAGAGCCCGTGCACCAGTGGACAGCTGCAGATGACATCAGAGCACCGCCACTCTGCCCCTGCACAGATGATCCTCCACCGAAGGTGGAAGTTGGTGGTCAGTGGTCACAGCCAGTCATTGCAACTGACTGGCCTGGGTAAATTCTTCCCATTGACATGCCAACAGCAACCAAGGCTCAACTACAAGAGGAGGGTGTACTCAGCCCACATGAAGGGTGCATCTTGAGTACCCAGCTTGGGTGAAAGGGGAGGCTGTGTCACTGGACCCTACAGGATGTCTACTACATTAGGTCACATTGCTAAGACAGGGAGTCATAGCAGCTCTGACTAATACATAGAAACAAACACAGGGAGGCTGCCAAAATGAGGAGACAAAGAAACATGGCCCAAATGAAAGAACAGATCAAAACTCAGGAAAAGGAACTAAACAAAATGGAGATAAGCAATCTATCATATGCAGAGTTCAAAACGCTGGTTATAAGGATGCTCGAGGAACTTAGTGAGAACAACAGCATAAAAAAGATCCAATCAGGGAAAGCATTATGTTAAGCAAAATAAGCCAGGAGGTGAAAGACAAATACCATATAATCTCACCTTTAACAGGAACCTAATCAACAAAACAAACAAGCAAAATATAACCAAAGACATTGAAACTGAGAACAGGCTGACACTGACCAGAAAGGAGAGAAGAGGGAATTTCAGGGGAAAAGGATGAAGGGTTTGCAGGTACAAGTATAAAGGACACATGGACAATAACAGGAGTTGGGTGGAACTGGGAGCAAGGTGGGGAGGGCTGGGGGGGTAGGCTGGGGTTGGGGAAAAAGGCAGAAAACTGTACTTGAATAACAATTAAATTTTTTTTTTTAATTTAAAAATGAACAAAGGGCTTGAACAGACATTTCTCCAAGGAAGATACACAAATGGCCAATAAAGCACATGGAAAGATAGAAATAAAAAAGAAAAAGATCCAGTCAGAAACAAAGGATACACTGATTGAAATAAAGATGAAGCTGAGAATCAAATCAATGATTTGGAACATAGGAAAGTAAAAACAATCATGCAAAACAAGAAAAAAAAAGAATCCAAAAAAAATGAAGATAGTATAATCAGCCTCTGGGACAACTTTAAGAAGTATAACATTTGCCTCATAGGGGTACCAGGAGGAGAGGAAAAAAAAACAAAAAATTGGAAATCTATATGAAAAAAATAAGGAAAGAAAACTTCCCTAATTTAGTGAAGGAAATAGACATGCAAGTACAAGAAGCACAGAGAGTCCCAATTATGAAGGATGCAAAGAGGCCCACTCTAAGACAGATCATTATTAAAAGGCCAAGGGTAAAGATACAGAAAGACTCTTAAAAGCAAGAGAAAAGAAGTTACTAGAAGGTTGCCAGATGGGAGTGGGGAGGGGGAGAATGGGTGAAGAGGTGAAGGAATTAAGAAGTACAAGTAGTTACAGAATAGCCATGGGGATGTAAAGTACAGTACAGGAAATGGAGAAGCCAAAGAACTTATATGCATGACTCACAGATATGAACAGTGCTGTGGGGATTGCCTGAGGGAGGGGGGAGGGGGTTGGGTGGAGGGCAAAGGGGAAAAAATCAGGACAACTATAATAGCATAATCGATAAAATATAATTTTTAAAAAATGCCCTGGCTGGTATAGCTCGGGCCTGTGAAGCAAAGGGTTGCTGGTTCGATTCCTAGTCAGGGCACAAGCCTGGGTTGCAGGTCAGGTCCCCAGTAGGGGACACATGAGAGGCAACCACACATTGATGTTTCTCTCCCACTCTTTCTCCTTTCTGTCCCCTCTCTCTAAAAATAAATAAATAAAATGTATTTTAAAAAAGCAAGCCCTGGCTGGTCTAGCTTAGTGGATTGAGTGCAGGCCTGTGAACCAAAAGGTTGTCAGTTTGATTCCCAGTCAGGGCACATGCCTGGGTTTTGGGCCAGGTCCCCAGTAGGGGGCATGTGAGAGGCAACCTCACATTGATGTTTCTCTCCCTCTCTTTTGTCCTCCCTTCCCCTGGCTAAAAGTAAATATAATCTTTTAAAAAATAAATAAAAAGCAAAAAACTTTTTAAAGATTTTGTTTATTTTTAGAGAGAGGGGAAGCGAGGAAGTGAGGGAGGGAAACATCGGTGTGAGAGATGTCAATTGGTTGTCTCTTGCACGCCCCCAACTTGGGACCCAGTCTACAACCCAGGCATGTGCCCTGACTGGGAATCAAACCGGTGACCTTTTGGTTTGCTGGTCAATGGTCAATCCGTTGAGCCACACCAGCCAGGTCAAAAAACTTTTCTTGGAATGATTTACATGGTCGGAGCTCTGCCTTTTGGTCCTGTCCTTAAAGGGCACCACAGGGGCCCCTTCACTCAAAGAGGGTTCAGGTTGCTCCTTAGTGAGCTCTGAAAGATCACTCCATTCCCCTGCCCTCACCCCATTTGCTTGCCTTTGACCCAGAGCCAAGCCCTGAGTAAGACCTGACCAAGCACCCTGACTTTGAAAGCCTCCTCTGTTCCCCACAGAAGGCCAAACTCCAGGTCTGGTCCTCCAGGCCCTTCACGTGTTGCTCAGACCTTCACCTGTTCCCTCGTCTCTAGTCTCTACCTCCCCAGACCCACACGTGGCACTGCTCCCCACTCCCCACAAACTTAGCTCTTTGTCTGGTTTTCACCATAGTCTTTCCCGAGTCATTTTCAAGCCACAGTCATATTAACAGCCCTGACATCCAGTTTTGACTGTGTCACTTCCCTCACATCACAGCCTTCATTGGCTCCCCACTGCTCCTAGGAATACAAACTCTGTACGCTGCCACCCCAGGTGCCACCCCCTGCTGTGTCCGGATGCCCATGAACTTTCTCAACTCTTCCCCCAATCCAGCTACATTAGACAAATTATGGCTCACGATGTGCACCTTTGCCAACATGGTTTTCTTCATCCAGAACTCTGTTTCTTCTTCCCCATGAGTACCTGTTGAAATCATACCCGTCATTCAACCTGACCAACGTCCTCCATGAATGTTCCATGATGCCAGAAGTCATCTCACCTGCCCAAACCACTTTCTCTGCATATCCGTTCATTCAACCAACCCACATACAGTGGGAATTCTTATAAGCCAGGCAATCGACGGGCTAGGTGCTGGAAGAGGGAGATACACCAGGCATGGTCCCTGTCCCTGGAAGCTCTGATCTGGCTGGGAAATGAAGAAGCAAAGGTCCTCTGATAAGTGACATTAGATGCAGCACAGTACAGGGGCTAACGACACTGACATTTGTCCCATACTTTCAGGGTCTGAGCCACTCACAAGCTGTATGAGCTTGAGTTACTTGCTTCCCTTCTCTGTACCTCAGAGCCCTTATTTATAAAAAGGAGTTCATTAGAAGGCCAACCTCATAGAGTTATTCTGTGACTTTGATGAGTTAGCTTACGTAAAGTGTTTAGAACACAGCCATGGCACATGGGAAACAAAATATGCTGGTTATTAGTACAATTTCAAGGTGCTGGAGGAGCTCAGAAGAGGGAAATTTCTAGAAGAAGATATTAATGAGTAAGATATAAGGAGAAAGTCTTGACAACAGCATAGAGATGTGAGGACAATAGAGTTTCTTTAAAAAAATAATTTCAATACTTGCCCCTCCCCCTTGACAGCCCCGTGGGTCTTCTGAGGGTCTTCGGGGCCTGGCATAAAAATAAGGGTGAAGGAGGGTCTCCTAAACGTAATCGTCATAATCCACTTGCCATCATTTAGTTATTGTTTTCCTCTAAACCAACTCACTTTTTGTAACCTAAATAAATTTCTTAAAAGGAAACTCTAAACCACATCTGTAAATGAAAATATGCAAATACAAAGTATCTAAAAATAAATACAGTATAATGAAAGCAAACCAGTGTTACTAATTCTAGATAGCGAATGTCTGACTCTGAGAGGTGTGCTCTCTCAAACACGTGCCGGCACAGAACCGAGACTTCCTCTCTGGAATTGTTAGGAGGACGGAGGAGGCGCTGAAAAGCTCATTCTCTCCTGCCAGCTAGCGCCCTGTACTTGCTGGACCCTGTTAGAGAGGGAAAATAGTTCCCATACTGCAGAGGATGCATGGAGGTCGCCAATGCTTTTTTAAAGAGGCTTTTCAGAGGGGTGGGGTCTCCTCCCAGGCTTTCCCTCTGCCACCCCTGGGTAGGCACTGTCCCCACCGTGCTGAGTCACTGAACCTGGGCGAAGAGGTGGTTGCTGGAAAATGCCTTTTGTTCCTTTCCTTCCCACTGTTTATCTGGTTCAGCTTGGCATCCTGGGCTGCTGAGCAATACATGTAAAAACAGAGCAAACCTGCTTGCCCTTAAATACTCATATTTCAAGGGAAAGGTCCCAACCCTGAAATAAAAGAGGCTTCAAGTGAGAATTTGAATTCTAACGACATACTGCAGAGTGCAGGATTTGCCTTCACGCTGTGGCTTTTTCCCTGTCGACTCCACTAAGGATAGAAAACAAAGGGATCTTTACTTCTGGGCCTGGGAATGCTTATTATTATTAGTCGTCGTCGCTAAGCCGTTTTGAACAGAACATGGAAATGAGAGCTCAACCTTTTTTCTTCCTCTATCCTGTCTCTCCTTCCTCACTCCCTTCCTCTCCACTCCCTTCTACATTTTGGAGGATGGTGTCTCCCATCTTTGGTTCCTGTGAACACTGCTTCTCCATTTCTGCTTAATCCACAACCCATCTCTATTGGAAGTTACTTAATTTTTTTTTAAAAGTAATTCCCATTGTTTTGTTTATAAAAATGTGGACCCATTTCTAAAACAATAAAATCAGTGAAGTCAAGGGTTTGACTACCTGGCTGTGTACTTTCCTCAGTGCCCAATAGATAGATCGGTCAATGTTACAACGCGAACTGAGTGCTACTCCCACCTCTTCAAACCACCCACCATGGTGATACCGGGGTGATGGTGGAAAGCAGCGGGGGTGGGGCTGCAGAGCAGGCCCTCCATCAGTGCTTGCTGGCCGACCCACAGTCTTCGGACCCATGTGGCTCAAACTTTAGCTCCTAAAGACCTTAAGGTTTCCAGAGCTTCTGATTCAGCAGATGTGGGGGCACGATGTGGGGGCACAGGGCGGCTGGGAACCTGCATTTTCCTTTTTAAAGATCCTATTACACATTTATTTTTCGTAGAAGACGAATTAGGATCAGAACATTTGAGTAACTTGACAAGGCAGAGTTATTGAGAGGTGACCATAAGAATTTGAATCCAGACCCTTATGCCTTTGAAATCTAACATGTGAACCTCTTCAAAAATAGCTGGTCATATTTTCATCATGGTAAAGCACCACTTACATGGGACTTTGGTCTTAGAGGGAGTCTGCACTTCCAGGCTGTCCAGGTGAGGTTGATACTGCTGGTCTGGGCACAACTGAAGTAGATGTCAGGCCTCTGGGCACCAAAATCGTGTGTAGGTGCTTCCCGAGTTGCAGCTTCCTGGAATCTGCCTTACTGACCAGCATTCCAAGGAGCCCCTGGAGACCACCTGCGTTAACATTGCTGGAACCACCATTAGCACCTGGAACTAACTCAGCGGTAAGGTAGAGGGGTGAGTGACCTGTCTCATGGTCACTTTGCAAGTCAGGGACACTCCTCCCTGCTGCTTGGGTCTTAATTAAGCCTCGGTGCACCCTGGACTTCCCTCGTCTCCAACCAACACACAGTGTGTCCGCAGACCTGGATGGCTCTTCCTTCAACACAGTCAGATTCTCTTTAAGACCCAGACTCGGGGCCGAGACTGTAAATGAAACACGACTGATAAAGCGCTTACAGCTACTGAAACTGGAAATTTATTTTATCACTCATGATTTATATTTGAGTTTTTCCATAATGAAAGTTTTTATATTTAAATCTGTGACATAACAAATCCACTTCTGGAAATTTACCTTAAGGAGTATTTTAATACAAAAAACACTTTACAAACAACAACAAAAATAAACAAGTAAAAAGACAAAATCCATACAAAAAATATATTTTGAATAGTGAAAAACTGAGAACATACTAGGTTCTCATCATAGGACGATAATAAACTCTGGGACACCCCTCAGTGAAATTTCATATAATTAAAAACGTTTACTCAGGCCACGTAACAACATGGAGAGTGATACACAGCCAAGTGAAAGACAGGACAGTGCACTGCATACACTGCGTAATTAAAACTATGCAAAGACTTACACCTTAAAAAAAAGCTTGAAATTTAAAAATACTTTTACGTGTCCAGAGTCTGACCTCTTCCTACCATCTTCGGCGCAGTGACCTTTGTCTGGCCTTCCGTCTTTCACACCTGCATCTCTGCATCAGCTCCATGTTGGTCTCCTTGCTTCTACTCTTCCTTCCTCCCACTGCTTCTCTGTGCGGCAAAGAGGTCTTTCAGAAACACAAATCAGACCATGATCCTCCTCCACTCAGTCCCTACAAAGGTTTTCCGTATCTTTCCAAGTGAAAGCCAGGCCCCGCCTTACCGCTGCCCGCTAGGCTGCAGGATGAGTGACCTCTCCCGCTGCGATCTACTGCAGTGTCTTGCCTCCCTTCTACCACATGGACCTCCTTACTGTTCTTCACTCTCCCACGTCAGCTTCAGGGCCTTTGCACTTGCTGTCTCCTCTGTTTTCTGCTGGGAATGCGCTACCTCCAGAAATCGGAGTGAGCGCCCCTCCCTTCTTCACAGCCGCTCTTCGGAGAGGCCCCACCGGAGCTCGGCACCTAAAACAGCACTGCTCCCCCTCTTTGGCCCTCGTGCCCTGTATTTGCTTCTACAGCACTTAACCAGCGGCAACCACAGTACATTTTTGCACGTCTACTTACTACAATGCAAATCCCTTGAGAATGAAAACTTCTGATTCCCTGCTGGAGCCCTAGTACCTGGCACACAATAGTTGATCAATAAATACCTGTTACTAAAAGGATGTGGAATAACTGGCCAAGGGAACTTTAAGCTTCATGTAGCTTTCTGTTTCCTGGGTGACCTCCCCCTCCCCGAACGCCCACAGCAGGAACCTACTGGGAGTACAGTGCATCCTGTGAACCGGGGGCAGCAGAGCACGGTGGCTGCCAGCACTGGCTTTGGGAAGCCAGATCCTGGTTTACTGCCACCGGCTGTGTGGTCTTGGAAAATAGCGAGAATTTTCTGATGGTTTTTCCTTGTGCAGAAAGAGGATAATAACAGTAATTCCTACTTCCCAGGGCTGGGGGAAGTGGGAAGGAGGAGCAAATCAGAGACTGCCCATAAATCACTTAAGCACAGTGCCAGCAGAGTAGGTATGTGGCAAGAGGCAGTCAAAATAATCAACTGGCACAGATGTGCCTTTGTCTCTTTCAAGTTTACAATGTGCTCTTTTACATGCTTTATCTGATTTGAGCCCTTCAACAACCCAGTCAGTGTTATCGCCACTTTAAAGGTGAGAAAACTGGGTCAAAGAGGAATAACGTGCTTGCCTACAGAACACACTGAATCTGCCTACAACTCCGGCGCCCTCTCCCCCAGAAACACAGCTATTATTACAGGTGATGCCAATCAACGTGATTTGGATGGCCCTTTAGAGCCCAGACTCTAATGCATGTGCCTAGTGTGCGGCTGTGGTGGGCAAATGAATCCAGCAAATGAAACCAGCAAATGAAACCAGCCAGTGAGCTACGCTTTCCCAAGCAGCCACTGGAGGCAGGGGCACAGGCTCTGTGTCTCTGAAAGAGGCTCATGAACGAGTCTGAATACATAAACCATCTCTCAGAGCCCACTTAGGAATAAAACATCTCACTCTTCCCGAGAGGGAAAGTGCAAAGGCCCTTTCTATACAGTTTCTCCTGCTTAGAGTTGGGCAGTGGCTCTAAGCAATAAATGTCACCTTTGGTGCCTGACCCTGCTGGTGCCCCACAACCTCTGACCCAGCCTGCCCTGACAAAAACAGTATCTCTTCCCAAAGGTAACCTGAGGAGGAAGTACCAGACTGAAGCTGGGGGCCTGGCTCTCATGAGTGTCTCCTCCACCTTCCCGGGATCAAAGACCAAGAGAAGTCACATGACGGTGGGAGATCAGCAGGTGTTAGACTTGAATTTTAGAGCCACAAGGCCAAGTCGTCAGACTCTGAGGAGTCATGGATGATTACATCCACAGTATCTGAGAGAAAAGGAAAGACTGTAAACCTCACCAGTCAGAGAGTACACTGGACAGGAAGGGGCACAAGTGCTTCCAAACCAGGACTCCAGTGACTCCTGCGTCTGGCCAGAGGCTCACCAAATACTGTCTGGCGAGAATACAATCTGAGGGCTCCGGCTGCAGGAGAAAGGCTGGGAGGACAGGCCCTGGATGCCGACTTCAGGGAAAAATGCTACAACCAGACCCGAGACAAGAGATCAGAAGAGGAGATGGCAGCTTTCAGGAGGGTCCCACCAGGCCCGTAAGCTCTGGCCCCTGGTGATGGGTCGTAAGACCCTGATGGTGCCAGGTTTGTGGCAGGCCACCAACTACCAAGAGGCTCGAAGACCAGTGCCATGACAGTCCGGCCTGGTGGCGTGTGCTCCTCGCGGGGAGTGTGTTGCGTGAGCAGCACTCAGCCGTGTGGAGCTCTGTGTGGCACCAGGACGGAGAACTTCCATTTGCATAGTGCTTGCAGTGGAGGATGGTGTTCATGCCTCAAACCTGCACAGGGACCAAGAAGCGGGGCCAACAGTGGCTCTGGCCAGGGAGCAGGGATGAGTCTGAGGGCCACTCTGGGGGTCACATGGAAAAGTGGCGAATACCTCCATCCCATGAGCCTCATTTACATTCGGTTAAGGTCACTTTAGGTACCTACATTAATGAACTTCATGGATTTTTTTTTTAAATGAGAGAGTTCTAGGTTAGTCATGACTTTGTATGAAAACTATAAAAATCTCTCTCTTGATATCTTGATATATATACAGAGAGAGATACATAATATATATAAAATCTCTTTGAAGAGAGTGCAGCATCCCAGGCTGCTCAGAGCAGCATAGACCAAAAGACAGTGGTCGGGCTACTTTGCTGGTGTGAGAAACTCCCAGGAGAAATAGCCAGAAGTACATACGCAGGGAAGATGGTCTGGCCCCTGAGAGCTTAGAAGTCCCGTACCCTGGGAGTTGGGCCATCTTCCTCCTCTAGGCAGTCCTGGTACTTTTTTCTGTCCTTGGCAGCTGAAGAGAAGCTCGTTCTTCTGGAGATCAATCCTGGGAGCAGCTCTGGCTGCCAGGCCAGGCAGGAGGGCCCAGCTGGGACTGCTGATGTGCTCCAGCCAGGGTCAGAACTCATCCCGCAGCTGTGGGGGCCTGTCCATGCCAAAGAAAGAGGACGGCCTACCCTGCAGATCTCGTTCTCGCTTCACAAATGCGGTGAAGGAGGAAACACAGTTGCCAATAAAGTGGTCGGCCTGGCCAAGGATGTACAGGTCGATCTGGGCCACCTCGGGCTTCAGGCTCACCACCTTCACCTGCAGGAGGGAAGGCAGGGTATTTTAGCCTGGGTGTAGGCCAAGGTGGCCAGCTCAGCTAAGGCCTGCAGCCATATTCCCAGCTTTCTCCCTCTCTGTGGAAGTTACAGACCCAAAAGGAGGTGCAGAGAGGATTAAGAGGTAGCATCAGCCTCTGAGAGTACTGCCCAGCAGCTGCCTTGGACCACACTCACATGGAACTCCAGCCTCAGGACTCCTTTCCTGCTGCCAACATCAGCTCCAAACACAATACTCATTCACTTGTTCCCATTTGTTAGTTTCTTCTGCCTGGAATACCTTGTAACTACACATTAAAATGCCCACCAGGCCCTGGCTGGTGTGGCTCAGTAGATTGAGCGCCAGCCTGAGAACCAAAGGGTCGCTGGTTTGATTCCCAGCCCAGGGCACATGCCTGGGTTGCAGGCCAGGTATCCATTAGGGGGCACACGAGAGATAACCACACACTGATGTTTCTCCCTCCCTTCCTCTCTCTAAAAGTAAATAAATAAAAATTTTAAAAGCCCCATCATACTCTTCAAGGCTCAGCTCAAGTTCTGCCTTTCTCATGAAGCCCTAGCCTGACTGGCCTGACCGGCCGACCGGGGCTGGGCTTCCCCCACCAACCGTGACCTGACCGAAGAGCACTCCACCCATCCAGTTCTGCTCTCTGATGCCTCCGAGCCTAAGGTCCTGCCCAGTCTATTCCCCAAGACAGTCTCCAAAGGTGAACCCTTCTCTTGATGGATTACCACTTCCTGGCCAGCCACCATCCTCTCTTATCTCTTCACTGTCTCTCTGCTGCCTCTCTTCCTGGCCTGCTCACCACAGAGGAGCCAGAGAAAACCTTTTTAGACAATTCTAACCTGTCGTTCTCTCCACCCCAAACTGAACACCCTTAAATGGTGCCCTGCTGCTTTTCAGATAAAGATGAGCAATCTTGACTGTGGCCTATAAAGCCCCTTGCAGGCCACCTCTCCATCTCTGTTCATACATTTGGCCACTATACACCAGATTCCCACCTTCCTCAGGACCTTTGCATATGCTCTTCCATGGATGTGGGGTGCTTGTCCCTTTGCCTGGTTAACTCCTACTTAACCTTCCCCCTGCAGCTCCAGTCTCGCCTCCTTGGGAAAGGCCTCTCTGGCTCCCCACACCCCGCCGCCATCTAGGCCAGGGCCCTCTGTTCTGCGCTCTCACAGAACCACATTCCTTTGCTTCAGAGCACCCATCTCAGTTTGTAGTTTTTGCTCCTTAGTGATTCTCTGATTAATGTTAGTCCCTTGCACCTGATGAGGGGTGGGCTGTGTCAGCTTGCTTGTCCATGCTGGCTAGAGCCTGCCTCAAGAATCGCCTGTTTTCTGGGCAACTGAATGAATGAGCTCCCTGCCCCCACCCCATGGCATGTATTACAGTTCCCTGCGAAGTTTCTTTTCTTGAGTCTAGACCGTGAGCCCTGGAGGGCAGCACCACCACTTCCCATTTATCAGCATCCCCAGTTCAGCACTGGCCAGGCATCGTGGAGAAGCACGGCTTCAGTCCAGGAGGTGGGGCCTGAGCCCACGGAGCTGAGGAGGGGGAAGGGCAGGAACAGCGGTGCAGAAACAGGAAATAGAAAATGGCAAGGGGCTCTAGGCGCAACAAGTACATCACCTCTAAAAACTCACAAAAAACTCCCCGGGGCTCTCCACATGCTTCAACTTAGTACCTACGTGGCAGTGTGGGCAGAGTTGGGATGGAAAGTGCTTTGCTGTCACAGAGATTTCTGGTGTAACAAAAATTGTCATCTCGCTCTTTGGATGGTAGCAAAGAACTAATATGAGTTTAATCATGGCCAAAAGCCCCTGAACAATTTCACCCACTCCCTGAAACCTACCCACTCTGTGTCACACCCACTATAATTAGCTCTGCAACCTCTTGGGTAAATTCTCTCCCTTCTTTTGACTTCAGTTGCCTCAGCAATAAAACGCAGAGGTTGGGTTGTATGTGCTTCGAGGTCTCCCAGCTCTGTATTCCTCTATAAAGTTGGTGGGTGGGAGACCAGAGTGCACTGACTCAGTGCTTTCTTTATAAGCTGTGTCTGGAGCAAAAGACAGGGAGCCTCTCCCTCACTACTAGAAAGTGAGGACACACTCACTACCTTTTAAGGTCTACACAAGCAGTTGGGTCATTCATTCATTCAGCAAAGTCTCACTGAATGCTTACTAATTCAGTCATTTTGTCAGTACATGCTCTTCACACATACAGTACCAAGCACGTTCTTCTGCTTATTGATGTACTGAATACCCACTATTCACGGCTTCCTTAAGCATTAACGAAGCACAGAAGAGCTTCCTGTTACTCACCAACCACCAACTTCTACTATCAATGAAGGCTAACTTTACTGAGCACTTGCTTTGTACCAGACAGCTTTCATTTCTTTGTATTTGATCTTCACAATCACCCTGTGAGATGAATACCACCCTCAGTCCCAACGTGCAGACAAGGAAACAGAAGCACAGAAAGGCAGTGACTGGTGTCAGGCTGCACAGTGAGTAGAGCCCACGCTCCCGGAGTCCATGCTCTCCATCCCTCCGCTACACTGGTTCGCTACCAAGGGCCCACTTTTTACATCCTTATTCAGCAAACATTTATCGACTGTCCACTGTGTGTTAGGCATTGTTCTAGACACTGGTGATAGCAAGGCGGGGTCTCGGGCCTGGAAGAGGTCAAAGGACCTGGCTAGACACTGAGGAATAGGACAGTGAGTCAGTCTTGGGGCCTGCCTTCAGGGAGCCGTAACTCCCGGGAAGAAATGCTATGTTTCCACACTAGTCTCATACAGCCTAGAAAGTATCTCAGAGAAGATGTGACAAAGTTCTGTGACAGTTCCCAGTTGGAACATCTGATGCAGGAGTGGAGGGAAAACTGGAGTGAATCTGCAGAGGTGTTATGAGCTGGTGTTTGAAAAAAGGGTAAGAATTGGAGAACTGAATGTCCAAGCGAAAGCCTGGCGGCGGGAGGACGCGAAGCGCGCAGTGGGAGCGGTGGGAAGACCCTGTGCTCTCCCAGACTCCTCCCCCACCGCACCCCACAGGGCCCGTGCATACCTTCCCTTTGAAGAGCTGCTGGATCTCGGGCACATAGCTCTCAGAATCCGTGGCGATGAAGACAGACTGGGCGTCCAGAGCCCTCACCCAGAGCTTCACGGCCCGCTTGATTTCCTTCAGGTCGGGGAGGCACATAGTCACAGTGAGAGCGGCGGCTGTGCTGCGGCTGTAGCCCACGCACTGTGGAGAGGCCATGAAGTGGGAGCCCGCAGTCCCGTCCTTCAGCATGGCACAAGCATTCTTCTGCGAGGGGGGCAGGGGCACAGAGTGAAAAATGGCAACTGGCCTGGAACCCCAGAAGCCAGAGCCAGTAACTGGGGAAAGGCAAGCAGTGTGGGAGGAGCTCACCAATGTTTTTTTTAAAAAAGGGCATCGAGGGAAGAGGGAAATGGCTCAAAACAGTAACAGTGGTTATTTCTGAGTAGTGGGATGTTGGCTTTTTACAAAGTTTTTTCTTTTCTTTTCTTTTTTTTTTTTTTCTTTTACTGGTTTTACTGTATTATCTGGGACTTCCAGGAGAATGCTGAACCCTGGCAGTGATAATGGGTGCCCCTATCTGATTTCTGACTTCAGGGGGAACACTTCTGATAGTTCCCACGAAGTACGTGTTTGCTGTGGCTTTCAGAGATAGCCTTTATCAGGTTAAGGTGGGTCCCTTCTATTCCTGCTTGGTTAAGAGGTTGTTTTTTTTTAAATCATAAATGGGTGTTGACTTTTCCCAAATGCTTTCTTGGCCTGTATTGAGATCATTATATGATTTTTCTTCTTTGGGTGTTAATATAGTTAATAGAACCTCATTGCATCCCTGGGATAAATTTTACTTGTTTGTGTTGCATGTTCTTTTGACATGGATTCCACTCGCAAATACCTCACTTAGGATCTGTTTGTCTATGTTCATAAGTGAGAATAGGCTACATACTTATCTGAGTTGACATTACCTGAGTTTGGTATTAGTGCTCTGCTAGCTTTATAAAAATAGCATCTTGTATCTTTTTACGTTTGAAGAAAGTAAAGATGAGAACTATTTGTTCCTTGAAGGTTTGGCTGAAACCACTCATAACACATTCTGGGCCTGGCTTTTTTTCTTTGTGGAACGGGGATGGGAAGGGAATTTAGTGGGTAGGTGTGTCATTATTTTCCTAATGGACTCTGAATGAATTTTGATCTAATTTCTATGTATTTTCAACTCTTCAACAATGGGCATTTCTAATATACATACTTCATATATACATATCTTCTTACGCAAATTCAGGAGACTGTCTATATCGCTCCAGAGGGTGACCTGATGAGGTTTCTGCACAGTTAAGGGGCCTCCAAATTTAGAGGATGACACCTTCTTTTCTTGGGAGCCCCACCCAATCTCCAGAACTTGCTTTTCAGCAATGAGTCTATTGACTAAACAGTGAGCTGGGACAGAGGGCTCCAGGGCTGTGGGTCTGAGCTCTCTGGCTTGCTGGCTGACCTGAAATCTAGCTTGATATCTCAGTTTATCCGTCTGCAAAATGAAGATAAAAAAAGGAACTGTGAAAACAAGAGCTGGCGAGCAAGCACATTGGAGCCACACGTTGGATGTGTTTACAGTGGGATCATGACACACAGTGGGATCTTTACGTGGGGACTCCATGGACTTGGTTGAGCGAAAACTATGGTCTGGCTGGCACTTGGCACAATGGGTTCGCTGTCCAACCCCCACAGGCATGGGCCCTGGTCAGGGATGTGTCCCACCCAGCCAAGAGAGGAAGGAGGAAGTTACCCAGTCAGAGCCAATGCGCAGGTGAACACCGACGTAGGGCCGGACGAGGTGGGCGTGGATCTGTGCCTCTCCTGTCCTCACCATCTCATCCGACCACACCATGTACTTGTGCAGTGGCCTGTGCTCCTCCAGGACGGGGAACTGGGCTGGGGCCCCTGGCAGGGCCAGCACTGGATGTTCTTTTGGAGAAAATCTAGGCGTAAGACAGGGTAGGGGAAGTTGGCCAGAGAACACAGACAGCCTGGCTACCACTCCCACGGGAAAAAGGATGGTGTTGCACCATGTCCTAGAGCCTGCAGAGGGAGGGGCCCCGTAACATGCAAGAAGCACGAGAGGTTGTGAAACCCCAACGGGCTGATAAGAAACCGCAGTGGCGGCAAACAGGCACAATGCGCAATATTGCCCAGCCGCCTGGAGTTTACAACCTTCTTTGCTTGTTTAACAATTAAAAATTTCCAGTAGAGCTGGCTTCCAGTTTGTGGAGTGGTAATTCACTCCTGGGTGTGGTGTCTGGACAGAGCCTTGCCCTTTTACCCACATGGCGGGACTGGGTCGTGTAGCTGCTTCCAGGGGGCAATGGACAGGCCACACTCACAGGGAATGTGTGTATGCTGGATAAGCTCATCCACTCAACACTCCACACGTATTTAATGATTACCTACCATGTGCTGGAGCCCAGGGCAGGACGAGACAGGCATGGCCCTGCACTCGTGGAAAGCACCAGAATTCTACAGATGTCCACGGTCAGACCTCCCTCAGAGGCCCTTCTCCGCCTGTACACTACGCACCTTGCAGTCATCTCACCTGTCTTTTCTGCTAGACTCACGCCTCTGACGGCAGTGCCTCCATGTGCTCAGAACAGTGTCTGACACATGATTTGCTAACGATGGATGAGGAGCAAACCCGTGTTCCATCTTGAGCTAAGCCCAGAGCCCATGCCGGCAATGTGAAACACCCAGCTGTCCCATAAACCTTCCAATGCCAGAGCTCTGCAGACTTCTTCCCTCTACCTGTGATGCCTTCCTTTGCCGGCCAAAATCCTGTTCTTAAAATTATGAAATAGGCACAGTACTCTGGGAAACAGTTTGGCAGTTTCTTGTAAAACTAGACCCACAACTACCGTTTGACTCAGAAATGAAAATCTATGTTCACACAGGAACCAGCAGATGAATGTTCACAGCAACTTTATTCAGAAAAGCCAAAAACTCAGATGTCATTCAACAACTGAACGTGCAAACACGACGGTGCATCCCACCAATGGAAAACTACAGCAGTGAAAAGAAATGAACTACCAACTCAGGCAACAACCACGATGGATCTACAGGGAATTCCGCTGAGTGAAAAAAGCCATTCTCAAAAGATTACACACCGGATAACTCCACTTATATAACATTTTTGAAATGACAACATGGAGAAGAGAATGGAAATAAAGACCAGATTAATGGCTGCCAGGGGCTGAGGTGTGGGTGGGCACGTGCACAGTTAGAGAGGGGGGTGGTTACAAACTGGCCGCACAGGATCTTTCAGTGTTAGAACTGTTTGATATCTTGATTGCGCTGGTGGCCACAGGAGCCTACACATGTAGCAGAATTGAATAGAACTAAACACACACACACACACATACACACGCATGCACACACACAGAAGCGAGCACCAGTAAAACTGGGGAATCTGAGTAAGATGGGTGGATTGTATCAATGCCAACATCCTGACTGTAATACCCCACGACAGTTCTGCGAAGTGTTACCACTGGGGGAAACTGGGCACCGGGTACATGAGATCCCTCCATGCTATTTCTTATTACTCCATGTGAGTCCAAAATTACCTCAATAAAAGTTTCAGTTAAAAATGACAAAATATTTAAAACAGTACAGGAAAATACAAAAAACAATCCACGTACCCAGGACTCAAATGAGCAGATATTAATACTTTGCTTCAGATTAAAAACAATACATACACCCAAATAAAAGCTCTATCTTATAATTTCTTTCCCTTCTTACTCTGCCCAGAACATATTGAGATTTGCCCTGGCTGCTGTGGCTCTGTGGACTGACTGCCGGCCTGTGAACCAAAACGTCTCCAGTTTGATTCCTAGACAGGGCACATGCCTGGGTTGCAGGCCAGGTTCCCAGATGGGGGCGAATGCATAAGAGGCAACCACACATTGATGTTTCTCTCCCTCTCTTTCCTCTTCCCTTCCTCTCTCTCTAAAAATAAATAAATAGATAAATATTTTTAAAAAGATACTGAGATTTTATGCATGATTACACTTTTACTATTGACATAAAAGATATTATACTTTGTGCTTTTTACACAGTATAATGGTAAAAGCATGGGCTGTTGGGCCAGATAACCTTGTTCTAGAATGCTGACTGTGCCACTTATCAACTTGGGCAGGTGGCTTAACCATTCTATGCCTTACCTTCCTCACCTGTATAAATGGAGCTAATAATAGTTCCTACCTCCTAGGGCTGCTGAGATTAAGCAAATGCAAGCAAAGCATTTAGAACAGTGTTTGGCACACAGAAAGTTCCAAGAAAATTCTGACCACCACTATCATCAACACCACCACATCGCCAGATTGCAGGTACCTATTTCAGCTTTTTCAAAATTCAACTCTATGTTTTAGAGATTGGGCCGTATTGATCATGTGGATCATACAATCCTGTTAGCTTCTCTTGAAGTTCTCTGTTTTGCACGAATAAACCGTGATGTACTCATCCAGTCCCCTCCTGCTGGACAGCGCTCCAATGAACATGCCACTTCCAACACGCCCAACCCAAACACCACACTCCCCAAACAGCTTCCTAACCTCCAAGACCTCCAGACTTGTCGCCACTCCCAAGCTTCAGCTCCTCAGGAGGGTTCCCTGTCCCTCTCCTCCTCTGTGGCCTTCTGCACACTGATGTGCTCCACCCTCAGCCCAGGAGGGTAGGGGCCCAAATACCGTGATTCCCACACACCCCGGTCCCGGGCCGGTGTGGAGGAATTAACATACAAGTGGTCACTGACAGTCTGGCTCTATATAACACTCATCCTGTCAGAATTTAATTTTATAGGCAGAGTTGCTTCTCGACTTACTATGGCATTCTGTCCCAATAAACCCGCTGTAAGCAGAAAATGTTGTAAGTTGAAAATGCATTTAATACACCTAACCTACCGAACATCACAACTTAGCCTAGTCTGTCTTAAATATGCTCAGAACACTTACATTAGCCTCCAGTTGGGTGAAAACACCTAACACAAAGCCTGTTTTATAACAAAGTGTTGAACAGCTCATGTCATTTATTGTGCATATCACTTTCACACCATTGTAGAGTCAAAACTCCTAAGTCAAACCATTGTAACTGGAAACCATACACACATATGAATCATTTATCAAGCCTTATTATGTGACAGTGCTCCAATTGTTTTGTGTATATTAATTCATTTGATTCTCATATGAGCCCTGTAAGGTAAGTAGTTTTCTTATTGTACAGATGAGGAAACTGAGGCTAGAAAGGTTAAGTAACATGCTCATGGTCACACAGCTGGAATTGGAATTGTTGGAGCTGGAATTTAAATGCAGGCTGTCTGCTCCAGAAATTATACCTTTCTTTGTTTCTTTCTTTTTTAAAGATTTTATTTATTGATCTTTAGAGGGGAAGAAAAGGAGAGAGGGAGAGAAACATCAATGTATGGTTGCCTTTCGTGCATCCCCCACTGGGAACCGGCCTGCAGGGAACCAGCCTGCAACCCAGGCATGTGCCCTGACTGGGAATCGAACCACAATTGCCTAGTTCGCAGGCCCACGCTCAATCCACTGAGCTCTCTTTCTTTTTTTTTAATCCTTACCCAAGGACATTTTTTCATTGCTTTTAGAGAGACAGGAAGGGAATGAGGAAGAGAGGGAAACGCTGATATGAGAGAGAACCATCCATTGATTGCCTCCTGTATGCACGTGGAATGGGGGGCACATGTGTCTGTGCTTGGCCTGGGGATCGAACCCACAATCTAGGTATGTGCTCTAACTGGGAATCGAACCTACAACCTTTCAGTTATAGGCAGATGCTCCAAGCAACTGAGTCACACTGGCCAGGGCCAGAACCTAAATTCTTAACTACTATTTTCTTCACTCCCACCTCTCCCGCCTCAGTCAACAAACACCTAAAAAGCTGAGTCTGTGGTGAATTCTTTTCTTTTGATTCCCAGCTCCTACCACAAGCCTCAACACACAGTAGGTATAATAAAAACATTTTTAGAATACACCAGAAAGACCAGATCAGGTTGCCCGGGATTAGAGAAAGAGGTGACTATTAACTGAGCACCCAGTTCGGGCCAGGCCCTCCGCTAGGCTCCTTTCAGATGCGACCTCGAAGGATCTGAAAAGGAAAGCAGGGGACTGTGACTTCCCAGAGGGCTGGGCCATGAAGTTGAAATCAGGATCTGCACCCTCCCTGCCTTTTTGGAAAGACCCTGCTGCTGACTGACCCTTGGTGAATTCCAGATGTGGAAGGTCCCTCCCCTCAACAGCTCCCAGCTGTTCCAGTGGGATGTCACCTCTGACGTGACAAGCAGCTGGAGGCCCAGACTGATGTGCTCATTTGCTTCCTCTGAGGGAGGAGAGTGTTACTGGGGAAGAAAGGCTGACCACACCATCTGCCCAAGTCAGGCCCTCTGCCTGGTTCACAGTGTAGCTAAAAGCAGGTTCCTGCTCTGGGTGCCGTGAACCTCTGGGGTTCACTCTATGCCCACTCTGCTGAGATGCCCCAACGGGCTGGGGTTTCCCTACGCAGATCATCCACTTATGCACCCACACACCAGCGGACGTTCACCATGGTGAGCAGAGGATGCAGGGATACAAGTGAGGCCGAGCCCTGTTCTCGATATCCCTGCTCTGAAGAACCGCCTTTTCTTGCAGCTGTTTGTATGGCTGGCTCCTCATTTTTCAGGCCTCGGCCCTCCTAATTACACATCACCTATTTATGCTCTCTCGAGAGGCTGCAGCCAGGGAGGAGGATAAGCTATGCATGGGAATACCTGTTATCTTCATGCTGCAAAAATCATCCAGCCTCATGATGGAACATAACCTTCCGCCAGTTAATGTGCAACAAATGTGTATGGAATTAAATCTACACCAGGGTATTTACCATCTCAGAACCAGCAGAGCTGGAAGAATCCTCAGAAATCAGTTAGTGGGAAAGAAACACTTCTTACCCTCCTCTCCTAGAACCCAGCTTTCCGCTAGAGGCACAGCAGCCCAAGGTAAAGACATTTCACAGCACTTCTTGCACCTAGGCAGGGCCATGTACAGATGCTGGCCCAAGAGTTGTGAGCAAGCTATAAGAAGGCTACTTAAGAAGGTGAAGATGTGCCCTTCTTCTGCCCCTGTCCTTCTAGCTGACCGGGGCAAGGATGTGACAGCTGAAGCTTAGCCTAAGAGATGACACTAAGGAAAAAAGCCACACTGGGACAGCTGCGCAGAGAGGTGGGAGCCTGGTCCCTGCCAACACGATGCAGCTACCATCCAGCCACGGTTGCACACCCCAGAACTTTTTTACTGAAGAAAATAATAAACTTCTGTCTTTCCGACTTGCTGTTATTTGGGGTCTTCTGTTAAGTGAGGTTGAAGTGAAGCCTGAGACACCTAGACCGGGGCCACCCAAACTTTTGGGTGATATGTAAGAGGGTTACTGGTTGAAGGAAGTGGGGGAAGAGAACAGAACCTCCCACCTGGCTCCTGGGGCCACCCCCAGCACGGTAGGCACTTCTCAAGAATTCTAAGGAACAGTCTGAAAACCAGCGCCCCGGCTCACCCCTTCATTTCACAGACGGAGCACTGCTGCTGGAGAAGGAAAACAATCTGCTGCGTCACACAGTGAGCCGTACCATTCTCTCTACACCCGTACCTTTGCCCCAAAGGACAATTTTCTGCAGCAAGCAAGTCCACTACTTTAGAAGATGCTGCAAATCCACACACCCTAAAAAGCACTCACAGGTTTCCTACCAGACTGCTCTCCCTGGGCCTGCACGGTCAGACCCTGCCCACTTTCCCAATCTTTTATCCGGTTTGGCAGAGTAATTCTTCAAATCTCCTCCCTCTGGGTGGGCTGACGCTCAGTCTCAAAAGGACTGAAATTCTGACATGTGCTACGACGTGCGTGAAGTCTGAAGACACTGTGCTAACTGAAACAGGCCAGACACAAAGGACAAACGCTATATGACTCCACTTACATGATGCGCCCGGAACAGGCCAGTTCAGAGGCAGAAAACTAGAACAGAGGCCACCGGGGGCTGGCAAGTTACTGTTTAACGGGTTGAGTTTCTGCCGGGATGATGAAGCGTCCTGGAGATGGACAGTGGCGATGGTTGTACCACACTGAATATACTTAATGCCACTGACTCGTACACTTAAAGTTTTTAGATAAACCAACAAACACGTGTACTCTGCTGGTACACATGCGCAGCAGTGCCATTTCCTTTCTATCTTCACCCAAGGACGTGTTCGTTGATTTTAGACAGGGAGAAAAACATCGATGTGAGAGAGCAACCTTGACCAGCTGCCTCCTGTATGGGCCCTGACCGGGGATGGAACCCACAACCTACTCTGTGCCCTGACCGGGAATTGAACCTGCCAACCTTTTGGTGGAGGGACGACATTCCCACCAACTGAACCACCTGGTCAGGACACAATTTTTTGAAATCCCATGTTTTTGTATTTTTAAAATTGATCTTGCCAGTGATATTTACTATCCAGGTAACTATTAATATTAATTACTCCTCAGAAAAGGTAATTAAATATTTAATGACAAACTATAATAATTTCAAGTTAGCAGTGTAGGGACATACATGTGTATGAAACTGTCAGGAGGGTGGAAATATATACATCAGAATGCTAGTAGTGTGTTTTGGAGGGGTGGTAGAATTACAAGTAAATTTAATTTTCTTTTTTATTTAAAAAAAAAATCTCCCACCAAATCTGTGGTGAGCATTCTAACAGGTATTCATGCCAAGGAATTAGACGTTTAATATGGATTGAAACCTTGTACACTGGGGATTCCATAAAGAAAATGGAAAAGCAGAAAACAAACAAAAGAACTGCCTGGCTCGGCCTCGCCAACCCACAGAGCTCTGAGAAATGAGCAACTGCCACCAGGCACTGGGTCTCAGAGGTTACGCAGCAACAGACAAGGGGAACACCCTGCATTCTCCACCTCACACGGTCCACACGGGCCGGCTGGCCTTCTCCCTGCCCCTGGACCACGCCAGGAGTATTCCCGCCTCAGAGCCTCTGCCGTCCCTGTCTCCACCATGAAGCACGCCCTTTTCCTCCATCTCTTTACATGGCTGGCTCCTCATCCTTCAGATCTGTTATAGATCGAATGTTTGCATCCCCCCTAAATTCCTACGTTGGAGCCCCAACCCCCCCATGTGTTAGCATTAGGAGGTGGGGCCTTTGGGAGGTGGTAGGGTTTAGATGAGGTCATGAGGGTGGAGTCCTCGTGATGGGAATTGTGTCCTTATAACAGACAAGAGAGCTCGTTCTCTCTCCAACATGTCTGGAGACAGCAAGAAGGCAGTACCTGCAAACCAAGAGATCCTCACCAGAACCCTTCCATGTTGGCACTTTGATCTTAGAATTCCTAGCCTCCAGAACTGTGAGAAATAAGCGTCTGTTGTTTAAGCCTCCCAGCCTGTGGTATTTTGTTAGCACAGCCCAAGCTGATGAAGGCAAGGTCTCAGTCCTGCCAATCACACATCATCTGTTTGTCTTACATAAAAGGATTCACTGTTCCCCCATTAGATTCACCTCCATCAGGGCAAGGGCCTTCAATACCTTATTCTTGCCTGTATGCCCAGCATCCAGACCAGCTTGACACTCAGGAGGCGCTTCCAAAATGTGTGTGGAATGAAGGCATAAAGGAAGGCAGCTGCCCAGGTGGCCCTAACTCTCTCAAGTTGCCTCCAGGTACCCCACCTTCTTCATTAGTCTTCCTTTCCTAAAAATCTGGCTGTAAGGCAGAAGCTTCCCCAAGCCCTCTGCAATTCCTGCCACTCAGTGAATCCCAAAAAGACATGGGGTAATAAAAAGGTATCTCAGCAGCATCCCAAGACTGAGGCCTCCCGGCAGTACTGTCCCTTCTTGTCCCACCAGAACTGTGCGCTTTCTCTGGCTTTCTGGAATTTGCTTTTGGAGCTGCTTTTAGAGTTGGTATCATTTTTTCTTTTTTCCTGGCATTTGTGATAAGGGGCCAATCTCTATCCATTCAGGGCAGGTCTGCCTTCTGGCAATAGCTCCAGGTCACTGAGCTAAATGGGGAGAACCAAGGAGATGGCTGAATGGGACTACCCTGTTTGGAATCAGCGATGAGGCGGGTTAGAATCTGCCAGGACTGAGCATCTTCCGTAGCTCATGAAGTAGCTCTGAAGGCAAGTCCCAAATAGGAACTGGCAGCTGTTAAAGGCACAGCTGTTTTCTGCTTAGTGATTAAGTAGTAGGGTGCTCTAGAGTCAGGATGCCTGGGTTCAAATTCCAGACTGCCACCTCAGGCTGTGTGATCTTGGACAAGTGACTTCACTCCTCTCTTCTTCAATTTCCTTACCTGTAAAGCACATGATAATAACACCTGTCCCTGCTAACTTGTGGAAGGATTAAATGAGTTATTATCTTAAAAGACAACACAGTGTATGGCATATAGTAGTCATTAAGTATAGTTCTCATTATCTACTAAAGGTGTACATACAGACCCCAGGTGTCCACTCAATATCCCTGGGCAAGGATGTCCACTGCATTACCTTGGGCAAGTTATTAAACCTCATTGAGCACAGTGTTCTCACTTGTCAAAAGGAAACTGACAATATCCACTTCATGACATTTCTCAGAGGCTTAAATGAAATAAAGCTTGTGAATAACAGTAATAGCTAACACTGGTTGGATCCCTACAAGGTGCCACATGCTTCATATACTAGAAGGCAGATACCATGGTACCCCATTAAACCAAGGAGGAAACTCAGGCCAGGTAGCTAGAGTGGTTTGCTCACTCACCTGAGAAAGAGGCAGGGCTGGCTGGAGTTCAGGCCTGTTTTATCCTGAGCTTGTGCTTACTTCTCCACTCAGCTATCCTTGGCCTGCTAATGCAAAGTGCTATGACCACACATAAATTCATAAGCTCCTTATAGCTAACCCAAATCTGACTTGTAGGTCCACATTCTTTCTTGTCGCCTCTAGCATTAAGGGCAACTGCGCTGTGTTGGTTATCATCATTATAACCAGACAGCAGAAGGCTGAGGCTGGATCTTCCTCATTTTTATATACCACCTCTGACCTTTAAGTACTGTATCTCCTACATGGCAGACATTCTATAAATATTTCACCATCTGTGTCTATGCCCTGCTAACCTATTTTTTAAAAAAATAGGGCTGACTGGAGTGCAACTACTAAGGCACATCCAATTATTATCAGGATGACATCATTTCTCAGCCTGCACCTAAAATTGTTCTTCTCCAGAAGCTGCTTCCAGTTTTCACCATGTTAAGAGGAAGGTAACAGGGGAGTGATTCTCATATCCAGAGGAGGAAATCAACACTCATGTGACTGCACAATATTCTTTTTATAACATCCTTTATCGACTGATAAACTCTTGCTCAACCTCGTGGCAGGTCAATGTCCCACTATGTCAGACGCTGAGATGGGAACAGATCACACAGGATCCCAAGTTCAGCAGACAGAACAGTCACGCCTTTGGTCTCATATATCAGGGTGTGGTAGATAGGGAAAGGGTCAGGAAGGTGCTGAATGCCCAGTGCCCCATACCCCTCTCCAAACCAGCAACGCTGCTCCCGCCAAGTACCTCTGGATCCACTGGTCTTTGTAGGAGGAGCTGAAGGAAATGCCCGCAAAGAGCTCGGACTTGTTGAAACTCACACGAAACTGGTCCCAAAACGGGCCAAAAGGGTTTCCTTCCTGTGGAAAGAGAGTGGTCAAAGGCTTACTGAGGGAGAAGGAAAGCCAACTCATGGGGCCAAGGGACTGTGAGGGGGGGAACCCCGGTGATTTGACTTAGGATGACCCAGCAGGGACAGGAAGGTCACTTTGTAATTCTTTGTCTGGGGCCTGAGGAAGGCAACCCCACCGCGAGCCTGGTTTCTAGCAGATGTTCACCAGTGCACGAAGAAGACTTGCTCACTCTCATGCCGCACCCTGCTGACCCTGTGGCATCGACTTGGGTCTGAGGAGGAAGTGGACCTTGGATACGGGGCTGTGAATTAGAGAACTTCAAGAGACTTTCAAGACTAGCTAATCCAATGCTATTTCTTCCAATATGGAAATTAGGGCCAGACGGAGTAAGACACTTGCCAAGCTCACACAGCAAGTGAGAGCACTGTCAGGGCTATAAGCCCTAAAAGTCTCTTTTCTCACATTTCATGGCTCCTCCAACCACCCTCCCTGGACTTCGGCTTAAGCACTGAAAGCTATATTGAAGACTGTCGTATTCCCAAAGTGCCAGAAATTTATAAATTCACAAATGTGTGCTGATAAAATATAACAGCTGCTCGTTTGTCTACTAAGGCAGAAAAGTATACAAGTTAGGAGAGTGGACAATGGAGTTGAATTACAGAGGATTGAATCGTGGCTCCACCACACGTTTGCTGTGAGACCTTGGGCAAAATACTGAACCTCTTTCTGTTGCATTCAGTGGCCTCTATAACACAGGAATTTTTAAAAAGGATTTTATTTACTTATGTTTAGAGAGAGGGGAGGCAGGGAGAAAGGGAGGGAGAGAAGCATCAATGTGTTGCTGCCTCTCGCATGCCCTCACCTGGGGACTGGGGACCTGGCCCGCAACCCTCGCATATGCCCTGACTGGGAATCGAACTGGCAACCATTTGGTTCACAGGCCAACGCTCAATCCACTGAGCCACACCAGCCAGGGCAACAGGGCTGTCCTTTCCTCACAGAGCATCTGAAGATTAAATGGGTTAATACGCATAAAGCTCTCAGCATGGTGCAGCGCGTAGTAAGTGCTACGTGAGCAGACCTGTTATTACTGATGTGGCATTTTACAGTTTATGAGCACTCTTACACCCTGGCCCTTGTAATACTTTATGAGTGAGACAGAGCAAGGCCTGGCATCTTTATTTTGTAGGTAGAAATAAAGGCTCAGGGGAAGCAAAGTCCTCTACCCAAAGTGACGGCACCTACAATGCCAGAAATGGAACTTAAATCTCCACCTTTCAACTTCACACCCTTCTGGTGCCTTCCCCAACACTGTGTCATTATGCAGTGTCTCAGGGACCTAGGTACCGTGGAACAGGCAGAAAGACCCCCCGGAGCCAAAGGACTCACCTTCATTGGGCATGTCTTCTTGTCAGGGCTTCTCTGGGCTGCCACTTCAAAGCAGTAGGCCACCCGCTTCTCAGGGGGCCAGTGGGTGGGTGCCAGCTTCTCCATGAAGTCCTCCAGGCTGATGACCCGATGGTAGGCGTGGAGGGGCTCCAGCTTGAAGTACTTCTGGTAGGACACATGGATCTATGGAAAAGGGGGGGAAAGGAAGGGCAGTGGTTTCTCCTCAGTATCGTAGTAGCTGTTTCATAGACATTTATTAAAACCATACACTCCAAGACCCAGGGAGCCCAGACCACATGCCAATGAAAATCTTTTGGCAAAAGACAACAAATTAGGACAGAGGCAGAGTAGGACAAGGTATCTGCCAAGTAAAGAACAAAGAGTATTTTCCCTTGGGTTAGAAAATGCCTTACTGACCTATAAGGAAAAAGACAAATGATGTAAGGGAAAATATGGGCACAGGATAGGAGTGAACAACTCACAGCAAAGAAAAGCCAAATAGCTGATACACAAGAGGTGTGCAACTTCACTAGTAATTAGGAAAAAGCAAATTACAATGATGAGATATCACTTCTCACTAGCAAAAATTTAAAAGCTCAGTTCTGATTGTTGGAAGGGATATGGGGAAAAGGGGGCATTTTCACACTTGGCTGGAGTAGAAGTATATGTTCTGGAACAAACACTTTGGAATGTAGTCTTACAGCATCTAACAGAGTTTACAATGCTCCTTCTACCACCTCTACGCATTGGCCCTAGAGAAGTTCTTGCACTTTGCAACAGGAAATGGCTACAAGGACTCTAGAATATAGAAAAGAACTTGAAAGGAGTCATCACAACAAGGACTATGATATCCACGAATGGTTGCCTCTGTGGGTTGAGAGAAAGATTAGAATTAGCCTCAGGAGCCGAGATTTTATCTTTTAGCAACTTAATCTGTAGCAAACTGTTAATGATTATCACCTCTAGTAATGGGTGTACAGATGGTGATTGTATTAATCTCGGTATTGTTCTAGATTAAAAAGAATTTCTTAGAACACCATGGAATAAAATTTAGACTTTATCCTACAGAACAGGGTTCCCAAGCATGTTCCACTGATTCAGGTGGATAAAGGGTTCTGCAATAAAAGACTCCAGAGTTAAAGAGGCCTGAAAAATTTTGTGTTAAACTGGTGTCTTTACTAGAGGACTTCTCAGGGCCTTTAATATGCTAATGTGCATTCTAAATCCCCAATCTAGGGGGGATGGGAAATTGAGAATTTCCCAAAATGATTTAACCACTGCATGCTTCTTATACAAGTCATTGCATTCTGAAGAACAGATTTTGGGAAACTGTTAGCAACAAGGTTTCTAAAATGCTGAAGCATTTTATGCAAAAATAATACGAGATTTTCCTTTTTGAAAGGTCACTTTGGCGTTGTAGGAGAGAATGTATTGAAGACTAGAAGGGGGAAATAAGAGGCTATTGCAATAGTCCTTTTATTTGTTCAAGTATTCATTCAACATGTATTTTTTAATTTTTAAAAATTTATGTATTTTAGCCCTGGCTGGTGTAGCTCAGTGGATTGAGTGCGGGCTTGCGAACCAGACAATCGCAGTTCGATTCCCAGTCAGGGCACATGCCTGGGTTGTAGGCCGGTTCCCTGCAGGCCAATTCCCAGCAGGGGATGCACGAAAGGCAACCATACATTGATGTTTCTCTCCCTTTTTCCTTCCCTTCCCCTCTAAAGATAAATAAATAAAATCTTTAAAAAAAAATTTTTATGTATTTTAGAGAGAAGGAAAGGGAAGGAGAAAGAGAGGGAGAGGAACATCAATGTAGGAGAGAAACTGATCAGCTGCCTCTCACATGTGCCCCAATAGGGACCAAACCCAAACCATGGGGCACGCGCCCTGACCAGAAATGGAACCGGTGACCTTTCACTTTGTGGACAACGCCCAGCCAACTGAGCCACACCAGACAGGGGTTGACATGTATTTTTGAGCATTGCTGGTAAGTCCAAGTAAAGATGGAGAGGCATGGAAATGCTAGAAGATGTAAAAGAAGGTGAGGTAGTGAATAAAGGGAGGCATTTAAGATGCCCTGTAGACTTCTGGCTTGGTACCCACGTGAATGAAGGTATCATACACTAAGGGTGGAATACGGGAGGTAAGACAAGTTTAAGGGGACAGAGGCCAAATTCTGGCTTTGAGAATTTGAGATACCTGTGGCACATCCGAGTAGACTCCAAGAGCCTAGAAGTCAGAAACAGGCCTATAGTCAGAGGACAGTCTGGGCCACAGATCTATTTGGGAGGTATGTGGAGAATAGTGAAAGCCACAGGAGTCAACAGAAATTTATAGCAAAGCAATAATAATAATAATAGTATTAGTAGTAGTCATAGCAACTAATATTGCCCTGGCTGGGTAGCTTAGTTGGTTAGAGTGTCATCCTGATACGCCAAGGTTGCAGCCCTGGTCAGGGCACAAGAACAATCAATGATGCTAAATAAGCGGAACAACAAATGGATATTTCTCCCCCTCTCTCCAAAATTAAAATTAGCAAAATTAGTTGCTATTGAAACATAGCAACCAATATTTATTGAGTGCTGTCTTAACACCAGGTGCCGTACTCAGCAGATGAAGACTTGCTCACCTAACTCTATGAGGAGGAACACAACCATCTCCAGTTTACTCATGAAGAAACCCAGGAGCATGGAGTCCAGATAACTCACCTGAGGTCAGAGTTAATAAACAGAAAGAGAAGATGCACCAACATTTAAACAGTAGGTAGAGACAGAGCGGCCTCCAGTACAGTGCAAAGGGGAAATTATTGAAAGGTCAGGACTCAGGCAGGAACAGGCTGTGCCTGGGAAGCTAGGGGATTAGGGAATCTCAGGAAAAAGAGAGGTGCCATCAGGAGATTAGTTGAGGTGAAGACTGAAATGCCCCCTGGATCTGGTAACTCTGAGATTCCTGATGACCTGTCTGAGAACTGTCCCAGTAGGGAGTCTAACTGGGGTGGGTTAAGTAGTCTGTAGGCATGGAGTGAAGACTCCAAAAGACTTGGCTGAAAAGGTAAGGTGAGACAAAGCAAGTCACAGGGAGATGAATGGGCAATGTCTAAATTGTAACAGTGAGTGGAAAAAAATTAGAACATCAATGGGTCCCAGTTACTGGGGACTTCTTGTGTCCTAAGCACTTTACATTGATGAGCTCAGCTGATTCTAGAAAGAGACGTACATCGTCAAAGCATGCCATAATCAGTAACTCATGGTAAGCGATAGCTACCATTATTACTAGCCTATTTTAAAGATGAGGAAACCAAGATACAAAGAAATCAAGTACCATACCCAGGCTATCCAGCTAGGAGGTAGCCAAGCCAGGCTTTGATCTCATGTACTCTGGCTTTTAACTTTTGTTAAAAACTCTCTAGCCCTGGATGGTATGGCTTAGTGGACTAAGCGTCAGCCTGCAAACTAAAGGATCACCAGTTTGATTCCCCATCAGGGCATGTGGCTGGGTTGCTGGCTAGATCTCCAGTTCAGGGAGTGTAGAGGCAACCAATCCATGTTTCTCTCCCTCTCTTTCCCTTCTTTACTTTCTCTCTATAAGTAAATAAATAAAGTAAAAAAAAACCAAAAAACCCCACAACAAAACCCTCTCTAAATACAGGTATGCAAAGGAAAAAAATAATTTCTATGCAGAGAAAAGACTATAAAAATTAAATACAATGTTTTGTACATACTAAGTAGAATTTTTTTAAGGTTTATTGAAAAAAATTTGGGGGGACTTCTGCCAAGATGGAGGTGTAGGTGGAAACACTGTACATTCTCGCACAACCAAGTTTAAAGACAACAAAGTTTTAGTAAAAAAAAAAAAAACACAACCAAAACACAGAAAATTGAACTATACGGAAGTCCGACAACAACAAACCCTTCAGCCAGACCGGTAAGAGGAACCAGGACTGGCAGAGCGGGGTTGCACAGGAAAACTCGGTCAGACCGACCCAGGAGTGCGGTTGGCAGTTGACCAGTTGGCAGATCCCAGGAGTGGGATTGTGACGGGCAGATCCAGTGAGGGCGCAAGGCGGCAGGCTGACTGGGGTCACACATTTGCACACAGATAAACCAGCAAAGGAGCAAGCAGTGAGACAGACTGCGCAGGCCCTAGCCTCAGGAAGCAGCAGAGGGGACTGCTATTGCTCCCTCTCTGACCCTGCCCCCACATACAGCGTCACATACAGGCCCCACCATGGTGAATACCTAAGGCTCTGCTCCTTATACAAAACAGACGTGAACAGACCAAAATATGGCTTAAGAAGAACTCAAAGTCCCAGAGCCCATAACTCTAAGCAAACAAGAAATTGCCAACCTATCAGAGGCACAGTTCAAAACACTGGTGATCAGGATGCTCACAGTACTGGTTGTTTTAGTCACAAATTAGAGGAACAAATGAAGGCTAAACTAATTGAAATGAAGGGAAATGCACAGGAAACCAATAGCAATGGAAAGGAAACTGGAACTCAAATCAAGGGAGTGGACCAGAAGGAAGAAAAAAATGACCAAACAGAAAAATATGAAGAACAAGAATTCAAAAAAATGAGGAGAGGCTTAGGAACCTCCAGGACATCTTCAAACGTTCCAACATCTGAATTATAGGGGTACCAGAAGGGGAAGAGGAAGAGCCATGAGTGGAAAGCTTATTCAAACAAATAATAAAGGAGAATTTCCCCAATCTGGCAAAGGCCATAGACTTCCAGGAAATCCAGGAAACTCAGAGAGTCCCAAAGAAGTTGGACCCAAGAAGGAACACACCAAGGCACATCATCATTACATTAGCCAAGATGAAAATGAAGGAGAGAATCCTAGAAGCAGCAAGAGATAAGGGGACAGTCACCTACAAAGGAGTTCCCATCAGACTGTCAGCGGATTTCTCAAAAGACACCTTAAAGGCAAGAAGGGGCTGGAAAGAGGTATTCCAAGTCATGAAATCCAAAGACCTACAACCAAGATTGCTCTATCCAGCAAAGCTTTCATTTAGAATGGAAGGACAGATAAAGTGCTTCTCAGATAAGATCAAATTCAAGGAGTTCATCATCACCAAGCCCTTATTCTATGAAATGTTAAAGGGACTTTTCTAAGAAAAAGAAGATAAAAAAAGATGAACAGTGAAAGGACAGCAAACTCACAGTCATTAACAACCACACCTAAAATAAAAGCAAACTAAGAGGACAGCTAAATCAGGAGCGGAACCATAGAAATGAAGATCTCATGCAGGGCTAGCAACAGGGGAGTGGGAGAAGGTACAGAAAATAAGTAGCATAGACAGTAGGTAGAAAATAGATGGGGGAGGGCAAGAATAGTAGGGGAAATACAGAATCTAAAGAACTTGAGACAGATGGTCATAAACTAAAGGAGGGGATGGTGGGGGAGGAGGTGCAGGGTGGCGGGGAATGAAGTGGGGAAGTAGAACAACTGTAATGGCATAATCAATAAAATTAAAAAAAAATAAAAGTAAAATAAAATTAACCAGAAAAAATTTTTTTAATATTGCATGTTTTAGAGAGAGGGGAAGGGAGGGAGAGAGGGAAAGAAACATGGATGTGTGATGTGTAAGAGAAAGAAACATCAATCAGATGCCTGTCCCCTAACCAGGGACCTGGCTCACAACCCAGGAATGTGCCTTGAACAGGAATTAAACCAGTGGTCTTTTGGTTTGTGAGATGACAGACACCCAATCCACTGAGCCACACAGGTCAGGGCTTACTAAAAAATTTTTTAAGTATCTTATTTATTTATTTTTTTTAGAGAGAGGGGAGGGGAAGGACAAAGAGAGGGAGAAAAACATCAATGTGTGGTTGCCTCTTGTGCATGCACCCCCAACTGGGGACCTGGCCCACAACCCAGGTATGTGCCCTGACTGGGAATCAAACTGGCAACCCTTGGGTTAGCTGGCCAGCGCTCAATCCACTGAGCCATATCAGTCAGGGTTTATTGAAAACTTTTAAAGTCAATTTATTAAATATTAATTCAGTTACTCCTGCCTGGCCCCCACAGATACAGTGTGAACAAAGACAGACAGAGGACCAGTGGAAGACACAAAGAATAAGCAAGGAATTGGAGGATGCTGAGCATCACTGTGCTCAGGGAGCCCCTTGCTGGGATGAGACGTGGTGCTGGAGCTTGGGTTTGTGGCCTTGGACACATTTAACTAACCTGTGCTTCAGCCTATCTTTCGAAACTGATAATGGCTTTACCTTTGACCAATGGGGTGCACAAAGGGTGAGATCAAGCAGGGTTGAAGAATGGGGCTTTAGGTTCGGGCCACAGGTCCTAGAGTCAGACAGCACAGACTAAAACTCCAGCTCTGCTATGCACAAGCAGCGTGACCTAGGACAAATTACCTAATCTCTCTAAATCAGCTTCCTCTTTGGGATGTGATGAGGGAGAAAATAGCAAATCCTCATGCAGTGCTCAGAACAGTACCTGGCAGACAAGTAGCGCAGGATAAACGTTAGTTATTTTATTTCAGGGAAGAAAGTTCTGGGTGGGGTAGGAGTTAGGAACAGAGGGGTGGAAGGTAAAGCCCAGAGGACTTGGGGTCAAGAAGCAAAGGTGAACAAGATTGAAGAGCAGACAAGGGCCAACATCATCGAGGGGTACTCACATTGGTAAAGGGAGGCTTGTGATGCTGGTACTCAATCCAAGGGGGTACAGCCAGGGTGCGGTTCAACAGCTTTGCAAACGCCAGGGAGCCCAAGAAGTGATCAGCCTGGTTCCCGAAGCGCCCTGGATGGTATATTGTGAGTGAGGTGAGGCCTGGGGCATTGAGGGCATGGAGAATGCAGGGCTCATAAAGGATGCAGAGCCAGGGTTGGAAAGAGCCAGGGGAGCTGGTAGTGTAGGGTTAAGTCTAGACTCATGGGTCTCACAGTCAAGGCCCTTCAGGCCCTGTCCCTTCTGCCTCAGCCACTCCAGGCTCCCTACTGTTTCCTAAACATTCTCTACACTCCTAGTCTACACATGCTTAACTCAAGCCTTTGCTTTTTTTAACCTTCACCCAATTTTTTCATTGCTTTTAGAGAGAGGAGAGAGGGAGAGACACAAATATCAATTTGAGAGAGAAGCATCGATTGGTTGCCTCCAACACATGCTCAAACCAGGGACTACGCATGCCTAGACCGCAGATCAAACCTGCAACCCAGGTATGTGCCCTGACCAAGAATCAAACCCGAACCTTTGGTTATGGGATGATGCTTCAACCAACTGAGCCACACTAGCCAGGGCCCAAGCCGTTGCTTTTTGATGTTCCCTCCAGGAGTGCCTTTCCACCTCTCTCTCTACTCATCTGCTCAAGGAAAGGCAACTCTGATGCCTCATTCACTAGGATCTTTCCAACAACCTGCTGCCATTACTCAGTCCCCTTCTCTGCTTCTCATCTTGGACTGGAGTTAGTGTTGGTTCTTCACTAATCCTATGTCCTTTCCCACTTCCTGGCCTTTGTACTTGGCTGTGTCCTCAGGCTGTGAATGCCTCAAGGCAAGAACCTTGTCTGATTCTCTTTGTTATCCCTAGCGTGGCCTCCATTCATTCATCCCACAAATATTATTTTTTGGATAATCTGGAAGAAAACACAAAGTGCCAGGCTCTCTGCTAGATGCTGGAATACAGGAGTGAGCAAGAAGGATAAGGTCTCTGCTCTCAAGGCACTCAAATTAAACATGTAAATAAATATACAGTGACAAATTTTGATAATTTCAAGAATGAAATGAAAGAAGTTTGGTAATGGAGAATAAAGACATTATTTGGGTTGAGGTCAGTGAAGTCCTTTCTGGTGCTATTGAAGCTGTGCCTTGAGGATGGGAAGGAGTTGGTATGGCAGAAGTGAAGAGGGTGTGTTCCGGCAGAGGGAACAGCATAGGCAATGGCACAGGCTTCAGGACCGGAGTATGTGCAAAGAACAGAAAGGGACTAAGTGTGCAGCTGGAGGATCTGGGAAAGAAGGGTGTGGAGAAGATGGGCAGAGGTCCAAATCATCACGGTTAGGCGTCTGGAGGATTTAAAGAAATGCATGATTTTTACAATGATGATTCACCACCCCACTTAAACTGCACCCCTGGGCGGGCCATTAGATTTTCCCTCACCTTTTTCTACTTTATTTTCTCATAAATAATTTAACGTTTATGCTTATTTCTTATTGACTGTCTTTCCCAACTAAAATGGAAGCTCCACAAGGCCATGGAGTTTTCTGTATTATCACTGCTAAATCCCTAGAGCAGCGCACAGGGCTGGGCACAAGGTTAGCGACTTGTAAACATTTTTCTAATGAATGAAAGAATTGCCCAAAGTGAGTGCTGGGTCCGGTCTGTAACAAAGTCCTGCCCCACTAACTCCATTTACTAGGCTCCGGAATAGCTTAGACCTCGCGCAAGACATGTAACCCTTCGCGGCCTGTATTTTCATCTGCTGACAAATGGAAGGTTGGACGCTGAGGCCTCTCATTGCCCACGACAGGGTTCTGTCCTGAACTTGTCAAGGTGACTCTGGGCGCCTCAGAGGAGTGGCTTCGCCTCTCTGGGCCTCAGTTTCCTCATTTGAGCAGAGGGCTCGGGAGGCCTTACCCATGCATGGGCAGTAGAGCAGGTAACCGGCCGGATCCCAGGAGCCCGCGGGCAGCCCGGGGAGCGGCAGAAGCAGCAGCTGGAGAAACGCACACAGCGGCAAGGGCGGCCATGCCCACGCGGCGGCGCCCATGTCGGCTCCGAAGCCCGAGCGCGCCGCAGGGCGGAGGCGGAGAGGAAAGGAGGGGCGTGAGCGTCCGCCCCGCTCCCGACGGTCCCCGCGCGCCGCCCGCGCACCGCCCCGGCCTCTCTAGCCTGCAGGCGGGCGGGACCATAGAGAGCCCGCGGCACCGCCCCCTCCACGGCCCGAGCCCTCGCTCGCGCGGCTCCCACAATGCACCGTACAATGGCCCGACCGCCGCCACTACCGGGGCCTGAACGGGCCTGGCGGAGCCCGAGCGCGGTGAGTGCCGGCGAGGGCCCCAGGGGACGGCGGGGAGCGGGGCGGGAGGCCGTCTCTCTGCGCCCGTGCGCCCGGGACACTGAGCGGCGGAGCCCCTCTTCTCCGGCCCTGCAGCGCGGTCGTCCACACCCCCGACCGAGGCCCCCTCTGCGTCAGCCCGGGCCCAGATAGGCCCCAGGGTGACGAACCCTCCCTGGAGCCAATACGTGGGGCCTGGGGGACGCTACGAAGCTCCACTGCCCACCCCTCTTCTCCGAGACCTGGAGACGCAGCCCTAAGGGTCCCTTACTCTCCGACCCCGAGGGTCCCTGGAGACCCAGATAAGCTGCACCTGCTCCCTCCCCTCAGACACGCCTACCCAGACCCACAGAGCCCCCTTCCCAGCTCCAAACAGCCCGCTCTTTACCCTTTTTCATATTCCGGAGCCTCACAATCCTTTTTTGAGGCTTCCCTCAAATACCTGGCTCTGGGAAACCCAGATGTTCTCTCCTCAGTGGCTGTGCTCCCTAACCTTAGATATCGTCCATCCGAATACCCTTTTCCAGACTCTTAAAATTCAGGGAATACACTTGTGGCTCTCCGGAACCTTTCAGTCCCTGTGATCCCTCCCAATCTTTTTTTTTTTTTTTTTTTTGAGGGGGGTCCCTTAGAGATCCGTTAGCTTGATCATGAGTCCTTGCCCTTTCTTCCTAACCCTGAGATCTCCAGACTATCCCTGAATTCGTTCCTTCCCCGGCAGCCGTCCACTCCCATCTCTCCCAGCCCCAGGGGAGTGTAACCTTTCCCACCACACAGTCGGGTGGTCTAGAAGTTGCTGGAGGAACCAGGCTGTTCCCTGCAAATCCAGTCCCGCACTCCGGCCCCAGCTTGGCGAGGGGGAAAGGAGTTGCTGGGGCTTTCACCTGCCTGGGTGGCCTGTCTCCTGGTTTGGGTGTTTTTCCATCTGTCAGTTTAGGAGTGTGATGGAGGCTGGCCTTGGGATTCTGATCTGCCCCCCACTCCCAACTATGGGAGGCCACCAGATTGGGGCAGAGGTGGGGGGGTGGGTTGGGGTGGGTATCTATCAGGTTTCCTCTTCATGGAAATAGGGCTCTAGTGAGGTGCAGCCGTTTTCTCGAGGTCTCCTCTGGAGTGGGAGGCAGTGGAAAGGAGAGGAAATAGCGAATCAAAGGGACTCCAGAGAGGGCCCATCTAAACTGACAGAACTAGGAGCCCAAGAGTAAATCCAGCCCCTGTTAATCCAGTTTGATTTCTCTTGGAATGATGCAAGTTACTGAGACTGCAGCCTCTCTGTAACTTAATTCTCCTACCACTCTGGAGTGGTGTGAGAGGGGGGTGCGCGGGCGGGGGTGGAGGGGGCAACTATTCTCATTCTTCTCACTGTTTTCCATCCAGTCAGTGTATCTTTGGATTTGTTTCTGGTACGCAGGTCAGGACCTGGCTTTTTTCTCTAAATCTATTTATAATTTCCCAGTTACTATTTTGGGTTCTGCTTAAGGGAAGATTCTATCCGCCCCAAGGAACGGGTTCCAGGGTGCAGGGTGTGTTTCCTCTTGGGCAGGTGTTGAATTAAGTTCTTCAGATCCCCAAGTAGCTCTTAGGCAGAGGGGATAAAAAGCTATTTTAGGGTAGTCACTGAAGTGGAGCTGTTAATCCTCTGTGGGTCTCCCTAGTTAAGAACACTTAGAGATTAACCCTTTCCTTGCTGCAGGAGGGCTAGTTCTCAACAGCGTTTTGAGAGGGTTTGGAGAGTGTGGCAGCAGAAGGTGGGAACATGCAACTCAATACAAAGGCAAATAGCTGCCTTTTGTTGGGTATTTACAGCAAGCCGAGCCCTATGCTGAGCTCTTTGCATACCTGACTAACATAATCCTTTCAACAAGCCAGTGAGGTAAGTATTTTTAGCTTTACAGATGAGGAAACAGGCTAATAATGGAGAAAGATCGCAGTTTCTATAGAGATGATGTAACACCATAAAAACTAGTTGCATCAGAAGGCAGCAGGAATTATGGCTCACAGCAGAGGACAGCCAGACTACGGAGCAGTATGTCTCCTTTCATCTGCCAAAGATGGCTGTCCAGAGTTTTTAGCAAGCATTGTATTTGGGGTGTGAGACATAGTAATAGAAGAGATTCCTAAAGTGAGAGAACTCTGGCCCAGGATGTAGTATGGTAGGAAGGCAAAGACAGGTTAGAGAGGATGTGTGAGGGTTAATTGTGAGGGGAAAAGGGGAAGGTTGCCTTCTGGGGAGATGTTGGGAAGGGAAGGAAGCTGAGGCCTGAAAAGTAACTTTAAAGGGTGGGGGTTGGTGGGGAGAGAAGTACTTCTCAGGCCCCATGTGGAAAAGTGGCAGACACAATTTAGATGTCAGAGATGGCACTGCATGTATTCACACATTTCCTGTATCAGATGCTTTCAAGATTATTATTTCACTTAATCCTTCATGGGACTATTATAGGTAAGGCTAATAAGTCTGTTTTATTTTATTTGAACTTCTATAAGTTTATTTGAGCCAAACTGAGGACAGTGTTGGGAAGCAAGATCTCAAATGTTCCCAGTAAGCCTCTCGTAGCAACTGATGAAACTGGGGCTCAGGGAAACAAAATAACCTGCCCGTGGTTTCACAGCCAGTAAGTGGCAGCTCTTTTGAAAACAAGTCCAAGGTTCTTTCCCCGCTGTCTCCCTCTTTAGATCAGGTGCCAGAAGGAATCTTAGGATGAAAATACACTGAGTTACTGGGAAAATACACCAGTAACTGGGAGGGATTGATTGTGTTTGTTTTATGGGAACAGGTTCTGTCAGCTTCTCTGGAGTTAAGGTTAGGCAGTAAGACCAGAAGAGCAGCTTTAAAAGAGAAGCAGAATTCTTTGACAGTTTCGCTGAGGAAGAAGTCTGAAGGCATAGGCCTGCTAATGTGAGAGAAGCCTAGCAATCATTCTGGAGGAGAGGAGTTTGCAGACACAGGACAGAAGGAGAGATACTAGATTCCCAAAAGTTTTCCTAAGGTAACAATAGCTGCTTTGGTTGTCCAGTAGCCTTTCAGTGTGACTGTAGGTAAGGACTTCCGCTGTGCCTTTTTAGCTGTGCCTTTTTACAAAGCGTGGAGGGAATAGGATCTGGGTGTTGGCTGCTTTCCTTTTAAAGCCATAGCCCCATTAAATGCAGATCAAGGCAAGCACATGGCTGCTGCCTTCCTCCTTTGGTTCTGAGTACAGCCTCGTGAGCTCTTCTTAGCCACCACCAGCCTGTTTCCTAGAAGCCCATTACTCACTCTTTCAGTAGCTGCAAACTGAACTGCTGTGTCTTGTTTGTGCTTGTTCAGGAGAACAGATGAGGTGGACGTGTGGGAGGCGGGGGATGTACTGTTCTCTTTCTGAGTTTGTGCGGAATTTCCAGGGCTAGGCTCCCCTCTCATATTAGCCAGGGATGGAGCTTGCTTCCCTCTGGCTGCCTGCCATTCCCAGCTTTCCAGAAGCTGAGGTGCATGATTTCAGAGTATCAAGGGGGAGCAGAATTTGACTTTGAAGGTAGGGGAAATCCCCTTCAAACTTGTGCTTGCTATCTACCCAATTCCAAGGTTCGTGGTAATCTCTGGTATTATAAACAGGTAATTCCACCTTTGTGAAGGAGGATACTTAATGAAAGGCAGACGTCAAAGGCCTTTGAGGTTTATAGTGAAGCAGGTAAATATGCCTGGACTGGAAGGCTCAAGTGGGACTAGTTCTACGCCTCATCAGCACGTGACTTAGGTAAAATGTAGCCACCTTTGTGCAGATCTTTCTAGGCAAATCTCCACTCGTGATGGGGAAATGTTTATCATATTACATTGCAGTGTTTCTTCAACAAGTGGAATGGTTCCTGGACAGGGCGTAGCTCATGTTAATGATGAGCAAAGCTCTCTAGGGTATGAACCCGCTGATCCTATCATCTCGTTCACGGCCAGTCTGTTGGATGAATGGTCACTGTAAGCAGCAGGTGCTAATGAGCTGAGCAAGCGTTCTGTAGCCCATAGCTAGTCAGTGTGGTTAGAGCCCTGCCCAGATTCTCGTGGACAGTTCCCAGATACCCTTTGCTCTCTTCACATGGTAAACTCTCATGACCACACTTTGGCACGACCTCTTCAAAAGGAGTCAGTTTGGTAACTCCCATCCTCTTCCACTGAGTTGATGTCAGGAAAGAAGTGTCACTGTGCTCCGGCCACCTTCTTCTCTCCCCTTCTACTCAACACAAGAGAGGATCAGGTGTCAGCATAATAGCTCCACACTTGGGAAGTGCTATAAACCCAGAAAAACTTCCTTTTTTAATTTAATTTAATTTAATTTTATTTTATTTATTTTTAGAGAGAGGGGAAGGGAGGGAGAGAGGGAGAGAAACATCAATGCGTGGTTGCCTCTCATGTGCTCCCTACTGGGGACTTGGCCCGCAACCCAGGCATGTGCTCCGACTGGGAGTCCGACTAATAACCCTTTGGTTTGCAGGACAGCACTCAACCCACTGAGCCACACCAGCCAGGGCTAAACCAGAACTTCTTGAGCATAAGTTAAGCCTATGAGAATCAACTTACATCAATGACTAATATACTCATCTAAAAGAAAGTCGAGGGTTCGTTTCTAGATGCTAGGTGTATGGAGATGAAAGAGATACGATCTGAGCCCTCAAAGAAGCAGAGTTCAGTGGAAGAAACTAAGTTCTAATGCAAGTGTGTTGTTACCTGCTTCTCATGGAGAAATGCACGTGCGCTGTGAATGGCTATAGGAGGGGCCACTCATCAGCTTAGGGTATTGGACAGGCTTTGCTAAAGAAGCAGAGTCTGGACCTGAGACCAAGAGACTCAGATGGTGGAGGGCAGGGTGGGACCAGAACTGGTTCAGGGGAAATGCTTAGTGTGCTGTTGCCTCCTCAGACAGAACCTCTTGATGTTGTGCTGCTAAGAAACACATCTGGCACAGGGGCTGACTTTTCAGGGTGTAAATTCGCTAAATAAAAGCTTCTTCTTTTCCTCTTCTGCCTTTTGGGCATTTTATTGCTCCTTAGCACCTCCATGAGGAGTAGAATTGTGGAAAATAGTGGGTGAGGGGGAGTTAGGGTAAAGAGAAGGAAGAGGAGATAGAACCGCTATCTCTAAGTTTAATAGAAAGGATCTAAAACAGAAGTTAGAAAAGAAAGTTTGGAGTTGAGGGCTTTTATTTCCTCAGATTATCTTGTTTCCTGTTAGCCTAGGTGGTACTAGTAATCATGGTTACCACTAAGCACTTATTAGATGCCCAGCCTTCTACCGAATCCTCCATATTCATGATCTCATTTGATCCTCAAAGCATTCTTATGATTCAGTTTATTTTGTACGTGAGGAAACATCTCAGAGAAGTCATTGGAAGGGCTGGGATTGAAACGGGGCTCTGTTTGTTGCCTCCAGTCTCTGTTGCCATTGGACCAGACTCCCTAACACCAGGTGTTCTGACGTTTCAGGTGAAGAGATTGTTTTCTGACGGCTGCGTTGGAGGCTGTGACAGAGCAGAGAGCCTGTGTGGAGCCGATGGGGAGGCTTTCTGAGTAACATGGCCCTTCGCCATTAGCCTTGCCATGACCACATTTTTCACCAGCGTCCCCCCCTGGATTCAAGATGCAAAGCAGGAGGAGGAAGTGGGCTGGAAACTAGTTCCCAGACCTCGGGGCCGGGAGGCGGAGAGTCAAGTGAAGTGCCAATGTGAAATCTCGGGGACACCCTTCTCAAATGGGGAGAAGCTGAGGCCTCACAGCCTCCCTCACCCAGAACAGAGACCATATAGCTGCCCTCAGCTGCACTGTGGCAAGGCTTTTGCCTCCAAGTATAAGCTGTATAGGTAGGTGGCACTCCCGTACCTCTTCCTGTCCTGAGGTTCCAGGAGGACCAAGCCAGAGACTCCACTGAGTGTGGCAGAAGAGTAGAGGTTAATTCGTCCCACAGTATGTCCCGAATGCCAACCATTTGGGGTCACACAGTAAAACATAATGGGGGTGGGTTTTTGTTTGTAATCCTCACCTGAGGAGGACATTTTTTCCATTGCTTTTATAGAGGGAGGAAGGGGGAGAAAGAGAGAAACATGGATGTGAGAGACATTGATCAAATTGCCCTCTGGTACGTGCCCCAGCTGGGGACTGAACCCACAACCTGAGTACGAGCTCTGGGAGTCGAACCCATGACGTTTTGGTCTACAGGACAGCATTCTAACTAACTGGAGCCACACTGGCCAGGGCAATGGTGGTGATTTTTATTCAAACACTAAAATGTGATGGGTATCACATCAGATAGCCATGAACAAACTAGATTGAACATTTGTTCTCTATACTACTTCCCCCACTCCTGTAAGGTAATGGTGAAAATCTTGGTTAGAAATTAGGAATCAATCTTAGAACTTCAGAAAGAAAGGGAGACACTGGGGTCCTATCTATAAATTTTAAAGTGGAGGCTCAGAGTAGGGAGGTAACCTACCCAAGGTCACATAGCTTCTTAGGTCCTGTAGTGCCTCTTCTACTGAACCAGCCTGTCACGTAGATGATTACTTCTGTGTCTGTAGAGTCCCTGGTATCCTCTGGCTCAGCGGCCTTCATGAAACTTGCCAGACCAAGAACCCTTGCCGAAGTGAAATGGAACGCGAAAGCCCTGGCGTAGAGCAGACATGGCAGAGCAGCTCTGAAGGGGGGGCCCTGCTTCAAGGCGGTTTTTATTTTATCCTTGCTTTTCTATCAGGAGTGCGCACCGCCCTTTACAACGGAGGTAGCCTGCCCGGTGCCCTCTTGCATCCATCAGGCTGGGACTCGTTGAGCTCCTGCTACATGCTGTGCACCTGTAGCTGGGAGTGCTGGCCCTCCTTGAGTCCGCTGTCTTAATAGTGTAGACAGACAGCAAGCAAGTAATGTGAACAAGATGACCAACCACAGAAAGCCTCAGTTCCTTGTTTGGAAAATAGTTTCTGGGAAGGAACTAAACCAGGTGGCAGGGTGTGTGACCAGGACTGCCCTTGGGACAGTTCTGTGGTCCTCAGGAATGCTTTGAATCTGCGTGCTTCTGTGTCTTCGCTGGACTCCACTTGTGGCTGTCCTCTTAGACCACCTTTTTTTTTTTTGAGAATTTTTGTGTGTTTATTTGAGTCCAACTGATGATAAATGCTGGAGAGCATGCTCTTAGACGACCTTAGTGACAATCTGGGTGTCCGTGAGAGGCTGCAAGAAAGGTCCTAGTCCAGGAGGCAGGACCCCGACTGCACCCACAGTCATTGTGTGACCTTAGGTGAGTTACCAAACATCTTTGGGCTTTCGTTTCTTCACCTGCAAAACGAGGGGAGTGGACTGTGGATCACTCAGTACTTCCCTGTCACACATTACCCGGCCAGTTATGCCTCAGGAGGTCAGTGGTAACCTCATGGGTGTGAACACCAGAGTAGCATGAGAGGAATGGCATGTTTGATGTCTTCAGACAGAAGGGATCACTGGGTGCTACACTAGAGACAGTGGTGGCATACCTAAGTGAACCCGGTTCTCAAGGTCGGTGTTTAAATTTAGCTTCTGCCACTTACTGACTGCTGTGTGGGACTGCTCTGTGCTTCAGCCTCTGATGGAGGACAAGGCTTGAGTGCAGGGCCTAGCAAATGGTGGGCCCCAAAGTCTTACAGAATCAATTCTGAATGTATTATGGAGCTCTGGGTTGTAATCCTAGACTCTGAGCTGCTTTCCAGTCAGACGGGAGCAGGTAAACCAAGGGACGCTGAGGTGCCACACCATGAAAATGTTTTGGGGTTGTTTTTTTTAAGATTTTGTTTATTTATTTTAAGAGAGAGGAAGGGTGGGAGAAGGAGAGGGTGTGCGTGGTTGCCTATCATACTCCTCCCACTGGGGACCTGGCCCACAACCCAGCCGTCTGCCCTGACTGGGAGTCAAAATGGTGACCTTTTGGTTTGTGGGCCTGCACTCAATCCACTGCACCACACCAGCCAGAGCAAATGAAGACGTTTCTTAAATGTTGCTAGTTTACATGGCAAACAGTTTAAATGGTAAAAATGAGCATGCAGTGAAAAAGGAATTGTTCTCACACTTGAAGTCACTGTTCTCCCCAAAGGCAGCCGGGTGGAGGGTGGGGAGGTGAGTTTCTAGTATGTCCTCGCTGAGACATTCAAACATGTATTCCCTTTTTATTCTTACAAGGGAGTGTGTTGCATACACTATACTGAACTTCCTTTTCTGACTCAGCCCCAGATCAGGAAGTTTAGATATATTTCACTTTCCCTTTATTTTGTCACTTAAATATTTAAAAATACAATCTATTGAAAAGGAAATACATTCACATAATTTAAAATGTAAAAGGTACCAAAAGATATACAATGAAAATGCTCCCATCACACCCATAAGCTGCATATTTCTTCTCCCTAAAGGCAAGCAGTGTTGTCAGTTTCTTTTATATCCTTCTAGAAATATTTTAAGCACATTCAAGCAAATTTACATTTATTTCCCTCTCTTCATATGCATAGTACCAGTCTACACGCGCTCTTCTATCTCATTGCTGGTTTTACACTTACTATATTTTAGGAGCTTGTTCCTTGTAGATACATAGAAAGCTGCCTTATTTTTTTTTAAAGACTGATTTATTTTTAGAGAGAAGGGAAGGGAGGGAGAAAGATGGAGAAAAACATTGATGTGAGAGAGAAACATCGACTGGTTGCCTCTCATACACCCCCACCAGGGACCAAACTTGCAACCCAGGCATGTGCCCTGACCAGGAATCGAACTGGCAGCCTTTCGCTTTGCGGGATGACACCCAACCAACTGAGCCACACTGGTGAGGGCTGCCTCTTTTTTTTTTTTTTTTAAGTGGAATCATAAAATAAGACCCTTAAGAAAACTTGAGTTATTTTGTGAGTTTATCATAATTTGTTTAACCAGTCTCCTATTGGTGAACATTGAGATTGTTCCCGATGTTTAGCTCTGGCACACAATGCTGCAGAAAATAGCAGTACATACAGGGTGGGGCACAGGTAGGTTTACAGGTGTGACTACACGCAACAGTTTACCCTGTATTCTTATGTATTATTGTATTGTTCTCCATGCAGACAGCTGTGAACCATCTTTTGCTCCACCCTATATGTGATTCTGTGGGTGGGCCAGGATATCGAGAATATAGTTGGCATGCTATTCCATCCATCCCACTGCATGGCCCTACCATAGTTTTCATACCCAGTTCCCTGTTAATGGTTACCTCAGTTGTCTGGTCAGCCCTTGCAATCTCATCTTTCTCCTCTATTTTCCATCTCTACCCCAGGCACATGGCCACCCATTCATCCCAGAAACCACACCAGTGCATGTACTGTGATAAGATGTTTCACCGCAAGGACCATCTCCGGAACCACCTGCAGACCCATGACCCCAACAAAGAGGCTCTCCATTGTTCCGAGTGCGGTAAGAATTACAATACAAAGCTGGGCTACCGGCGTCATCTGGCCATGCATGCTGCCAGCAGTGGTGACCTCAGCTGTAAAGTGTGCCTGCAGACCTTTGAGAGTACCCAGGCACTGTTAGAGCACCTGAAGGCCCATTCACGCCGGGTAGCAGGGGGTGCCAAGGAGAAGAAGCACCCCTGTGACCACTGTGACCGGCGGTTCTATACTCGTAAGGATGTGCGGCGGCACCTGGTAGTGCACACAGGCCGGAAGGACTTCCTGTGCCAGTACTGTGCCCAGCGGTTTGGCCGCAAGGACCACCTGACACGGCATGTCAAGAAGAGCCACTCACAGGAGCTGCTCAAGATTAAGACAGAGCCAGTGGACATGTTAGGCCTTCTCAGCTGCAACTCCACAGTCAGCGTGAAGGAAGAGCTGAGCCCCGTACTCTGCATGGCCTCTCGGGACATGATGGGGGCCAAGGCCTTCCCTAGCATGTTACCCATGGGCATGTATGGCACCCACATCCCTGCCATGCCCAGCGCGGGCATGCCACACTCCTTGGTGCACAACACGCTGCCCATGGGTATGAGCTACCCTCTGGAATCCTCACCTATCTCTTCTCCAGCTCAGCTTCCTCCAAAATACCAACTTGGATCTACCTCATACTTGCCTGACAAATTGCCCAAAGTGGAGGTGGATAGTTTTCTGGCGGAGCTTCCTGGAAGCCTGTCTCTCTCATCCGCTGAACCCCAGCCCGCCTCACCTCAGCCGGCGGCAGCTGCGGCCCTCCTAGATGAAGCACTGCTCACCAAGAGCCCCGCCAACCTCTCTGAGGCCCTCTGCACTGCTAATGTGGACTTCTCCCACTTACTGGGCTTTCTTCCACTCAACCTGCCCTCGTGTAACCCACCCGGGGCCGCAGGGGGCCTGGTCATGGGCTACTCCCAGGCGGAAGCACAGCCCCTGCTCACCACATTGCAAGCTCAGCCTCAGGATTCCCCGGGAGCTGGGGGACCGCTGAACTTTGGGCCCCTGCACTCCTTGCCTCCTGTCTTCACCTCTGGCCTGAGCACCACCACCCTGCCTCGTTTCCACCAGGCATTCCAGTAGCCCCCAAGGAGGCCCTCAGCTCAGTCCCGGACTCTGTCAGGGAGCTTCAGTACCCATCCCGTCTGCATCCCCTGTAAACGCAGCTGAGCTTTCAGAGCTGGTTCAAACAGAAAAGATTCCAGTATCTGTATGGAGCACTTGGTTTGGGGGCTCAGGCTCCAGCATCAGTTCCAGGAGGAGCCTTGAGCCCCAGCCCCATGAAAAGATCCCGTACTATAGGACTTCAGGTATTTTTACTTTTATTTTTTTTAAATCTGAATCGGGAGCCACACTTAGTCCTCTCTTTCTCCAAAGTGTCAGAACCCGCTCCTCTCAGGAGACTGGGGAGACCTGTTGGAGACAGAGAGTTTCACTTTGGATGACCTCGAGAAAAGTAGCTGAAGAAGCCCGCCTTCTGGTCCCAACCTGCAGACTCCACAGCAGTCAGTCAGGCCCTGCTGCAGAGGGTCACTTGGCTCCATCACCTGCTTCCAACGGACGGGCAGGAGAGAGGGCCTCTGCTCTTCCTCACCACCCCCACCCCTCCTTCACCAGCACCTACATTTTCAGTCAGTGTTGTCCAGCAACGGTACTGTTTACACAATCGCTTCAGACACACCATTTCACCTCTCTTGCCGAGCTGTTAGCCTTAGAATGATTGCAGTGAACATTGTTTACACACCATGAATTCATTCCCACCAGTCCATTCCAGTTGGCACCAGCTGGAACCTTTTGGTACCTGGTGTTAACCGGAGCCCTGTTTACAAGGCGGAGTCGGGTCTCGCTGACTTCTCTTCACTTGAGGTCACATTTTTCCCCTGTGGGGAAATAAACTGACTTTGGACTGCTTCAGTCTCTGCCATCTTCCATGACTGTGTCGTTCCTGCCTTCCTCAGCAGTGTCTGCAGAAGACAGGCAAGAAGATTGGAGCAGTTTCTCACAGGTCTGCAATTCTGTTTTTCTCCAAGTATGTATCATGACCCCCTCGTCCTACTTTTGAACTGGGGAGGGGAAGAAACGAAAGGCATGCCCACTTCCGTCTCCTCCCCTTCCCTAATTCCCACCCTGAACATCATGAGCTGTTATCATTAGTCTTAGGAGGGACTGGGGTTCTAGGCTGGTGTGAATAGCAAAGGAGAGGGTGTGAACCCCTCCTTTGTGTCTCCTACCTGTCCATTTCCCAGGAAGTTGTGGAATTGTAGGAAGAAGAGTTTCAGAAAGTTAGGACTGAGCAGAGAGATCCTTGAGTCCTAGTCTGTGGGTGTGTCATTGCCTCCCACACGAAACTTCTCTTACCCACAACGTCCTTCTCTCCTCCACTTTGCAGTTCCCTTGGACTCAGGGCCACTCACTGTACATAGGCTTTTCTGCTCTCTATCAAAGAACTTCCACTTTCCAGTTGTGGCCTCCCTCAGTTTTGCCCCCAATACTCAGCAAGGTTTCTTGCAACAAATGATTAGTTCTGACTTGTGGGGCTCTGCCAGAGACAGCGCAGCCCCTGCCCAGCTGAACCCCATCCTTGCTTCATTTCAGTTCTGTGTGGGCACTCTTCCCATTCATGGAAGGGAGGTAGCTCAGGGACCACCAGTGTGGGACCCTTCTGAGACACCTCCACTCTGATTCAGAAACACACTTCTACCTCTTTACTGTTAACTCCTACAGTGCAGTCAGCAGACTCTGGGCACTTCTTTCAGTGGGTGCCTCGTGCTGGCTTCTCCACTAGGATTTCAGGACAAACTACTGAGGAACTGCCTCAGCCTCCTCCCAGCCCCCCCCCCCCCGCCCCATCCTTCCGTCTAGGAGTAACTTCGGTCTGTTGTCGGAAACTGAGCAGGTGCAAGACCCAGGCTTCTGCTTCAGACCAGGCCAGTGCTCTTTGAGGTGAAAGCCTTAAATTGTAGCTCCCTAGCCCTTGGTTGGGAGCGATGTGGAGTGAATAAGCACGTTTTTGATTTAGGCAGGGTAGCTTGGGGTACCTTTAAAAAACAAAACCAGATATAAAAATGTCTGGCAAGGTAGAACCAGACTAGGTGATTTGCTTCTAAAAATTAGTTTTCAGTGAGTCCCAGGGACTGATTAAGGTTTATTTTTTTAAAAGCGTCCACCTTGGTACGCAGCCACCTCCTGCATGCTGTGCATGTTACTGGGACTCGTATTATAGGAAATGGTATGTGAGGATCCAAGCAGGACTCGGTGCTGCCATTCTCCTTGTCTGGGCTTCATCACTAGACCCAGCAAGCCTCCCCCTCCCTGTCACCATCCCTGCATCCTTTGTTTACAGAGGCAAATAGGCCTCTGGCCACAGAATACAGCTGATACAGGAGACCCCTCCTGTCTGCCTTCTTTCCTCTCCCTCCCTTGAATCCTCTATCCCAGTTAGTGATGCTGGGAAACGCATAGGACAGGCAAAGCAGCTATTTAAAACTTGTAACTGGAGCCTGGCCCCTCCTCTCCCCTTCTTCCTTCCACCCTGCCCCATTGCTCTTCCTCCAGGGCCCTTACCACCCCCAAGGAGTTTCCCTATCACTGTGAACTTCCCTGAAGCAGAGGAGCGTCAGCCTTCACCTTTTTTTTTTTCCGCATCATAGCCACCCAGCTGTTTCTTAAACCTCCTTTTCCATAATTAAAAAAAAAGAGAGAGAGAGACAGAGAGAGAAGCCTTATTGGCCTGGTTGTTCGAAGGATAATAGCTTTATCCCACACTCAGTAGCAAACCCACTGCAGTACCCTTACGGAGGCTGTGAGAGCCTGAGTCTTGGCATCTGCCCAAGACAGGAGCCATGGCATGTGGCAGAGACCAAATAAGGAACAGGAAAAAGGGGTGTCATGTCCCCTTCCCCACCATCTCTTCTAACTAACTTCGGTTAGCAAGGAGCTGCCCTGAATGGGGGCAGGCACCTCCCGCCCCGCAAGGTAGCTGGTCACAGTTGAGCGCAGTCCTGAGGCCAGGGACGGTGCCCAGTTCTGTCAGCACAAAGGACCTGTGCACATCTCGGAGGTGAGAGGTTGGAAAAGAAGTACCAATGAGTTTTCTCCCCCAACCTTTTACAACTGGTATTTTGTTCATGGAAATCCGGAAAGCAGGTGTGATTACTTTTTTGCTCGTACATATTGTTCTACATTGAAATTCTCCCACTGCCCTAAACTTTCCTCTAGTAGTCCTTTAAATCTTCTCTCCCTTCTGTTTGGTAGCTGTTTTTTTTTTTCCACTCCCCCTTCCACCTCCCTTATCTAGGAGCTATTTGTAAGCACGAAATTTTTTTAACAGTTTATATTGTACAGGATCAATATTTTGCTTTTTAACAAGGATATTTATGTAATAAACTTTGCCTTAGGCAGGTGTTGGCCAGAAAAATCCAGATTCCTCTGGGACCCCACCCTGGCCTCTCCTGGAGCTCTGAACCTGCTGTGGAAGGAATTGGCTGTGACCTTCACCCCTGGAGAATAGGGTCTGTGGGTAGGGAAAGGGTGTTCTAGTCCTGACAGGAGAAAGGTTTGCCGTGATAACCTGGTGCCTCTGTGGAGGGCTTTGGAGGAAGTATGGAGGAAGAATTCCAGTCTGATTTCTCCGGGTGCAAGCTGACTTCCTTAGCTGATTCTCCCCACACGCACCTCTCCTCCTCAGAATAGTTGGTACTAGAGCTCCTGAAACTCCTAGTGGAGTTTCCCTCCCTCCCTCCCTCCTAGTGGGAAAGGCCGTGGAGCCACTCTTTCAAAACGCCAGATTATTTAAAGAGAAAAATACAAGACAGAAAACCTTCTAGCACTTTGTAAACACAGTGAATAACCTCTTGGAGTATTTTTGGCTTTATATAAAACAAGGTTTTTAATTGTAAAGTATAAGTGCCATTAGAAAATGCACAGGGCATATCTTTGTTAAAGTAGATTTTTCAATGTTTTACAGAATTACATTTTCAAAAAAAGTTTTTATAATGAAGTTGTTTATTAAAAACTTCTGAATGATGTGTTTGGGAGTTGTGAGCCTCTCTGATTGGGGAAGGGTTGGAGAGAGCTTTGGGAAGAACTGGAGTCTACAAACATCTTCAGCGTCGAAGGGGATGGTTAGTGTAGGGACAGACGGTAACAACCTACACATCAGCGCCTGGGAACTTTGCACTTTGAAATAAAAGAGCGTAACAGGATGCCTTTGAGGTAAGTGGCATCATACTATCACTTAATCTTGGCTGCAGGGATCAGAAAAATCAAATCGGCTTAATGAAGTTTCGTGTAACTGAAAATGCCAGATGTTGGTTTAGTCTCTACGTTGATCCGGCATTTAAATAGTTGACATTAACATTCTGAGTTCTCCCTGCCGCGTCTCATGTAGTTGCGACTTTGTCCTCAGGGCCAACAAAGTGGCTTTTCCCTTTGTGTAGTAGAATGCTGCTATACTCCAGAGTTGTCCTCACAGTGCTGACCAAGGAGAAAAGGGACCTTTATAGGCTCTTGGGAGAGAGCAGCCCTTTTATTCATAGAAGCCCCAGTAAGTATCTCCTGCCTCATTAGTCTTAATGGGGTTCTGTGTTATTCCCAAACCAGTCACTATATGCCAGTGATGACAGGGCTGAGATGGGAAAACTGGCTTCTTGAAGGAAACTTGGGGTACCATTGGAAAGAGGAACAGATGCTGACTGTCCAAGAAAAATGTCACCCACTGCCCACCAAGCACAGATAGTGACAGCCAGGCCCTGACCTTGCCCAGACTTGTGCCTATCCATTAGTTTCAGACGAACTGCTGAGAGGCTGACATGGCTTGGACAGTCTCTCATAGAGGTAGTTCTCACCATCCTGGGCCCATTCCCTTGTGCTGAGATCCTCCCACTCAGGGCTCAGACTGAGCTTGATTTCCAGTGGTCTGGAGCCAGTGTCCAGTACAACTCTGGAGTCCAGCCCAGGAACCCATGGGGCATTAACAAGTGTTAACAGGTGTTTTGTGTTTAAAAAAAAAAAAAAAGCAGTGGGCTGGCCCTTCATCTCTTTGGCCTTCCATTTACTCAAGTAATGTTCACTGTCCATTCTAATGGGTCAGATCCCCAGGGAGGGCCCCAGGGGAATCCGCCTTGGCCTCCAGAGGGTGCATGCCCCTGGATGGGTCTGGGGGCTCAGAGCTGTCTTTTCCATTGAGCCAGAGGGAGCTGAAGGCTTTCTGGAGGAGGTGGCAAGGATTTCCTGGCAGAACGGGCATAGGGGTATTGACCCCCACAGGCCACAAGTTTAGAAGCTAAGACCACAGGGATGAAGATGCATTTGTAGAACCCCGGCTGCAAGGGCTGGTCCCTCCGGTCTCTCACCTATCCAAGCACAGACCGACTGTGCACCTCAGATTTGAGTTGACATTTGTGAAATGTCTGGTGCAGAGCCAGGGGGAAGCTGCTGGGCCTAGGGCAAAGTGTCTACCTTTCAGCCTGCCAGCCCAGAAGGACCCAGCTGGTTTGGGGGAAACCAGGTGATGCGCTTTGCTCCCTGGTTGGCAGTATTTGAAACCTTCCCTTGCCTCCAGATCTTTACTCTGGCCTTGTTTCTCCTTTTTTCACGTATTTTGAGCACCTCCGTGTGCCTGTTAATTACCATCAACTGCCCTCCCAGTTGGCTTCTGGTGAGTCTTTGCAGGGAATACCTCTCCAGCCCCTATACATATGCCTGCTTTACCTAGAGCAAAGCTGCAGCTGTCCTGCGGCTGCCCCAAAGCCGCAGAGGACTGTGGGCACCGGGAGACTCCCACCGGCCCACCGGGGATGCGGGAACAGTAATGACCTGGCATGGGAGTTGTGATGGTTCTGTCTGTGACCGAGGTTGGGTCTGATCATCCCCGGTGCCTGCTCTGAGTTGCTCCTTGCTTGGTACACCCCTGCACTTAACTGCCAGCGCCCTATTAATCTGGAGCCAGTTCTGCCGGACTCCCCGCCGGGAAGCTCCCAGCCCCTCCGCCAGACCTCCGGGCCCCTCGCCTCCCGCAGCCGGGCGACCCTAGTGAATCACATCCGGAATGAGGGGGCACGAGGGGCGGAGCGCACCCCGGAGGAGACTGCCTCCCCGTCTCGCACTCACGGCGCCACCACCGCCAGTCGCAGAGCCGCCCCTCTCACGGAACTCTTCGTGTCTCCCGTGCACCCCAGTCCCTTCAGGTCAGAGGCTTCCGCAGGTGATGGCGGACGAGGGTGAGGGCGTCCTGGAAACCACCGCGCGCCTGCCAGCGGGCCTCGCGCGGGAGGGGGGCTCGCGCCTGGCCCCGGCGGCTGGGGCCCGAGAAGCCAGGGGATACGGGCACCCCGACCCCTCAGATGGCCCGAGGACCGCCCCGCCTGTCCTCGGGCTCCCGGGAGCGTCCTCTGTGGCGACTCATCCTACCCTGGAAAACGGCCTTGTTGGGGGCGAGGCCCCCAAAACCTGTGGCGCAGTGGGGTCGGGGGCCCAGGCTGAAGCCCGCGAGAAGGCCAAGGAAATGACGATTGAGGAGGGCGCCATCTTCTCGGAGGAGGCGGAGGGGGAGGTGCAAAAGCAGCAGGTGGGCGAGGAGATGGAGGTGGCTGAGAAGCTGGTCGAGGAGGAGAAGCTGGAGGTGGGAGTGGAGGCGCAGGAGGGCCCTGGGCCGCTACACCTTGATGGCCCAGTTGTGGACCCACTGGAGGCCATCCAGTGGGAGCTGGAGGCTGTGAGTGCCCAGGCAGACAGGGCCTACCTGCAGCTGGAGCGGAGGTTTGGGCGCATGCACCGCTTGCACTTAGCCCGTAGGAGCTTCATCATTCAGAATATTCCTGGCTTCTGGGTCACCGCCTTCCTGAACCACCCGCAGCTGTCAGCCCTGATCAGCCCCCGAGATGAAGACATGCTCTGCTACCTGATGAATTTGGAGGTGAGGGAGCTCAGGCATGCCAGGACCGGCTGCAAGTTCAAGTTCCGCTTTTGGAGCAATCCCTACTTCCGGAACAAGGTGATCGTGAAGGAGTATGAATGCAGATCCTCAGGCCGGGTGGTGTCTATCGCAACTCGCATCCGATGGCACCGGGGCCAGGAGCCCCCTGCTCTGGTACACAGGAACCGAGAGACTGTCCGCAGCTTCTTCAGCTGGTTCTCACAGCACAGCCTCCCAGAGGCTGACATGGTTGCCCAGATTATTAAAGAGGACCTGTGGCCCAACCCCCTGCAGTACTACCTGCTGGGGGATAGGCCCCACAGGGCCAGGAGAGGCCTAGCACGGTGGCCCACAGAGCCTCCTTCAAGGCCCTATGGGTTCCAGTCTGGCTAAGCCCTGCCCTGGAACCTGGCCCCTACCTACATGAGACTCCCTTCTACTTCCTGTGGACCTCTGCTTAGGCCAGCAGTGGCACTCTGTCGTCTGCCTTCTCCTACATGCACTCCGGCCCCTCTGGACATTCAGCGGACACAGCTCCAAGTTGAGGCCTTCATGATGACGTTCTTCTGTTTCCATATGGCCTTCATGCGTCACAGGAGTCACAGGCCACAGTGTCTATCCCAGTACCCAGGGCTGCAAATATGTACTGCTGTCATCTTCGGGCCCACCTTTGATCATGGCCTCCCCACCCATTTCTGAGATGGCGCCCACGAGTCATTGCTGGAAGGACCAGTGCCTCTGCAAGGTCACAACATGCTGCGCTTCATATTTATGCTGGCTCTGCACATGGGCTGTGGCCAGCTGCGTCTCATCACCCACGACAAAGTGGGTGCACTGTGCTGGCTGTCAACTGCACTTGGACATTCTAGGGCCTCAGAGCTTCAGGATGACAGGCCAGGCTACTGGACTGTGGGACATCCGGTAAAATGGGCACACAGACAGCAGAGGGCTGTTGTGCATGGGTGAGGTCAAGGACGTGAGGCAGTGGGCAACACATTCTTTGTGATCACACTGACGTCACCCATGTGGGTCCTGCTTCACAGTCTGCTATCTGCACAGGCCTGTGCTCTACCTTACCGATGTCTGGCTGTCACCCTTCTCATGAGTTTGGCTGAGGTTGCCACCAGCCCTTTTGCCTGCTCCCAGGTCTATAAGGACCTCAAGAACTGCCAGTGGAGCCAGGTTGGCCACCTGTAAATGCACAAGACCCCTCAAACTCCCAGGAACTCTGCTGTGCTGGCATTTCTGGGCATGGGCTCAAGGCATGGGCAATGACTGCGTCCCTTCCTGAGCCCTGGTCACTGGACTCCTACAGAGTCCATCTCCCCGTTTCTCCGTGTTCTTTAGGCTGCCAGGTTGGGGCTGCTGGGGAAGGGGTGTTTCTGGTCTGGGGGCTTCCACCTTCCCGAACTCACATCTCTTCATTTCCTTTAAAGTGACAGCCCAGAGATAAACAACTGAAGAAGCAAGGTTTTTTATAAACAGTTGAGGAGACAGGCTTTTTTGTTTAATTTGCCTCTCTTTATCCCCTCTGCTCCCATGCCCTTCCCCTTTCAGCAAGGTCTAGAATCTTCAAAGGGGAACAGTACAGGGCTGCTCAACAGGGAGACCAGGAGGTAGGGCCCCCCAGGGGTAAGGGTTCTTAACCGTTTTGTTTCTGCTGCGCTCTTTTGGACTGACTTTGGCCCGACTCTCTCCTACCAGGTCCAGTGCCCCTCCCAGGATCCTATAGGTACAGGGGCTTAGTTGTGCCGCTCTCTGCAACCCAGTTCCCTTTCCTAGGCTTTTGTTGCTGTTTCCATCTTATTTTAGGGGTGACAATACCTAGTCCCCTTCCCATGAAAGGCCTTGTCTTCTCCGCACTTGGGGAGGCCTTGAAACAAACTAGTGGGGGATACGCTCTTGGCCAGGGAGAAGCCAGAGCCAGCTGGCAAGGCGGGGATACCTGAGTGCTGGTGGAGCAGAAGGAAGGGAGCCCTGACTCTTCCTACCTTTACTCATTGACCAGTACGTGTATTAAGAACTATGAACAGAACACTGCATCTTTACAGATTCTCTCCATCCAGGTAAAAGCTTGTGTTTGTGGAAAGTTAATTCTGTTTTCCATTTCACTGCTTATAAGCAAGAACCTGTGTATCCCCTTCTCCATTTCTGCCAGGGAAATTGAGTTGACAAGGCCTGCTTGTTGCTTTGAGTTGAGAACATTTACAAGAATGTCACTAATTTTTTGATACCATTTGGGCACTTACGTGGCTATTCATGATTGTTACCAAATTGTTGTGGCCTGATAACATAACCCTGTACTTAGAAATAGTTTTGAATATGGTGGTTTATACTGTTACTGTGTTGTGAGGGTGACCTCCCAAAGGAAACCTGTAACTCGGGTAGTCTTGACGATTCTGTGCTCCGGTTGCCATGTTGGAACCAACATCACTGTATTGATATCTCTGCTTCTAAACAAATATTCGTGATGTGGCTTTGTCCGATCAGAATAGGATTCATGGCACTTTTATCCTCTGTATGCATGATGAAAAAAATAAAACCCTTTCAGTCTGGGGGAAAAACCAACTCAGATCATGTTACTCCCTCTCCAAAGCCCTCCAATGGCAGAAGAAAAAAATTAATTCCTTATTGTGGCTGACAAAGCTCAGCACTTTCTGGTCCTTGCCGACACCGCCCATCAAGGGCCTCTCCACCCCCAACACTTGCCTCTCTGCTCCTTAAAAGACACCAAGCCTGTTCCAGCCTCAGTGTTTTGCCTTGCGTTTCTCTCCGGAACTTTCTGCAGATACTCTTCTCCGACTACCTCCATTCTTCCAAGCCCCAAACACTGCAGAGGCCTCCCCACCCAGGCTGTCTGAAGTCATCCTCTCCCCATTTCCGTCTCTTCTCCCCTTCCCTAGCAGTCTGTCGCTTTTCCCCATGTGCACCTCAGAATCACTGAGCGTGAATGACTGTTCATCAGAGCATGTGCTGGGCTCTGACAACATGGTTCCCTCCCACGGGGTTCAGCTGGGCAGAGAAGGGTGGAGGTGATAAAGGGTGACCTTAAAATTTGTCATCTAGCAGGAACACAACTGTGAGTGAAAGGGGGACACTCATAATTACACCGGGACAGGAGGACTAACTGGCATATAATGGTTGCCCCAAAGAGACAGAACCCAACTTAGTCTATCTGGGCACGTAGCTCATCCCAGCTGTGCATGATGTGTGTGATCAGAGGGTGGGAAGTTCTGTGAAGCTGGACGCTGAGGCTGGGCTTTGAAGAATGGGCAGTAAGTAGTTTAGAAAGAAAGTGGGGCTGGAGAAGGGAGTTCCTGACAGCCAGCAGCCTGACTGAAGGCCCTGAGACAGACGGTGCCTGCTGTGTTCAGGGCACAGCGTGTGCCCTGGGTGTGGCTGTTTGGGAGAGGCAAGGCTGGGTGGGTAGTTTAAGTCCATTTTCTGGAAACAGAAACTGAATGCAAACTAAGGCTAATGGTGGGGAGGATAAGCTGTGGCTCAGAGGTGGGAGAGTGGGCAGGGCAGGTGGAGTCCGGGGGGGGGGGCGGGGGGTGATACCAGCTCTGTAGTGTCTTCAGTTTGAATCCTGCCGAGCTTCCGCGAGGCCCTCCTTGATTGCTCTAACCCACCATCATCTCTGCCACCTCCCAAGTACAGACTAGAATTTTGGACACCAGTACATGGGTGGGCTGTACCCTCTGCATTTCTCTTGTGCTAAACAGCTGTTTTGATGATCCTAGGGGAATCAGGTTGAACCTCAGCATCCTGGTGGTCCTGGAAGCTGCTGCCCCATGTGGTTTGCCTGCCCTGTAACTACCTGGTGGTTGGCAGGTGCACTTTGGCTCCTGCAGCCCACCCAAATACAGGCCAAGCTGCAGCCTACCTATTCTTAGGCCCAGGACAATGGTGCTCACCGAAACAGGAGCTTACCTGATCTTTCTGCGGCATGACCAGGGGCATGCTTCCTTCACACTGACTGACCTTGGCAAGGGTACAGCCCAGCCATGCGTCTGGAATATGAGTGACTCATTTGTTTATCTGCATATCTTAGTGCCCCCTCTGTACGAAGCACTGGGGATGCAGGATGACCCTATTCAGGTGTCTGCCCCCAGCGAGCTCAAGAGTTCCACCAGGCTGAAAACAGTGACAGTAACTGCTGATGTTCAGTGAGTGCCCCCTCTGGGCCAGGGGCTTACAAGGATACAGCAGCCAGAGAGGCTCTCTAAATGTCTGGCCATGGCCCTCTTCGGCTCCCAACCCTCCAACCCGTCTGATGGCGAGTGAGAGGAAACCAACATCAGAGAGGAGTGCTCCGCATGGTCTGCAAGACCCTGGCCCTTGTCACCTGACCTCGTCACCTCCTCTCCGATACCCCTCCTTCTACTGACACCTGTGTTATGCTGGTCTTCGAATCTGTGCCAAGACCTTGCTTGCTCTTCCCTCCACTTGGAACCTTCTCTATGTATTTGCATGGCCAGCTTCTCGATTCAGTAAGTTCTAAGCTCATCTGTTGCAATTTCATCTCTTCAGGGAAGCCTTCCCTGACCACCCTTTCTAAAAAACACCCTGTCACGCGCCTTAAGCCCTTCCCCTGATCTGGATTTTGTTCTAGCACTTACACCATCTGACACAATATTGTATATTTAGTTATCCGCCTGTTTCTGTGCACGCTCACTGCAGAACACCCCTCCCCCAGAACAGCACCCGGCACAGTGCAGGGCTCAGCAGCTGTGGAATCAACGCATGCTTTACGTCCTCAACGTTCAGGAGGGTCTTCCAGGTGGGCAAGGAGAAGACTGTCTCTAATGACAGGAACTGCGTGGCCCAAGGCAGCTCTTTTCCAGGCAGCCTCTGGGGTTGCAGCAATGTCGTTGGGCCCACTCCCAGTCCCTCCTACTGAGAGATGGCCATTGGGCTTACGTGCTCACAGAATGGAGGAAGGCCAGGGTGGAGGAGGGCCTCCCTGCTCTGGTGTGGAGAGCAAACTCATCGAGTCTTGAGGTCAGGGTTTTTCTCACCTCTGCTCTAAGAGGTCTGTCCTGTTGGCCCAGGGAGGACTTTTGGACAAGTTCTTGTCAATAAGAAAAATAGACAGCAATCCATTGTTACCTGTGACTGTGCTGATTACAGCTTGGGGAACTTTGATATTTTCCTCCATGGACATGATTTCAGCACAAAAATTAAAGGAATTCCCTGGTATCTGCTTGCCCTTGCTCAGCAGCAGGACTAAACACTGATTTGGGCTGGTGGCCTCTGAGGCCCTCGGCATCAGAGCTGACTCGGGATCTCAGGGGCGCGGGGCTGTGGTGGAGCGGGCACCGGCGGAGAGGCCGGCAGGCCCGTGTGCTGCTGGCTCCCCGCGGTGGGGCCTTGGCCATGACTTCTGACAGCTCTCAGCCTGCCTCTCCCCTAAAGGAGAACTTGGAATTCCCTAGCAGGGGGCAAATGTCCCTTTAAGATGTCTTCTGCTCCACACAGCCGCCCAGCCCTCCAGCTGGCTGGCTCAGTGGCAATACTTTTGATTTTCCGACAAGCAATTTCTTTTTCTTTCTTTTTTGTCTTTCTCCTTTTTTTATGTGAACATCCAGGCGAGATGGGCTTTGGGGCGGTTTGATTCAGCAGCTCAATGATGTCTTTGAGAACTTGGGTCTCCTCCAATCTGCATCCTTCCTGTTCTCCACCCTCAGGTGGTGCCAAGATGGTGGCAGTAGCCCCAAGAGTCACTGTAGGATATGGCAACTCCAGAGAAGCCCCGTTGGGTCTTCCCACGACACCCCTAAAATGGAGGAAACCCTTCCTAGAAGCCACTCAGACTTGCATCTAATTGGCTAGAATGGGGCAACACGTCCACTCGGGGAGCACGGGACCATGACTTGCTTAGACCAAGCCTCAGGGGTGAAATGGATGTCTGCCCACAAGGTCTAGTGGGGTTACTGACACCATCATCTCTGGGAGCTCACAGGCACGATTCGACCCTTCTATGGGACCCCCCAAGATGGCACTTTCATGCTGCGATGGTCCTCAGGGTCAGAGGGTACTGACTTTGGGGCTAGCGTAGGTCCAATGGCAAGGTTCTGGTCTTGGAGATTTCCTTAAATCCAGACACGTCGCTGGCAAGCTAAGGTTCCCAGGCGTCAGGCCCCTTAGACTCCCCTTCGGTGGGTGAGGAGGGAATAACTGATTGAGCACCTACTGTGCAAGCGACCCTTTCACTTAAAGGAACTCACACAGTCCTTCACAGAGGCCTTGTGATCGTACAGGTGAAAGAGCTGGCAGCAGAGACTGCTGCTTTCAGCCGAGATGGAATTACGGGGATCATATTCATCCACCTGAAGCAAACAGAAAAGCAACCAGACAAGCAACCAGACCAAACACATGAAACAGTGTTTTTGAAGGCTCTGGACATTGACCAGTAAAGGACAGCGATCCCAGAGAGACAGGAAACAAGCAAGGGGAGCGCTGTGATCGCCCCGGCTTCCTGCCCTGGGGGAGTTTTCAGGCTGCAGCAGAAGGAGGGAGGATGGCAGTGAGCCCAGGGTGCTGAGCTGCAGACAGTGACGAGAGTCTGGGCAGACCAAGGGGGTGAACTCCTAGGACAGAACGCTAGGGAACGAGAGCTGCACAGGGGGAAACCCCTGGAGATCTGTAGAGGGTCCCCTGGAGTGTTCATCAGAACACTGATCGGCACAAGCCTGTGGGGAAACTCTCTGCGGGTAGGCAAAGAACCATCAGGAAGGATTCAAGAGACTAGAATAGTGTCTCTTCCCACCAGCCGTGGCACTGGGGACAGCATTGTGGGGTACTGAGAATACTTAGAAAGATCTTGCTTCTGTAGTGGCTAATAATAAGCCCTAGAATGAGCACTGCTCTGGAATTGCCTAAGAAAATCTTATGAGCAAGATCCAACAACATTAAACTGTTTCCGGTAACTTAACTGTCCCAGAAAAAAGCTCAAGAAGATTTCCAAGATTATAAACACATTCAGCATCTAACAAGGTAAAACTCGTGTCTGGCATCCAATCAAAGGCTGTCAGGCTTATAAAGTCATAATAAGCAACATAGTCCACAATGAGGAAAACGAGCAGTCAAAACCAGAGGTAGAAGTGAGCAGATAACATTCAAGATTATAATTGTATTCCACAGCTTTAAAAAGCCTCACATGTACAGTCGAATGATTTCTGACAAAGGTGCCAGAACCCATGGGGAAAGGACAGACTTTTCAACAAACCATGCTGGGAAAACCACATTACTAAGTAGAAAAGAATAAACTCAACTTTGGCTGGATAGCTGTGTTGGTTAGAGAGTTGTCCCAATTCTCCAAGGTTACAGGTTTGATCCCCGGTCAGGGCACAGACAAGAGTTAACCAATGAATACAATGATAAGTGGAACAACAAATCGATGTTTCCCTCTCTCTCCCCCTCCTTTCTTTTCTCTCTAAAATCAATGAATAAAAAAGAAAAAAAATAAAGTTGAACCCTTACCTTATATACAAAAATTAAATTAGACCAAAGACTTAAATGCAATACCTAAAACTATAAAAATCTTGGAAGAAAACATGGAAAGAGCGTCATGACATTGGCTTGGCAATGACTTATCAGATATAACACCAAAGCAGAGGCGACAAAATAAATGGAAATGGGAGTCATCAAAATTTCACCAAAGGACACTATGGACAGAATGGACAGGCAACCCACAGAATGGGATAAAATACTGCAAATCTTGTATCTGATAAGGAGTTAACATCCAGGATATATAAAGAACTTGTATAACTCAGTAACAAAAACAAAACAAAAACCCCCTCAATTTAAAAAAGGGCAAAGGACTGGAACAGACATTACTCCAAAGACGTACGAATGGCCAATACGCATATAGCAAGATGCTCAGCAGCACTAATCACTAACACAAATCCAAAACACAAGATACCGCTTTCCATTCACTAGAAAATGGGTATTATTAAAAAAAAAACAAAACAGAAAGTAACAAGTATTTTTTTAAAGATTTTATTTATTTTTAGAGTGGGGGAAGGGAAGGAGAGAGGGAAAGAAACATCAATGTGTGGTTGCTTCTCATGCAACCCCAACTGGGGACCTGGCCTGCAACCCAGATATGCCCCCTGACTGGGAATCGAACTGACAGCCCTTTGGTTCATAGGCCCGTACTCAATCCACTGATCTACGCCAGCCAGGGCTATTTATTTACTTTTTAGAGAGCAAGGAAGGGGGTGAAAAAGAGAGGAAGAGTAACATGTGAGAGATAAATCGATGGGTTGCCTCCAACTGGGAACCTGGCCCACAACCCAGGAATGTGCTCTAACTGGGAATTGAACCAGCGGCCTTTTGATTGTCAGGCTGGCACTCAAGCCACTGAGCCACAGCAGCCAGGGCAAAAATAACAAGTATCGACAAGGATGCAGAGAAACTGCAGCTTTCGTGCATTGCTGATAGGAATGCAAAATGGTACAGCCACTCAATAAAACAGTATAGAGTTTCCTCAAAAAATTAAACATAGAATTTCCTCATGACCCAGCAATTTCACACCAAGGCATGCGCCCAAAATAACTGATAGCAGAGACTTGAACAGAGATTTCTACACCAATGTTCACAGCAGCAGCACCCACAACAGCCGCACAGCCACTGGTGGAGGCACAAACAAAATGTGGTATTCACATACGATGGCATAGTAAGCCTTAAAGAGGAGTAAAATTCCGACAGGTTACAATGTGGATAAACCTTGAAGACATTATGCTAACGAAAATAAGCCAGACACAAAGGACAAGTGCTGTACGATTCCCCTGGAGCCGTCAAAGTCATGGAGACAGCAAGTAGAGTAGTGGCTGCCAGAGGCCGAGGGAAGGGGAAGAGTTACACTGAGCACAGAGTTTCAGTTTAGGAGAATGGAAAGTTCTGGAGGTGGCTCATTGTGATGGTCGTACCACATTGTGAGTATACACAATGCCAGTAAGTTGTACACTTTAAAATGGCAAATTTTATGTGTATTTTGCTCAATAAAAAGTTCAGTAGAGATGGGGAGGATATGAGAAAAAAGACCTGTGGGGCTCAGTGGGTTGAGTGCCAGCCTGTGAGCTGGAAGGTCACCTGTTCACTTCCCAGTCGGGGCACATGCCTGGATGCGGGCCAGGTGGGGGCCTGTGAGAGACAACTGATGGAGGTTTCTTTCCCTCTTTCTCCCTCCCTTCTCCTCTCTAAAAAATAAATAAAAGGAGAAGGGAAGGAGAGAGGGAGAGAAACATCAATGTGTGGTTGCCTCTTGTGTGTCCCCTGCTGGGAACTGGCCCGCAACCCAGGCATGTGCCCTGACTAACTGAACCTTGATCCTCTGGTTTATAGGCTTGTGCTCAATCCACTGAGCTACACCAGCCAGGGCTAAATAAAATCTTAAAGGAAAAAAAAAAGACCTAAATGAAATTTCTAGAGATGAAAAAGACAATGTCTGAGATGAAGACCACACTGCACGTGATTAACGGCAGAGGACATATGGCAGAAGACTAGTGTATTTAAAGGCATAGCAATACAAATTATTCAAAATGAAATACAGAAAAAGTAATTTTTTAAAAAAGAAAATGAGTAAAGAGCCCCAGTGGATGGGACATCAGTGGTGGAAAAACTTCAAGCAGCCTAACATACAAGTAATCAGAATGGCTGAAAGGAGAGAGATGGGAGAACAAAAAATATTTGAAGAGATAATGGCCTAAAACTTTCCAAATTCACTGCACACAGTAAACACACAGTTCCAAGAAGCTCAATGTCCTTTAAACACAAGAAATGGGAAGAAAACTATGGCAAGGCATCCATAATCCACAGCTCAAAACCAGCGGCACGGAGCAAGCAGTCAGAGAGAAGACTTGCTCCAGACGGAGCGGGTGAAGAGGGGACATCACCGCTGCTGCTGGAAGCAGTTCCAGGGATGAGATGATAGACTGACATCTTTAAGTACCAGGGGAGAAAAAACTTGTCAACCTAGAATTCTATACCCGGCCCCCCACCACAAGCTTTCACTAATGAAGGTAAAATTGAGATGTTTTAGGCATATAAAAACTGAGAGAATTCATCAACAGCAGATCTTCACTACAAGAAATGTTTAAAAATGTCTTGCAGGTGGATGGACAAGGATACCAGTTGGAAAACAGACCTACACCCAAAGGAATAAAGACCAGTAGGAACGGTGCCTACCTGAGTGCGTGTATGTAAGAGTTGTTCTTTTTTTTAAGATTTTACTTATTTATTTTTAGAGAGAAGGGAAGGGAAGGGGAGAGGGAGAGAAACATCGATGTGTGGTTGCCTCTCATGTGCCCCCCACTGAGGACCTGGCCTGCAACCCAGGTATGTGCTCTGATTGGGAATCGAACTGGTGACCCTTTGGTTCCCAGCCCGCACTCAATCCACTGAGCTACACCAGCCAGGGCAAGACTTGTTCTCACTCCACTCCAAACAGCAGGATCTCCATTCTTTCCATGTGTACATCCAACATTTATCCAGACAGACCATATTCTGAGCCACAAAAAAAACTCTCAATAAATTCAAAAGGTTTAAGTCATATTGTACAATACAAAGTGTCCGCCCAAATTCTATTATGAATCATTAACAGAAAGATCCCTGAAAATAAAATCCCCCAATACTTGCAAAGTAAGTAACACACAAATTTTTAAAAATCAGATATTAGAAAGTATCTTGAACGGAACGTCAATGCAACACAATCTACCAGAATTTCTGGCACGTTGCCACAGCAGTACTTAGGAAGCAATTTATAGCATTGAGTACCTATATTAGGGGGAAAAAGGCCTCACATACACGACCCTAAGAAACTGGAATAGAGCAATTTAACCGAGGCACTGTAGTCGGAGGTGATGGGGTGCAATAGACAGCTGTTATTTTTGTTGCCTTACACCCCTTCACTATGGGAAGTGGTCCTTGTTTCATCACTCATTCCAAGTGATTCTAGTGGGGCTCAAACCCACCATAGCCAACACTCTTGGAGTATGCAGCCCACAATACTATTCTATTCCCCTGAACTTAGTGACTGGTCCAATATGTGCCAACAGTAATCGAGGCTGGGCCCACCAGAGACCTCTCCTGGGATTTATCTATATTAAATATACTGAAGTCGGGAAGGAGATGTCTTTTTTTCCAGGCTTTCCAAACCAGCTAACATTTAAGCCTAAAGCAATGTGTGCCGGGTCCCCGCTACCTCCCGCACAGAGATGACTCCAGACCATGGGACGGAAGGGCCAGAGAGCAGCAGAGGGGGAAGAAGGGAGAACCCTAAGGCTATCCTCTGAGCCCATGGATCTATGCAGACACCAAGCCAAACCATTCCTCTCCTTCTGGTGACTTAAGGAGCCAATCAGTTCCTCTTCAGGCTTAAGCCAATCTGACCTGTTCCTACTGCTTGCAGTTGAAGGAGTTTTGCATGACAGAGAAGTGAGCTGGTAGTAAAACATTGGAGATGGTTGGTGGGCATCTAATACCAGGTCTCACTGCTACCAAAGCTCCCAGTTAAATACAATTTCCTACTTGTGGGATCAGAGGGACAGATGCTTATGATTCAGAACGTAGGGGCTGAGCAGATGGGAGAGGCTGTGGACTTGTACCAGGCTGGGGAACAGCAGTGGCCTTGACACTGGGAAGTCTGACATGAGACGCCTTCGAGGGAAACCACTCAGCTCCACCTGTTTGGAGAAGCAGCCTCACCTCAGCTTGCAAGAGACTCACCCCAACCCTTGCAAGAGACTCAAGAAACATGACAACAGGACAATGGCATATTTATTTACATTTGGACCAAAAAAGGCATACAGGCATTTTTTAATTAAAAATAATGACGATGATTTAAAAAGTAAGAAAAACTGATGACGCATAAATCCTTTACTAGAAGTCCATTTCCCTACTCCCCCTAAAAAGACTCTCTTAGGGAAAAAAAGAAATGCAAGATTTGAAGAAACAAGATTTCATTGTCATTCTCTACTGCTTGGGCTCCTTTTCTGCAACCTGATTCTTCGTGGCTGCCACGTGGCAGTGGCGTCACTGTGAGGCAAGGTTGAGAAGTTCACTGGCTTCACTGGTGGGGCTGGGACTGCTGGAGGGATGGGGGGGAGGGGGGAAGAGTGTGTTCCTAGCTTAACCAGCATCCTGACCTTTGTCTTGTAGTGGGCGTCCCAAAGGGGCTGGAACAGGGGTGAGTGACTGTTACTTAGTCCCTAATCCTTGGGTGGGTTTGGTCTCTTGTAATTTAAGAGCAAGTGTGATGTGAACAGAGTGGGTGGGGGCCTTAGCCCCGAGTGTTGACAAAGGAGCCAGACCTGCTGTGTTGGCGTCCTTTAACTTGGGGAAACTGGGCTCCTTGCCTATCTATTCCCGGGAACCGGGGAAGAAATGACAGAACTTACCTTCCATCTCTCTTCTCACCAGCAGTTTTCTGGGTGTCCCCCAAAGGAGGCAAGAACTCAGATGGGGGTGGGGAGGTGGGTTTGGCTAAAAGAGCTGTGCGTGGGCACTGAGGCTGGGGGGTGTCAGGCAGCCAAGGCCTCTTCCCAGCCTCCTAAAAGAAGAGGTCTGAGGTCCAGGCCTTGTTCTGCCCTGGAAGTGGGGAGGAGAGGCCCTGCCACCTGCACACTTTGCAAAGAACAGCAGCCCCCCAAGAAGGGGCTGGCAGAGCAATCCTGAGGGGTGAAGACCCTCAGCCCGGACAGACACATGGATACTTGGCTTGGCTCTGGAAATACCTGGCCCTAGATCCAGGGTTTCTTGGCACAAACACAGTTCATTTCAAGTCTCTTCTCTGGTCCAGCAAATTCCTGCTGCTCCCCAGTACTTCCGGGGATCTCCGTGTAGCAACCAAGACTGGGCTTGCTCCTGGTGATAAGATGACCCAGAGGCCTGGCTAGCAGCCCTACTGTGGGCAGCCCTGGGAAGAGGCTGAGGAGGCCAGAAGAGGGAGGAGAGTGGCTGGTGGAGGCAGGATGGCACTGAGGGCGCGCGTCCGGCTAGAGCTGTGCTTGTAGGGGTGGCATCAATGGTGCGGACAGGTGATGAGAGGCTTGGAGACCTCACTGGTGCCCCCGCAGGCCCAGTGCTCCTCTTCCAGTTAGTTGTGGGATGGCCAACAGCCCTGAGAAACTGAGGTGGAGACAGTGACCAAAACCCAGTGTCTCGGTGCATTTATCCATGCTGGATCCATTGTTAACAAAAAGAACTAAGGAAAAAAACCCTAACCCAAAATAAACCTGAACAGGTCCGAGAGTTCCTGCTGGAGGGAACTTTCTTAGCACTGGAGAAAACACCGCCCACAGAGAACCTTACCCCCACAGAACTGGAGTAAGATGATGAAGAAAAATGCAAGACGTATCTACAGGCCCTCCCGCCCCCCACGCATCCAGCCCCGGGATCCAGGAATACTGTGCCAGGAGTTACATTCCAAACGAGCAGGCGTCACTTTATTTTGCATGCCTGCAGCTCCCCACGCAGGGTGGCCTCCTGTCCGTGGACAGAGCGGGCCTGGCCGTGGCCCGCCCTCGTCAGTCTATCTTCACTGCTGCGTAGATCTTGCGGACAAACATGTAGGCTGCATAGAAGCCAATGGTGCCCGTGAGGAGCCAGAAGGACAGGACCATGAGGGCAGTGTAGCCAAAGTAGAGGAGAGAGGGAATGAACTCAACGATGTCCAGCTGAGGCACAAGTGGGAGAGAAGAGAAGGGTGGACGCTTAGTGGCAGCCTGCCGTGGCCAACTGCCCCCTCCCCCTCCTCATCGATCTCACGGCGAAGCTGCAGCCTGGTAGGAGAGGGGCTTGCTCCAGGTGGGCAATGAGGGGGAGGTGGCGCCCGCAGCCACAGTGAACCTTTTTCAATACCGGGGCCCACACATTGCCTTGGCTTCTCACAACCACGGTGGTAGGTTATCAGTATGTGTTATGCAAGGGCACATGGAGGTTAAACACCCACAGTCATACAGCTAGGAAGTAGAAAGAGCTGGGATTTGAACCTGGGGGTCAGAGGACTGGGAGTCAAAGGCTCAATTCATCTGACCTAGGCCATTTCTGGCTAGAGTAAGAGGGGGAAGGAGTCTTTCCAGGGAAGGGCCCACAAGCTCACTGCAAGACAGGGATAGTCTCAGAGGTGAGGGCCAGAGTGCAGCAGATGGGGACAGCCACAGCTGTGCCATCTCTCCACCCTCCACGGTCCCAGTACAGTGCAGTGACACTCCTGGAAGGCTGGAGCAGCAGACAGGGAATGTGAGACGAGAGAGGTGTTGAAGACGCCCGGCTTACGGAGCAGAGAGTCACCACCTGCCTGCACCAGGCTACGGTTCCCTCTTCCTCAATCGCTTCTGTCATTTTTTGTTAACATTTCATAGGGATTCCACCTTAGGCACTCTGTACAGTGCAGACGCCTGGGCGGGGAGGCCCAACGTCTGTGCTGTGGTGGAACCTTGGTATTGAGACCTGCCCGGCACACACGGGCCTGAGTGGGGCCCGTTCCAGGGCTCATGGGCGCACACATGGTCACAAAATGCCAAGAGCCCAGAAGAAAACAATAAACGTCACTGTTTTGAGACTTTCCCCCTGAGGTCAAACAGTCTCAGACTGGGGTGAAGCCCATGTTTTCAGGGTCAACCCCCATCTCTCCTTTTATAAACTTTCTTGTGGCTGGAAATAGAGTGTGGGTGACGGAGGTGGGTGTAGGGGACAGGGCAGTGGTATATCCAGTGGTAAAACCAGGAAAGGGATGAGGCAGAAAGGCAGCACTGGAAAGGGCCCTAGAATTCAGACCGGCCAAGGAAGGCACTGCGGATGGAGGAGGTTGTTAGAACAGAGAAGGACCGGGCAGGGGGCTGTTAGGACTCGTTTGCCTGCACTGTCTCCCGTCTCCCTCCCGCCCAGTGTTTGGGAGCATCCACTCGCCACTCTGCGGGGCTGGGGGTCCTAGGACAACACCTGAGCTAGTCGGCCAGTGCCCCGTCCTACTGGCCCTGAACAACAGCGAGGGATGGCAGGGAACCCGGGCCAGTAACAGTCTTCCCTGGGACTGATAACATGATGGCACGAGACAGATTCCTTTCACTCCCGCGCTACCAGGGGCCAACTTTCCACTTGGTGGAAAGATCCTGCCTGCAGACCGAAGCCAAGAAAACGCACACAGAACTGGGGCGTGGACACAGCGCCCCGCCCTTCTTAAACTTTCCGGTTATATCAGCCAGTATATTCCCTTTTCACTCAAGCCAAATGGAATTGGGTTTTGGTCACTTTCTACTCAAAACAGGTCTGATTTATGAGCTATAAAGGAGGGAAATTACCCATATTTCGCCATGTATAATGTGCACTGTTTTGCCCAAATTTTTTAGGGGAAAAATAAGGATGTCTATTATACTTTAGTACCTGAAATACCTTATATCTGATACCTTGTATCTGTGGTTGTGGTTTGTAATTATTTGTTACATAAAATTTTTTGTGCCATAATCTGTTAAAAAAAATGCCAAAGTTCCTTTATAATACAAAAACAAGCACCCAACTATAAATAAATAAGTGAGTGAACTAAAAAATTAAAACAAAAAATTATTTTCCTGGAAGTTTGGGCCAAAAACATGGGTAGGCATTATACACAGCAAAATATGGTAGATTTGTTCTGGAAGATTCCAGAATTCTACGGTCTGAAGACACAAGTTACTAGGAGGCAGGTTTCAGTGTGCATCAAGAAAACACCAGATAATGACAGGAGCTGCCCAAAGAGAGAACAGGAGTGTTGGGGGTGGGGGTGGGGTTCTTCTGTCACTGGATTTGCTAGGGCAGGGTCCGCAAACTTTTTCTTAAAGGGCCAGATTATAAATAGTTTAGGTTTTGCAGGCCATATGGTTTCTGCCTAACTACTCAACTCTGCCACAGTGGTATGAAACCCACCGTTATGTAAATGAAGGAGCACGGCTGGTTCCAATAAAACTTAATAAAAATAGGCCCCTGGGTTACAGTTTACTGACCCCTGATTACTTGTTGGAATCACTGGAAAAGAGGGGCACAGTCAGCACACCGGAAGCAGAGGTGCATTACCACACTAAATGATTCCTACAGCCCTTTCCAACCTGATCTGTTTGGGGAAGAACACTCCAGGCTTCAACCAACTGACCTATGACCCTAGTTTTGGAATACACCCTGGTTGCAAGCAGAGGACCATCTACTTTTGGGTTCTGGGGACCCAGAGCACAGCTGGTGAGACCAAGTCTGCTGTGTTAGCCTCAGAGGGGAGGGCCCGCCGGAGTGCCGAGCCTCCTCTCGGTGGCCCATTTGGTTGGTGTTATGCATCATTCTACCAAAGCTGTCGTGGGCTGTTTGCACTTTCACTCGGGCCACTGTGGGAGACAGAAAGCTCGTGAATGCCTGTACCCAAGTCGGGTGAGCCAAGCTCCCTTTCATGCGCCCACGTTACCTGTGTGGTCACACAGCATGGCCGACCCGAGACACTGGCGAAGCCCTGGCCCACCCTGTCCTTACTGTGAGGGCCTGAACGGAGCTTGAATGCACAAGGGAAGGGGCATCCAAGACAGGAGGCCCGAGGTCCCAAGTTTGGGTGTTAAAGGCTGTTTCATCATCTTTGTTAACTCTCCTTATTTACCTTCTTTATCCTCTCACGTTCTTTTTTTCTAGCTTCTTGAGATATTATCAGTGTCTCTTATTTCGTATTAAAAGCAGTGTAAGGTATTTTTTTCTTTAAGTATCCCTTTGGCTGTATCGCACAGGTTTTGCATGCAATATTCTTATGGGTATATATTCTGAAGGCTTCTGGCTCCCAAATATACAGAACACAGATTTCCTTTCCCTAAAAAGATGCATGTTCCAGAATAGAGACAGTTCTACTGTCACTGGTCCCCACAGTGATGGGATAGTAAGATCCAGATACTTGAGTTTTCCTCTCCACCACCCTTCCGAGGAAGGGCTAAGAAGCCTTGTGAACAAAATAAGGGCGGTACCTTGTTAACAAAATAAAAGATGGCGTAGACCAGGACATAGAATGCAGATCCCCCGGAGACCAGGAAATTCCTCCACCACCAGCGGTAATCCTGAGGAGGAAACAGAGGGGTCAGAACCTCTTCCCCAAGTTTTGCAGATGCCCCAGGGGCTAAAGACTCTGGGTGAGAACAGTAGTATTTGGGGTGATGGGAGTGTTTTATATCTGGACTGTAACTGGTGGTTTACAACTGTACATATTTTAAAAAACACACTAAAAGAGTGAACTTTACTGTTTATAAAATATACCTCAGTTTAAAAAAATCAACAACAAAAGAACAGTAGTAACGACAACTAACATGTTGTAAGCAAACGCTCCCCCACGTGCCAGGCACCGTTCTAAGTGCTGTACGTGAGTCAGGCCAGTTTCATCATTGCAGCGGCCCGCCGAGCCAGGTCCTACTGCTGTCCTCCCCACGTGAGGAAAGCACCGGGGTTAAGCAACTGCCAACCAAAGCTCCTAACGACCGAGTCCACTGAATAAATGGAGGCTCAGAGAGAGGAAGTGACCTCAAGACCTCACGGCCAGAAGGAGACCACACGGCAACTCAGCTTCACTGACCCATCAGTGTTGGACCCAGGCACCCTCCCAACTCCGGGCCCCACCCCCCTTACCTCTGCACACAGCTGAAAGTACACCATGACGATGCTGATCTGTGAGCAGGACACCACCAGGATGATGAAGACGAGGAACAGGAAGCCAAAGAGGTAATAGAACTGATTCTCCCAGATTGCCTGTGGACACATCACAGCTGGCCTTCAGCTAACCTGCCTCTACCCAGTGGCCCTGTCGCCTGACATACCCCGCCTGTCCTCAGGACACCATCATGGGGCCTGTGGGCCTGGCATGTGGCTCTGACTGGTCCCTCGTCCCTGGAGCAGAGGGTCAGCCAGGCTTAGAAAGTGGCTGGGGGCATGGCTGACCCTGCGATGGGTGGGCCCCAGAATGAACACGGCAGCCTGTAAAAAGTGACAAACCCCACCCCCATCCAAACGACACAGCAGCCACCACCACCCAGGGGCAGCCTACCACATGCCAAGCAAGCCACATGCTTTGTGGACATCTCCGCACGTGAACCTCTGAAAGTGTGGACTTTTACAGCTCAACAAGTTGAGGCTCAGTGCAGCTGGTGACTAGCCCAGGGTCATACAAAGGGAATTGAGGTGGCTTTCCTGGGAGGGCAGCCGACCCATCCTTTGACCCTTTTCCTCGGCAGGGTTGGGTGGGCAAGGGGATCTCAGCAAGGAGGGGCTGGGCCACTCCAGAGCAGTGAATACTTGTCCAGCGCTGACCTGGTGCCAGGCACTCTCTGTGCTGGGCACTGAGTTAGGTCAGAGAGACTCCAAAGGCTGGGAGGAGCCCTACTGCCAATTTTCACCTCTGCAGGCCTGGCGCCGGAGCAATCATCATCACGACACAGCAATGATGTTTTTTTTAACCTCAGTGGAGGACATTTTTTCCTTGCTTTTAGAGACAGAGTGAGAGAAGGAAGGGAAAAAAATATCGATGCAAGAGAAGCATCGAGCAGTTGCCTCCTGTACACACCTGGACCAGGGATCATACATGCCTGGACCAGAGACTGAGCCTGAAACTTAGGTATGTGCCCTGCCTGGGAACCGAACCTACAATCCTTTGGTTATGGACGATGCTCCGACCAACTGAGCCACAGCAGCCAGGGCCACAAGTACAACTTAACAAGCATTTTCTGAATGTCACCAGGTACTACTATGCCTTTATAGACATTATCACATTCCAACCTCACAATGGTCCTGACAAGTAGGCCTCATTCCCTGCCACTTTCCTGGGAGTTTTGAGTAACTCAAATAAAGATGTGGAGAAACTTGGAAATCAAAGCAGATGCAACAATATTAACAACAGTGGTGACTGAGTGCAGTATACCTGAGGCAGCTTCTCCTCACTGAGCCCTCCCACGCCCTATCTCATCCGACCTTCCAAGCCGTTCCGAGAGGCAGAACTATGACCCCATGTCAGAGAGGAAAGTGGGGGCTCCAAGAAGTTAAATGGCCCATTAAATCTCACGGGCAGTAAGAGGCAGGGCACCTAAGTAAAGGGGTAGGGAGCAGGCCGCGTGAATGAAGGCCGTGTGTGCGGAGGGGTGGGGAGCAGACAGCACTACTCACACTGAAGATGAAGAAGAGCTCGATGAACATGGCACCGAAGGGCAGAATCCCAGCCATGAGAATGCTGCGGCAGAACAGGAGGGTTAACAGTGAGGAGACTTGGCCGCAGGACGCCCGGGGCTCCCTCCCCGGCCAGCCTGACTGAGAAGGCTTACGGGGTGTGGTGGTTCTAATGCTCCCAGCACGCTTTTGCACCATGATAGCCTCCTGAGAGGTAAGCATCGTTCTCTCCATTTTACAGATGGGGGAACTGAGGCACAGATGGACAAGGTGACTCCCCCGTCCTGGTTGCTGGGCCACCACCAAATCTGCCAATAACTCAGACCTCTTTATCATGAAGGCTGTCAGAGCCAGCTGCGCTGGAGAACACCTGCCACAGTGTCCTCTGGTGGCGGGGTGGGGTGGGGGTGGGCAACCTTCTCCCATGTCTTCCTAAGGTGCAGTGCTGGCCTCACCCACTCCAGAAGGGCCCCGCTGGAGACTCACCCCACAAATCGGTTCATGTACCACCGCTGTTCGGGGATCTGCCGGGGAATCTGGTTGGTGCGCACGGGGTTGTCATACGGCTGCTTGCGGAAGCCAAAGTAGTAGCCCAGGTAGACGAGGGGCAGGGAGATCCCGAACCACATGCACAGCAGGGCCACCATGGTGGGAAAGGGCACCTGTGCGGGCACAGCACCAGGAGGGCCCATGAGGCCCTGATGCCCAGGCTGGTGGCTGTGCAGGGGGCCGGGGGACCTTCTGGGCTCCCAGGGAAGGAGGGGCACAGCAGGGCCACCATGGTGGGGAAGGTCCTGCAGACACACCCCCACAGGGTTCCTGGCCGGCACTCCTGGAGCTGACGGCAGCCTCGGGGAAAGGTGGAGTGAACACGGTGGGTTCCCTGGGCTGTGAAGGTGGAACCTCGGCGTCCCAAAGGCTGACACCCAGGGAGGGAGTGGGAAAAGGACAGGGAAGGGGGGATCTGAGAGCATGAGAGGAGAGAGCGGCCAAAATGAAGGGACATTCATTATGTGTCTGGTATGTTAGGGGAAGAAATAAAGGCCCCTGCACCACCGTGTGCTGCCCATTTTGTTAAAATAAACCCTCCTAGTATACTGCTAAGTAATGAAGCAGGCTGTAAGACTGCGCATCTGGAACTCCGTTTCAATAAAAACACCAGTAATTACATGTGTAAGTGACTAGAAAGACCTATTCCAGAAAGTTAACAGTATTTTCCCAGCTGAGCTATAAAAGATTAAAACGGATTTTTCATTTTTTTTAATGCACTTATTTCTTTTCTTTTTAAAAAAAATTTTATTTACTTATTTTTAGACAGAGGAGAAGAGAGGGAGGAAGAAAGGGAGAGAAACATCAGTGTGCAGTTGCCTCTTGCGCTCCCCACGTGGGGGACCTGGCCCACAACCCAGGCATGTGCCCTGCCTGGGAACTGAACCAGCAACCCTCTGCTTCGTAGTCTGGTGCTCAGCCCACTGAGCCACACCAGCCAGGGCTCATTTTCTTTTTCAGCCTTTTCTCTAAAGTAGTATGTTTTTATAAGAATCATGCAAAAAATAAATGAATTCATATATGTCAAGTATTTAGAACAGGACTTATTCCAAAGTAAGCACCACATAAATGTTTGTTATTCTTTTGTAATTTTAAATTACATAATTTGATTTTAAATAAATTAAAAAAAAAGGAAACTACTGAAAAACCACAGAGTGGAGATCTACACACATAAGTAGCATTTATCTCTGGGTGGTTGGATTATGGGTTATTTCTGACTTCTTTCTTAACTGCTCTGTACTTTCCAAAATTTCTACGAGTGTTTTGTAATGAGCAGTTCGTAATTGGGAGAGAAATGTTGAAAGAGAGCAGGAACACAGGTATAAGAAAGGAATTAAGAGGAAGAGCACAACCCGGTTTTCCTAGGGCAGCTCCCTGGACTACGGGGAAGAACCGGCCTCGGGCGGCCTGGACTGGAGCCTCACCCCGCACCTTTAGCGAGCACCTGCGGGTGGAGGGGAGGTGGCTCTACCTGCTGTGGCTGCAAAGGCCAAACGCCTGCCCCACCTCTACCTCGGCCTTACTAATGGGTCGAGACCCCCTCTCCTGACCCTCACCTGAGTTTGCAGCCCTGCTCAGTGAGACCTGGGCAGTGCTAACAAGGATGGGTCGGCAGGGCCTCCCTCTGAGGGCAGGACGACCCGCAGGGGCTGGTGCTGAAGCACAGGGACTCGCGGAGGACAGCCCCTTTTGGGTACTGACCTAAGAAACTCGTACCAGGCAGCTGTCCTCGGCTGGGACAAGGGGAAACTCCCCAGCTGGCCCCTGGCTGTGGAAACCTCCCGACAGAGAAGGAAGCTTTGGCGAGCTGTCTGAAAAAGCCCACAGGAAGGCCAGGGCTCGGGCCAAAAGATGGGCAGGGCGGGGGAAACCCCAGCTAGCCCTCCACCCCCCGGGGCTGGAAACAGAACTCTGAAGGCTGAGAAGAGAGGGGAACAGCAGGAAGTGAGCTGCGGGAGTGGGGCTGCGCACAGCAGGCCCTTCCTCGCTGGGGAGGGCACTTACCGCTCCTGATGAATGCTTTCCCCAGATGAAGCAATTCAGTATGAAGCAAATGCCGAAAACCACACCAGGGTACAGTGTCGCTGTCTGGAAGCAAGAAGGGCCAAGTTGGGGAGCTTCATATAGGGAGCTTCCACCTGTCTCAGTGGGGCCCCCACACTATAGGTTCTCAACCCGTCCCTCCTTGTCCTCGAGGACTCAAGAATCATCCCCCCCAGAAAGCAATCCTTGATCCCCAGACTGGGCAGGACTCCTGTTCTCTGCCCTCTCGGGTCAATGAACTGCCCCTTTCTTGCCCTCATTTCAGTTCGTAATTCCATATTGTTGTTAGCTAACCAATGTCCGCCTACCCCAGATGGGGAGAGTGTGCCCCTGTTCACCGATGTACTCCTAGACCTAGAATGCAGCAGTTGCTCCATAAATATTTGCTAAACAAGGAGTGAATTAATAAAACCTTTTTTTAATAGAGAGGGAAAGGGAGGGACAGAAACACTGATTGGTTGCCTCTCATATGCACCCCAACTAGGGACCGAACCTGCAACCCAGGCATGTGTCATGACCGGGCATCAACCCAGCAACCTCTCACTTTGCAGGACGATGCCCAACCAATGGAGCCACAGAGATCAGGATTAAATGAGTACAATTTCTACAAATCATTTATGCCTGGGTCCCAACCGAAACTGCCTAGACTGGTGGTTAAGCTTCAGTCGAGTCTTAGGGGCAGCAGGTGCTGAGCTGTACTTGCACCATTTCACCTCGTCCTCACTGTAGGCCTAGATGGGGACTGAGGACAAGAGGACATGGAGGCCCAACGATGTTAAATACAAACCCCCACAGTCAGTTAAGGGTGGAACAGGTTCAAACCTAGGCAAGCTGATTCTAGAACCCATGCTCCTGATCCCCGTGTTGTATTCTATTCAGCTAGAACCTCTTGGGCTGGGGCCCTGGCACATAGAACCAAAGTCCCAGAACTACAGTCGAGCCTCCTTTGCCACTGCAGCTGCCTCAGCACCCAGGGGGTGGGGGTCACTGACCATGATGCCTGAGGCCCTCTGCAGTCTGGTGCTCAACCCCCGGTGCCAGTGCCGTCTTTGGCCAGAGCCGCCCCACCCAGCGACTGGTCACTGCCCTGGCATGCTCCTGGGCCTGTGCGTGTAGTTAGCAACCCCTCAGGGTCTCCGCCTCCCAAGTGCTGATGCTGTACCAGAAACCTTTCTTGCTCAGTCTCTTTCCACACGGCCACGCCAGAGGCAGGTGCAACCATCCCCCATGGGAGAGATGGGAAAACTGAGGCTCAGAGGGCTGTTCAAGGTTACCAGCCAAGGAAAGAACAGAGCCGAGACTGGGTTCTAGGAGATCCCGGAACCTGAGAACTCCCTGTGGCCACTTTCGTCAATTTGAAACCCTTAAGGCCCAGCTCAAATGTCGTCTCCTCCCTTCCTGTATGTTCCTGTTTTACTCGGCCATGTAGTGGGGAATTCCTTGTCTGTCTTCCTGGCTGATATTTAGGGACTGGACACTGTGATAGATACCAGGGGTAGAACAGGGAAAAAGTTCCAAGAGGGAAGACAGACCCATAAATAGGAAATAACATACACGGTGCTACTTTAGGCACGAGGCTCTAGCAGGCTCCTCTGGGGCACGAAAGAGGACACAGAGAGAGGAAGGGGGAGGTCGGCTCCCAGAGGAGTGATGCTGGAACTAGTGAGAGTTAAAAAGTGAAGTGAGAGGGCGAGGGGGTGGCGTGCCCGGGCAGAGTCCACGGCAGAGGCTGGAGGAGAGGAGAGCAATCATCTCCCTGTGCTACTGCAGGCTGCAGCAGATGCCCACCTGTGCAGGAGTCAGAGCACCAGGGAAGGGCCAGAACCTTGCAGGGAGACCAGGGACGTCCAGGATAACCAAAGGATGAGGTGAGAGGCAAAAATGCCTAAACTTGGGCAAGAGTCCTAGAGATGGAGACGAGAGGGAATTCATGGACTATTTGGCAGAGAAATTCTCAACACTTAATACCTGGTGCTCCTGGTGGAGCATGAGGAAGTAGAAGAAGCAAAGGAAACTACCCAGGTGTGTGGACTGGGGGCCTGGGTAAATGACCATGTCACCAGGTGCAAGGAGCGGGCTTGGGGAAATAGAGACCAGGTCTGGTGTGAGACCCACTGGGAGATCCTGGAGGGCAGCTGGTGAGAGACCTCGCCAGGGAAGTCTCACCAGGGCAGGAGGCAGGCCTTTGCTCCTCTGCAGATCACACACAGCATCTTGAGAACATGCCTGATGTATCAAGAATCCTGGAACCTTTCTTGATTCTTCCAGAATAATCGCCATTATTTCCCTTCTATACTGAGGTTTTACTGCATGCCAGGGACGTGGGAGCCAGAGCTGAGATGGTCTGAGCTTAAACTGCACCCCACAGGCTTTCTAAATGATTTCAGAACACTGGGACTGAAGGCTTCTCCGAGTTCGGCACCAAGGGACTCCCTGGTTCTCTGAAGGCCTCACTTGCTCTTGGCTCAGGGCTCCCTGGGAGGTAGGGTCAGCTCCCGGCATCCTTTGATTTCTATGGCCTGACAGGGGATAGAGAGGGCAGCACTCCTGACCCTCAGGACACACTCTTCCCCGTCCATCCATGGTGCTGCTGCTCAACCCCTGGCCCGAGAACTCTCTCAGGGCCTGCCGACACTGCTCCTGAGGCGCCCAGGGAGAAGCTGCTCAGCTCCCCACCAGCACGGGGAGGAGGTCGAGGACACTTACACAGAAGGCTCCTTTCTTCCACCGATGGCCTTTTAGAGTGCGGTACAGACGGCCGGCAGAAAATCCACCGAAAACCCTGTGGGAAACGGCAGGGACCCACACCAAGGGACCTGGTTAGCTGGAGCACAGCTGTTGTGTGCCAGCCCCTGGAGCCCGCCTAGACACACCTACCCCATGAACATGAAGAGGAAGCAGGCTGTGGTCATGAGAGCTCCCCGGCTGGAGGGCGACAGCATCCCAAGCATGGCCACAACTATGGAGGGAGGGGAGAGAGGATAGAGTTGGGATGGCTGGTCACTGCAAGCCCAGTCCCCCATACTGGTTGGCTGACATGACCTTGGGCAGATGAGACAAAATAAGTATACCCGCGCTCTCTACAGGAGAAGACTGGGTCTTAGCTGGGGTTCAGAGGGTGCAGCAGCTGCTGGGCCTTGGCTGGCGGCATCTTAACTGAAGCTTCCAGCCCACAGGGCACTTGCAACCAACCAGGCACTGAGCTTAGAGCTTTACGAATGCCAGCTCACTGAATCTACCTTACCAACCCTAAGGTGGAGGTTAATTTCCCCATTTCTTAGATGGGAAAACTGACACTCACAGAAGTTAAGGTCACAAAGCTTGGAGCTGATACAAACTTAAGCAGATTAGTTGCTACCAGCTTAGATCTTAACATCTTATCACACATCCATACACAAATTGGAACTATGTGAGGTGACAAATGTTAACTGAAATTATTGCAGACTGACTTCAGAACTGTTTGTAACTACTATATATTAGTTTTTGGAGGGCTGTTATTGAGAAAAAAAGATCTGATTCCAGCCCTCATCCTGGTGCTGACTTGGTAAATCACTTAATGCCTGATGGCAAAAGGAAGCCAGCCTCACAGCACTGACGAGTGGCCTCACCAACCGAGTGGACGTGGTGGGCTATCAACAGTGCTGGGAAGCTCGGAGGAGCATCGGACTGCCAGGGCCCGGGCTGAGAGGACCCAGACTCTGCCGAGACGGGCAGCCCAGAGTTGCCAACATGCCCCCGTTCTCCGGGAAGGAAGGCCCGCCCTCTCCAGACACAGGACCGGGTGACAGCTTCCCACCCCGAGCCCAGCCTGCCAGGCCCACTCACAGATGACGATGAGGATCATACAGAAGAGCTGAATGCCTGAGCCCAGCAGGGAGCTGAGGATCATGGGGTACTGGGGGGGCCTGAAGACATCGCCATGCACCAGCTTCCACCCCGACTCTTCCATGGTGTCTTCCTACAGCAAAGGGCCAGAAAGTGAGGCTGCTGCTTTGGCTCTGGAGAAGTCAGCTCCCGCAGGGACCACCCAAGGGCACACTCTAACTAGGGTGGAGGGTTCCTCAGGTGTCAGTCAGCTCTGCTCTGACACAGAAGTGTTAAGTGACACAATGAAGACAATAAAGTGCTTCCCAGAGAGCTGTCACATGGGACAAGGAGGGTACAAACATGAGACTTACAGCTACATAAAATCTCCTCTCCAAATCTAAAGCATGGAAAAATAATGTAAACATCAACATACTAAATGCTAACTATGATTGTTTTTGGGTGGTGAGATTTAGAAGCGATATTTATTTTCCTGCCCTGAGGACATTTTTTCATTGTTTGTTTAGAAAGAGAGGAGGGGACGAAGGTAGAGAAGCAGACATTGGTGTGAGAGAGAAACATTGACTGGTTGCCTTTTGAATGCTCCCCGACCAGGGACTGGACCCACAACCTGGGCATGTGCCTGGACTGGGAATCACAACCATGACCTTTCAGCCTGTGGGATGATGCCCAAGCAACTTAGCCACACTGGCCAAGGTGAAGCAATTGATATTTTTAATGGTTATAAAAATAATATGTGCTATAATTGTATAATAAAAAAGTTTTAAAAAACCGGTATATAGAATGATATTCAAATGATCAAAAAGTAATAAATGTTTACTCTAGAAATTTTTTAAAAAATCTAGAAATACTGCCTTGGCTGGTATGGCTCAGTGGATTGGGCACCGGCCTGCAAACCAAAAGGTCACTGGTTTGATTCCCAGTCAGGGCACACGCCTGGGTTGTGGGCCAGGTCCCCAGTTGGGGGCGAGCAAGAGGCAATGAATCAATGTTTCTCTCCCTGTCTTGCTCCCTTTTCTCTGAAAATAAATAAATAAAATTTTTAAAAGTATCTAGAAAAACTGAACAAGATATAAAATGCGTAAGTACTGAAAGAGTTCAAAAATATATAGAAAGTTAAATGATTTATATACAATGACAGCACTGTTTTATTTCCTTTAGTCCTTTCTGTATGTCTACGTGTACATGTATACATAACTCATCAACAGTGAAATTGGGATACTGACTATGCACTTGTTATTTTCAGGGGATGTTTGATTGTGAACATTTCCTCATGCCAATAAACACTCCCTAGAAGTACTATTTTAATGTCTGCACACTTTTCCATTGTGCAGCTATACCATAATATAACCAATCATCATTATAAAATACTAGACAATAACCAGTATACTTAAATTATAAATAAAGCTGCAATAAATATATCTAGACCAGGTCTTTGTGTTTCTGACACTTTCCTTAGGAAAATTCTAAAAGGATTACCGGGTCCAAACAAGCTGACTATTACAGTATGTGCTGTACTGTATGTACCGCCAATGATTACTTTTCAGAAAACTACCCCTTTACACCTGCGTGGGTAGCAGAGAAGGGTGCTTATCGCGTGTCAACTTGCCCAAAACCAGTTCCACACGAAGACAAAAATCTGTGCTATCTTTAAGGTCCGAAACTGCCTTCTCATGACTTTTCGAATCTGCAATTTTGGGGGTCATCTCTGAGGTAAAAGTGGTTTTTCATGTTTCCTAGCCATATACAGTTCCTGCTCAAATTCTTTGTTCATCTCACAGTATAGATTGTAGACTGAAAAATATATTTTATACCAATTCTTTTAACTGTATAATCTTTTATCGTAGTTTTAAAATATTTAATGTCAAATTCATCAAGTTTTTTTTTCTATGATTTCTTTCACTGTTTTATACTTAGAAATTAGAAAGCTTATCTTCATCCTTCTGGGTCATTAAACTTTTTTTTTCCCCGTTAAACATCTTTAAGGTTAACTACGTAAATCATCTTTCACACACACACACACACACACACACACACCCCAGGCCTACAGCCCTACAGCCCCACTGCTGCCTGCCCTCCCTCTCCCAGCCCACCCCTCCCCAGCCAAGACCTCGTACAATGTCATCCTCTTTGTTATAGTTGGCGATGTCCTTCCGGAGGGTCCGAATGATGATCATGCTCAGGATGCCTGGAACGAACAGGAGTGGCAGAGTCATCGGCATCGCCCACCCAGTCTTCTGTGCTACACGCCCCCCTGGGACTGGGGTCTCACTGAGGGATGATGTCTCCCTCCAGTGAAAACTGGCTGTGCAGCCTCGGATCCACTCCTGGGCATAGCTCTACTCTGGCTACTCCAGCAGGGGTGCACTAAGGGCTACCCCCAGGCAGGCAAAACGTTGCTGGGATTGGCACAGGAAGCCAGAGAACACTGCTTTTTATTCCAGGGAGAACAGCATCCCAGCTACTCCGTGGCCTGGTCCTACCAGTTTCTCCAGCCTCCCCTCCTCCCAGGCCCCCCCCCCCGCCCCACCCCGTTCTTCACTGCTCTCGTTATCGGTTCCCGGCTGCATCGCTCTCTCACCTCCACGCCTTTACCCAGGCTCTCCTTTGCCTGGAATGCCCCACTCTGTGTGACTGACCCCTACTCGAGCCTTAAGACTCACCCCAGGCATCTTTGCCTTTCAACACCCCAACCAGTTCAGAGGCGCCCCCGCTTGGATTTCCACAGCACCATTTACCTCTTCAGGCAGCACAGGGCACTGGTTACAACAATGGGTTGTGTGACTCTGAACTAACCTACTCATGGGACTTCAAGGACTGACATGCTTGTAAAGTGCCTATTAGCACAGCAGCTGGGCCCTGGGTTAAATGTTTATTACATTAAACAGTAACCAGTATTACCTTTACTTCTCACATGATACTGAATGGTCAGTTTCATTTCGCCTCTACTCACCACCCGCCCGCCGTCCTACTGCAGGGCAGTGACGGGCCCCTGCTGGGCCAGCCTTTCCCTGGTCTTCACAGGGTGGCTCCCCCTCAGAGAAGCGTTCTCTAAAGCAGCCTTCACCTTTTCCTCACGGCTGTGTATCTGGTCACCTTGCTTACCTGCTTCATAGCACTGATCACTGTTTCTTTGCTTTTTTCCTCTCCCCCACCAGCAGAATACAGACTCTGAGGGCAGCAACTGGGTTGCGTCTGCTCACCACCATATCCCCAGCATGTGGCACGGCGCCCTCAGAAAATGTGCAGCAACAAAGTCTTGTTGACTGACTGTGTGCATGAGAGGTGTCCACATCCCCTAGGAGCTCTCCAGAGTCGTGACCAAATATTACTCACCTTTGTGTACCTGATGCTTAGCTCTGTGTACACAGAGCCCTGAGGGCTGTTCTTGTACATGCTTGGCCCCAAGAACCACCGAGAAGTGGGTGGGTAAGTGATGTGACGCCTCAGCCCCTTATCCCTCATCCCCTTGTCCTCTCCACCCCCAACCCACAGTCTCTTACCTGATAGGAAGAAGACCACGACTACGGAGTTAATGATAGAAAACCAGTGGATCTGCACGTCACTCATGGTCAGGTAGGTGTCCCAGCGAGAGGCCCATTTGATGTCACTTTCCTGGTGGGGGGAGCAAGCACTTAAGAGCCCTGCTAGACCATTCCTGCCCAGACCAGAACCCTCCTCCCCTGCTGGGGGCTTCAGCCCTTTCTCACCTCCCAGTGCACAGAGTAGGTGAAGTACAGCTGATTTTCCTTGTTGGGGTCAATTTCTTGGGGCGAGGAGCTGGTACCCTCAGGCAGGGTGCATGAACTCTTCTCATCTATTTTGAGGTCTGTGAGAGACAGAGAGTCAGTCTGTTCCTGTGGGGGCCACTGCTGCTACCCCGGGGCTGTTCTGCAGAGCGCCTTCGGAAGCGGCCTGAGGGGAAGGCATGCTGCTGGGCCCCAGGGTCTGAGTGCAGGCTGGGAGAACAGCTCCCCAGGGTCCTGACCTTCCAAAGGGCCTTAGGGGCTGCAGAGATGGGTGTGTGTGGGGAGGGGTCTCAGCCCCTCCTTTAATCAACCCACCTTCTTTCACTCAATTCAAACATTCATCTCCCATTCCACCAGTCCCATTCAACATGCGGAACAACACGGACTCATCCTATCGATGTTTACTCATTCCCTGAGTCTCCAAACTTCTGGCTCTTCAGTTATCCTGTTATCTGCCCATTTGCTCAACCAAAAAACATACCGTAAGCACCTACTCTGTCCCAGATACTGTGCTAGAGATAAAATGATGGGAAAAGCAAAGTGTCCAACCTCAAAGAGCCAGTGGGAGAGAGACAATGACCAAAGCATCACACAGGAGCTGCAAAGCTGTGCTCGTGACACTCACAGAGGAGAGGCAGTGTGAGGCTCTGAAAGCAGAGGATGTTTACACAAGACTTCTATGATTCTGTTTGAAAACTAGGTTCCACAGCTTCAAAACAAACCAAGAAGCCCACGCCCTGAAACCTACAACTACTGTGGACAAGCCCACGCCCTGAAACCTACAACTACTGTGGACAAAGCGCCAGGCCTCCTCAATCCAAGGGCGCTCTGTGGTAAGCAAGTGCTGACAGGAGGTCAGACCAGGCCTGCTGACCCGGGGCCAATTTCGGTCTACACCAATCACGCACACAGAGGATGAGAAACACAGAAGCTGGCTGCCTGAGAACTCTGTCTGTGTGTTGCCCCATTTTCTTCAAACGAGGGGGAGATGGCCTGTTCTTATGAGGCCCAGGCAAGCCTCAAGTGGCTATTTGGTCTCGGCCAAGCCAGCAACCTCTTGGAGCCTCTGCTTCCTCATCTATAATCACCAGTACATCAGGGGGCTGCCAGAGGTAGTAAACTGGTAAGGCGCTGGGCCAGGATACAAGAGATGTCAGTTCTCCCCGTCCCCGGCTTCTCTAATGGGAATGCAGTGAGACCCTACCTCGGCTGGCTCCATCTGCCTCACTGGGGCCGATGAGCCATTTGAGGAATCAGGTGTGAGAAGACCCTGGGTGTGGAAGCCCAGGCCCATCCACCAGCCCTGCCCCTCTGGTCACACCTCCCCACTCACCCTCCAGCCTGATGCTCTGGGGAATCACCTCGAAGCGGACGACACGGTATGTGTGCTCTTGGTCCTCCTCCAGGTCCTCTCGGTGGTAGTAAAGGATGAAGGAGAGGTGGTTGTGCAGGTAGATCTAAAACCGACCGACAGAGAAACCAAGGTAAGGAGGAGCCGAGAAACCACCAGAAATCCACTCTGGCAGCCCACCCCAGGTGTCAAGGAACTCCCCTCATCTAACAGACCGGCTGTCCCAACCGTCCAAAAGCAATGCTCTCGCAGCTGCCTGTTCTCGGACGCCTGCCAGGGCTCCCTAGGGTTTTCCAGGCAACAGTCCATCTCCAGGCCTGGCATTCGGAGCCTTCCATCACCTGACTGTCATCACCTTCTAAGACACATTGGGTCACCCTGTCTCCCCGAGCTGCTCCCTGCCCCACGAACAGTCCCCACACTGCAGCCTTGTTCACGGCATTCACTCCCATCGGAGTGCTGCCCTGACTTTGCTGAGCTCAGGCCCACCTGTCTATAAGGCCCACGTCCTGGGAGGAAGCCTGAACGCAGGCCGAGCATCCCAGCTACTCCACCGGCACTGACAGCCACAGCAGTGGCATGGTCAGAGAATGGCACGGGGCTTAAGGGGCAGGGTCTCACACTGGCAGTTCTCTTCCTAATTAGGACAGAAGCCCTCTGAGGACAGGAGCTGTACCTCAATAGAGATGTTTTGTCCTTGGGTATTTTTGGAGGGTTTAGTCTCACACATGGGAATCTGATTTTTAGGGACTGTGCCTTCCACCTGCCAGAGCCTCGTCCAAGGCCTAGAGGAAGCTGCCTCGGCCAGCCCCAACTTTTCTATTGACATGATAAGCCTAGAGCTTAATATTTCCCTCTCCTTTGTGGTTCTGACCGCTCGTGACTTTGGAGTGAGGCTTCCCCGGCCCTCTGAGCACCCCCAGACCCTCTACCTTGTTGCCATCTGTGAAGCCAAGCCGGTAGCCATGTTCAAACTGCACGTCTTTTTCCTTCTTCTTGTCGTCACCGTCGCGGCTGGAATAGAGCTCCAGCCGGGTGGCCACAGGCAGGTTGTCGGCAATGCTGGAGGACCCAGGAACTCACTCAGTCCTCTGAACCACCTCCCCCATCGGGGCCCTCCCCAGTGGGACCCGAGGCTGGCAGGGAGCAGAGGACGCCTTACAGGTGGACATAGTAGTCCTCCGTGATCCGCTCTGCCACGAGCCGGCTCTTTTCCCGGTTCAGCATCACTGGCTTGTTGGACTCGCTGCACAGAACCTCACACTTCTTTTCGCTGTTCATGAGAACCTGGAAAGGGGTGTTGACAATCCGGTCCCCTCTCAGCACCTCTCCTGCCATAAGAGAGACAGATGGAGCTCAGAGCTTCAGCCCTGAGGTTGCTGAGGTCAGGAGAGCCACAGAGACCCAGGGCTGACTTGCAGGGCCATCGCCACCTGTTTGGGCTCCGCTGGGCCTTTGACTCCCACCCGTTGGCCTCTCCTCCCTTTCTGTGCCCTGGCACCACCAGACTCTCTCATCAAACAGACCATCTCATTCCGCGCGTCTGGGCCTCAGGTTGCTTCCTCTGCCTTGGAGTGCCACTACCTGGCCCCGGTTTCTGAGAAGCTCCTCCTCAGATGTCCAGCTCAGCGCCCCTTTCACCCTGGGAAGCCCGTCCTGACTTCTTCAGGACAAAGCTCATCGCTCCCTCCTCTGCCTTCCCTCTGCACCAAGGAAGCATCACAGAGGCGGCTCTGCCACCTGGGAGGTAGGTAAGTCATTTAACCTCACTGGGCCCTGATTTCCTCATCTGTAAAATGGGGATAACAGCACCCGCCTCACCAGATTACAGTGAGAAATAAAGTACCAGTCACAGAGTAGGCAGGCAACAAAGACTATTTTTTAAAAATACTTTATTAATTTATTTTTAGAGAGAGGGGAAGAGAGGTGGAAAGAGAGAGAAACATAGATGTGAGAGATAAACATCAATCAGTTGACTCATACACACCCCGATGGCAACCCAGGCATGTGCCCCGACCAGGAATAGCACCAGTGGCCTCTTGCTTTGCGGAATGACGCCCAGACAACTGAGCCACACCGGTCAGGGCAACAAATATTATTTTCATCATCAGCATCATCTCTGTGCCTTTTCTTATGTCAATAATGTGACTCTGCACAGTGTTACTACATTAAGTTTCTGTCTCCCCTGACTATGAGTTTTTTTTTAGGGCAGACAGTGTTTCTTATTTATCTCTGTGTCTTTAGATCCTGATTTAGTCAAGGAAGGGAGTGGGGTAAAACCAGTACCTGAGATTTTCAGCTAAAGCATCTATTTACTTAATGAATGGCACGGCCCTCGCATGCCTGCTTCTGAGGAACCTGCTGCCAGATGTCATGCTCACAGGCACCAGGCAGCTGGGGATTGTTAGCTGAACCCAATGGTGTTTTTGTTCTGAGTCACTCTAACAATGCTGTTGTGATGATGCGCAACGGGACAAGCCAAAGGAGACAAACTGAAAAAGGCCAACGGGCAGGACTAACACTTGCCAACCAGCGTGGACCTCGTTGATGTGGCTCTCTCCGCCTAGTCACTTACATGCTCGTTCATTTCCAAATAGATACTGGACACTGGCTATGTCCTAGGCCATAAAGATAGAATATTGAACAGACATACACATGAGGCTTATGGTCTCATGGGAAGAAGAACTTTGATTAAATATTCAGAATAATGAGAACATACTGTACAAGAGGAACTTGCTCTAGACGTGGGGGAATGGGTCTAGGAAAGTTTCTCTGAGGAAGTGATGCTTGAAATGAACTATAAAGGAAGAGAAGCATTAACTAGGTAAAGAGATAAGGGAAGAATATTCTAGACAGATGGAACAGAATGTGCAAAGGCCCCTTAAGGGTGAGGGAAGCAAGGTAAAATTGAGAGGCCTGGGGGGCTGCCATGCAGAGAGCAACGTGAGGCAAGCTGGAGAGGTGGGCTGGACCTGGGTCTCAGGGACTGGGAGCCACACTGAAGTTGGGACTTACCCAGAGAGCGACAAAAGCCAACGAAAGGTTTCTAGCAGAGCTAGAGAAAAACGCTGTCTGATTCTGGTTACAGAAAACTCTCCCTGGATGTTTTGTGAAGAAAACACAGAAAATGCAAGGGATGATGGCAGTCTGTCACGCAAGTGAGCAACGACAGTGGCTGGACGGGAGGGTGTGATGAGGGTGGCAACAAGTGCACAGATCCAACGCTACCAAGGAGGTGAAATCTGGGGGACCAGGTCCTGACTGATGAGTGAGGAGTGGTGCACACTGGGAAGACAGGAAGCACAGCAAATCTAGGCTGAAGGCAGTTTTTCAGCTTGCCAAGCCTGACCTCATGTATTGGAATGGAGTTAGTTACCCAGATAGAAGGCTCAGAAGAGGTTACACTGATGGAAACTGTGAGTGGTTATATATAGACGGCAGGGTCACAAGCTCAGGAAGAACATACAGAGAGAGGAACAGGGCTGCAGTCCAAGTGCGATGGGTATCACTTCTTGATATTTAGAAATTAAATTTAAACCAAGAAAGAGAACATACTGGTCGGGAATGGCTCATTTCTAATACGGAAGTATTCCTTCTAACTTTAAAACTGCGAGCAGGTAGCCAGCCAGGCTAAAAGGGCTATAAGCTGTGAACGTGGACCCTCCAAGAGAGTGTGAGGTGGTCCTTCAGCACACCTGCTGCAGATGCTCCAACACGACCCCCGCCCACCCAGAGAGGAAGCTCCCAGTGTGCAGATGGTCATGAGTAGAGCTCTCAGACCACCCAGTCATGCCTTTCTGGGAAGGCAGCCTGGGACAAAAGAAAGAATGTGGCTTTAGAGTTAAAAAAAAACAACAACTTGGGCTAATACCTCAATTTCTCTACCAACCGGACACGTGACCCTGAGCAAGTCTTTCTGAGCCTGAAAGCTGCCATCCCCTTTCCTATGACACAGGGCAATTATATTTGGTTCTGCAGTTACTACAGGAATCAACTAAGATCACGTGCAGAGTAAAGTGCTTAAGGCTATGGCCAGAGTTCCTGCATTCTGTCACTGCTAGGTGAGTGACCTGGGGCAAGTAACTTCACCTCTTTGTGCCTCAGTCTCCTTATCTATGATTACGGGCTGGTAAGAGTAGCTCTGTGATAGGTCTGTTGTGAGAATTAACTAAGTTAAAGCACTGAACTGTTTAGAAGAGTGCCTGACTCAAAGGAAAAGCCCGGCAAGCATTAACGGTGATGATGATGATAATGTATAGAGTACAAGGCTTACAATGCAACAGACATTCAATCAAGGATGTTTCTGCTCCACTCATTAGGACACTGATACTGAACGTCTACTGTGTGTTAGGCACTGGGTCAGACAAGGGTGGTGGGGTGGTGGTGGGGGCGTGGGGGGTAATAAGATATGATCCCTCTGTTCAGAGAGCCCCTAGGCCATGAAAGGAGGCACTACACAAAGACAGAATGAGATAATATATGGCAGGCTAACTCTTGTACACAGAAGTTGCTATTCCTAGCAGGCAGGACCATTTCCCCAGCTTCATGGAAAATGCGGCAGAAGCTCAGAAAGGTTAAGGGTCACCTGGTATCACACTGAAGTGTGTCCAACTGCAGAGCCTTGGGGTGCCAACGAATCCGCACCAGCTCACAGGGGAAGGGAGGGGCTGCTATGAGGGGCCTGGTGTCAGGAAGCCTGGCGATCCAGCTGGTCAGGGGTCCCAGACAGACAGGCAAGGTGGCCAGAGCACGATATGGTGTGGAGAGAAAAGCCAAGGGCTAGTGGCAGGCAGCAGGAGGAGCCCAGATGGTCTGTGGAAGTCAGCCTAGGCCCCAAGACCAACTTCTGTTCAAGAGTATAAGGCAAGACTTTGAGTCAGGCGGTGCTGCCTGCTTTGGTTAAACTGGCTCCAAGGCCTGCCCCACACTCTTCTGGGGCTCCTAAAACCTGGCAGTAGACACACTTGACGGTGAGGGGTTCTGGAAACATCTGAGCCATGGGTAGCCCTGATGGAGAAGGCATTCCTTTCCGGGTTCTGCTCAAGAGCCAGTTCTCTCCCTTCTCCTTCCTGAGGCGTAAGAGAAGAGTTAAGTCTCTGAAGTTCTTTGAAGTCAGGGAGAGCATCTTTCTGTATTTTCATCTCCAGGCCTTAACGCTGAGACAGGCACAGAAATAAGCACTAACAGGTGTGTCCTGAATAGACGCCACCACGTCTTTTCCTTTAAGCCTGAAATTCTGACAAATAGACAGTTATTTTAATTAGAATAAAACAGCTGCTACATGTGGAACACTTGTGCCAGATGTTGCCCCGTGCGCCTCACACACCATTTGAGGTGAGTCGTGCGCAGCGTAACAAGAACTACGGCGCTGTCTCCTGCTTCCTTTAGGGCCAGGAGTGATCACTCCCTCTTTTAATTAAAAGTAGAGTGGGTTATAGAAACAAGAGAGAGAAAGGTATGATATTTAGCAATCAAGGGAGAACCAAGGGCTCCAAGTCTGAAGCCTACCTAGCTGATGCCAAGGCTAGCTCACACATCGATCCACGGTATAACCAGAGAAAAGTCACTTCACCTACAAAATGGGAATAAAAATAACAGCTACCTCCCTAGGGCAGTTCTGAGGGCTAAATAAACTAATATGTATGTAAACTTTGCAGAATGTACCCAACACATATTAAGTGTTACATAAAGGTTAACTGTCATCATCATCAGAAAAAGGTCTGGGTTTCCACTGGGACAGGCTGACAGCAGTGAGAGAGAAGAACTTACCCAGATTCTCTGCCTTGTAGGTTATTTTTAAGGGCTGGCAGAAGGGCAGTGAGTAGTACTCATAAGGTAGCTGGGTTCGAGAGCTGGTGAGCTTCACTGCCTGGTGGGAGAAGAGAGGCCATTATTTGCAATCCGGACTGTTTTAGTAACCCTCCCCGGTGCCTGCACATCTTTGGCACACTCGGTAATGTTGTCTAAGGGCAAACGAACTGCTACAGACACAACCGTAGCACACCATGTACTCTACTGCCCACGATCCTGAATTACTTCACACTTCACGGGTTTATGAGACTACATCACAGACTGTTTAAAGCCACAAACAAATTCGATATATACTAAGGGTTTTCAACATGCTGATATCCTTTGATCCTATTCATTTCACTCCTGGGCATCTTTCCTACAGAAATAACTCCAAATGAGGAAAACGTTTAGGAACGGAGATGTTCACTCCTTATTCACAATCACAACGGTCTCTGGCTCCCAGTTCCGTGAGCCCATCAGGTGGCTTGTAAACGATGCCCCAAATAAGCGTGATGTGTAGCAATCTGAAATTGTGATAATACCTCAAATTTGGTGGCAAACAAAGGGACACATACATGTGAAGGCCTGTCACGTGGATGGCCCTTTGTGACTCTGTCTTCTGCTTCTCCTTTTGAATGCTATGACACTCAGAACAGAATAAAAACCTGATTTTCACACAATCTCACTGCTTTATCTTTGCATTGAGCAGCAAAGATGTGGTTCACATCAACATGGTAACAAAGCAAGAAATACATTTATTTTAGGAGCAGAATTCAAATTTTAACTTTATAAGTTCTGCTAGCTCTTTTTATAGCATCACTAAGAATATGTACGATGACTCAAAAATTTCAACCACACGTTATTTTGTCTATGGGGTCTGATGGGGGTGTGAGAATGCCAAGTGTCCTACACTGTAAACACTGCACAGAAAAAAAAGACTAACAGACTGAAGTATTAAGAATGTGTACTTGGGCGATGGTAGAGGGGAGTCCCTTTAGGTGGGAACCTGTGTACAAGGTGACACCCCTCCCCTGGTGGCAGTCCATCTCCAATGTCTTGTTCATAAGGACAGAGAGAGCCGGTTCTCTTGCCTCAGTTTGGAGCCACTCTGAAGGGCCAGCCATTCCAGCTCCAGAATGTCCCACAGGCCTCAGCGGTACCACAGCCCAGTGTCCCCTGCGTCTAGTCCCACGTCCCTCACTCTCACCAAGCGGCCAACCCAGGAGTCTCCCCAACACATCTCTCACACCAAATCTCCACCTTTGAGTTTGTCTCCTAGGAAACCAGATCCAAGAAGATCTGCTACCAACCCCCAGCCCTGCCTGGGGCTCTGAGAATGCCACCAACAGTCCACTGTTTCAGAGACATGATCAAGAAGCCAGCCTGCCCACTGCCCAGGTCAACCACTTTCTTAGTGACTCCCTTCCGATCCCCACCCCCACCACATAAATGGGCACCCAGCCTGACAAGGGCAGGCAGCCCAGTCGGAAGGCTTCTCTCTGGATTCTGGCTGAGGGCAATGCTTCTTAAATCCTTGTCGTTCATGTACCAATTTGCCCTACCTACTTATCATTTATTCTACTGTTTACTTGGATCTGACTCATTTTCCAGTAAATACGTTTAAGAAGCAAACATTATATCAGTATTAAGACAGAAAATCAACAATGACAGCCATGAAATTATGAGTTGAAGTACTAGCTATATTTTCTAATATACATTGTAAAAAGTTATTAAAATAAATTTGTCAAGCCCCTAAAATCATCTCATATACCACCACCCAGATATGCAGCACACAGTTTACAGATAATGAAATGAAGACTCTAGCTGGTGGCAGAAGCTGAAATTGAAAAAAGAGGTCAGAATAGGCTGTATATGTACAGATGAGTTACACGGGAAGGCTGGTCAGAGAGGAAAGGGAGCAGATGAAAGAGCAAGGCAGTCGTCACAGAGGCAGCAGGCTGAGACAGACAAAGAAATGGAGACGGGGTGGGGTGGGGGGAGTAACACACGTGACAGTGAAAGTGAGAGGGAAACAGAGACGCAGAAACGAAGACACAGCCAGAGAGAGAGGGAGGGACACGGAGAGGACGCCCGCACACGGGCGGGGATGCGGGCTCCCGAGGGACTCGACTTGCAGCCTGCGCAGCACCCGCTGAACCCTCTTCGCCCAGCGCCCAGTCTAACTGGCACTGGTCCTCGTTCTCTGCAGCCACAGGAGGGGTGCAACCAGCTCGCTGTGGTCCTCCAGCTGCACTGGCCAGCACAGAGGCTCTGGCAGTCCAGAAAAACACTTACCTTGATTTCTACAGGGTCGTTCTGGTGGAAGTTCATTGGCGCGACCCCGGGGACATAGAAGGCTCTTGTTTCACAGGTGAGGGAGAGAAGGAGCAGAGACCACCGGAACCAATCCTGCTGGGAGAGAGATGCTAAGGTTGGAACGAGGGAAAGGAGTGAACATGCCCCTGGGGGCAGACCAAGTCATAGCACCTTTCTGTCTACTTTAACTGACCCAGTCTCGTCCCCACTCTGGGAAGCCCAAGGCCCTTCTAAGTGCTGCCTCCTAATCCCCTCAACAGTGCTACAGGAACCAGTTCTGCACTTCCAGACATAACAATACAATAAGTGAATTAATGAACTGGGGCAGAAGAGAAGACTAATACAGGAGCCACATTTCTGCACTTCTGAATCAATGTTCTTTTTTAAACTTCTTTTTTCTTAGATTCATTTATTTTTAGAGCGAGGGAAGGAAAGGGAGAGAAACATCACTGTGTGGTTGCCTCTCGAGTGCCCCCCACTGGAGACCAGGCCTGCAACCCAGGCATGTGCCCTGACTGGGAATCAAACCGGTGACCCTTTGGTTCACAGGCTGGCACTCAATCCACTGAGCCACACCAGCCAGGGCTGGATCAATGTTCTCTTAACCATTTCATACTGTATATAACTCTCCTGTAGAACTAGCTCCAGTGTTCCACTGATTCTCATTTCTCTGTATAGTAACAGGCTTGCTTTGCCAGGAAGCCCCTCCATTACCAATATATTTTCCTATGAGCCTTCTTCAAAGTTGCTGACCTCATCACTTCCCATTCTCCTCCTCACTCAGCTACAGCTGCACTGGCCGGCCTTCTGGTCTCTTGACAGCAAGCCTTCTGCACCCCCCGGGGCCACAGCCTTTCCTGCTCCCTCGGCCAGAATCCCCTTCCCTCAGACACCTCCATGGCTCATCTCATTCCTAGTTCATTCGAGTCTCCTCAATGTAACTTCCTCAAAGAAGCCTTTATTGACGATCCTAACTAAAATAGCAATCTCAAGGCTCCCACTACCCATTTCTCCATCTCCTAACTCCACTTCTCTTCACGGACTTGTCTGTTTGACTCATACAATATGTAATTGTTTCTTGTGTATCACCTGTCCCCTCCACTTGAATGTAATTTCTGTGGGGGGGGGGGGGGACTGAGTCTCCAGGACCCAGCATGGCAAAAGCACTGATTTATTATCAGTAAATAATCTGCATGCAGAGTAGTCACCTGGAGATCAAAGGCAAGAAAGATCAGGCCTCAGGAAATTCACCCCGTCAAAGAATTCTTCTCCCCCTTGAGGAACTAGAAGAGCTTCCTACTTCTCTCTGCCTGGTCTGAACAAGGAACTTTTGTCATCCACACTTGGATCACCAACTCGATCTTTTTTTCTTCTTCCTTTTTCTTGGTGTCTGTAACCAAATTTATCCCTGAGGCCCAGCAGAGGCGATCAGGGCCCATGAGTCACAGTGTTCCTGTGGCAGCCTTCTGGGCCAGTGCCGACCATGGGTGGGGCAGGCACCGAATTTGACACGGCTGCAGGCCGCCTCACTCTTGCTTCTGCACCTGCCTCCTCTCTCCACCCGTAACTGCAGCAGCGTTTCAGACCTTCGCTTCCTCCCGCCCGAACACTGGCTACAGCCCCCTGGTCGTTTGCCTCGGCAGCCCCTCCATCCTTCAAGTTACCCCCGAGCCCCCAACCCACACACGTGATGATTCTTTCTGAAACTTAGGAAGCAGAATCCCTCAGGGGCCTGGCACATACAGACTCATCTGCATTTTTACTAGGAGCTGAAGTTGGGAAAAATGGCTTTAATTAAAAGTTTGAGGTTCTGAGCTCAGCACACCTTTTTGTTTTTAAACAGATACCCAGATTGGTCCAAGTCTTAAAAACAATATATCCATACAACGTTTTCCCCAACGTGTTGTGAGCGTTGTATGTATCTGCCAACTGTTTTTTTTTTAAAGACTTTTATTTATTTATCTTTAGAGGGGAAGGGAAGGAGAGAGAAATATCGGTGTATGGTTGCCTCTCATGGGTCCCCTGCTGGGACCTGGCCTGCAACCCAGGCATGTACCCTGCGCCTGGGAATCAAACCGTGATCCTTTGGTTCGCAGGCCCATGCTCAATCCACTGAGCTACACCAGCCAGGGCTGTATCTGCCAACTAATGTTCATTACTAAATATGAGATAATAGTTTGACCCCAATAAAAAATAAAAAATGGCTAAGAGAGTTATATTGTATTTGATAGTTAGAAGGTCAGCAAAATTAGGGATGAGAGGGGGAAAATCTTTAAAGGAAATGACGAGACTAGAAAGTAGAAAATTGCCTAACGGGGCAGGATTCTGTATAGAAACACAGTATTCCCCGATCCCACCTCCATCCTTTAAAAAAAAATCTATTTTTAAATAAGTTCAAATTCACAGGAGAGCTGCAAAGGTACGACGACAGTTCCCATGTACCCTTCACCCAGTCTCCTCTGACGTGAACACCTGACACAATCATGAGTGAAGAAGCTTTTAATAAATAACTACCTTTAAAAAGTTTTGAGCCCTGGCCAGTGTGGCTCAGTTGGTTGGAGCATCCTCCCATAACCGAAAGGCTGTGGGTCTGATTCCCAGTCTGGGCAGGTACCTACCTAGCGAGTTCAATCCCCAGTCCAGGTTGCAGTCGTGTGTGACCCCCGCTCCGGTCCAGACACGGGCAATCCCCGGTCTGGGCACGTATGGGAGGCACCCAACTGATGCTTCTCTCTCGCATCGATGTCTCTCTCTCTCCCTTCCTCACTCTCTAAAACTAATAAAAAATGTCCTCAGGTGAGGATAAAAAAAAGCTCTGAAAAAGTAAAATCCCTACAAGTAAATAATTCAAACAGTAGAAATGGTACACCATGAAAAAGAAACCTTCCTCCCACTTCAGCTCCCCACAGACAACTGCTCTCACCAGCTGTCTCACCTGAAAACCCCTCCAGAGACACTCTGTGCATGCGCAGGGGGAACAGCTCAGTGTGCGGGTTTGTCTTGAACACAACAACAAACAGATCTTTATTCTTTCTTTCTGCGGTGGTGCCTTCTGACTGTGGCTGGTCACAGCATCTGATTTCCTCTTGATCAGAGGATTTCCTCCACTTGACTGGTCCCCAAAAGATTTGGGCTCCCTCTTTGGAGCCCTTTTTGCTGGGCCTCACTGGTCAGTCCTTAGAATGTAAGTGCTTCCTTCCCGTGAGAGCAATAAACCCTGTCCTCTTTTCTTCCTCTAATTCCTCTTTGTACTTGAATTCCAGTTAAATAAAATGTAAGGAAGACAAATCCTGGGGTACTGGCATAAACTGTCATTCAAAAGTTGTTTAATGTTTTTTAATTGATTGATTTGAGAGAGAGGGAGAGACGTGAGTTTGCTGTTCCAGTTAGCTGTGCTTTCACTGGTTGCTTCTTGTATGTGTCCTGACTGGAGATCAACCCCGCAACCATGGCGTATCAGGACAATGCTCTAACCAACTGAGCTACTCTGCCGAAGCCCAAAAGTTGTTTTAAAATAAAAATAACCCAACCCTGCATTTCTGAAAAAAGACGCAGAAAACAGACAACCCCGACTGGTGTAGCGCAGCTGGTTGGGCACAGCACAGCAAAGTGAAAGCTCCAGGGGTGGGGGTTTCAGTTTCAGTCCGGGCACGTGCCTGAGCTGTGGCTTCAGTCCGTAGTCAGACACATACAAGGGGCAACCGAAGGATGTTTCTCTCCCTCTCTTTCTCCCTCCCTTCCCCTCTCTCTGAAAATAAATACAATCTTAAAAAAAAACAACCCTCACACAAAGAAAGACCGACAAATCTCAAATCAATGTATCTTAGAGGAAGGACCAACAGATAAAAAACAGATGGCAAATATTCCCATAATATGCTTGATTCTCTGAATAACATAAATTGGCAACCAAAAGCATTTTAGAAGTTCACATTAGAATTCATGATTGCGCCAGGATGACACTGCCAGTTTTTTTATTTTTTAAAGATTTTATTTATTTACTTTTAGAGAGAGGGGAAGAAAGGAAGAAAGAGGAGAGAAACAACAATGTGTGAGAGCTGCACTGATCGGTTCCCTCTCACACACCCCCAACCAGGTGACATGGCCCGCAACCCAGGCATGTGCCCTGACTGGGGATTGAACCGACGACCCTTTGGTCCGAAGGCTGGCACTCAGTCCACAGAGCCACACCAGCCCTGGCAACACTGTCAGTTTTAGATACTAAATTGTCGTTAAAAAAAAGATTTTATTTATTTATTTTTAGAGAGAGGGGGAGGGACAGAGGGACAGTGAAAGAGAGAGAAACACTGCTGGATTGCCTCTCAGATGCACCCCAACTGGCGACTAAACACACAACCCAGGCAGGCGCCCTCAGGGAATCGAACCAGCAACCTTTCTGTTTTCAGGATGACGCTCAACCGAGCCACACCGGACAGGGCTAAAATGTCACTGTTCTGGTATTCTCACATGCTGGAAGGATTACAAACAAGAACACATCTAAGGAGCAACTTGGCACTCTGTACCAAAAGCCCCCCAAAAGTGCACTTTCCCCGTTGAATACGGTCACTTAGGCATCTGCCATCTCTCCAGCTGCACTGATCACTTATCTAGCTTTGTTGGCAGGGGTACTCAATTCTTATTGAACAAATTAATAAGCACAAACCAACTTCTGATCTATAAAACTATCCACTTACATAAAGGTTGAATACTGTGTTTTAATCTTTGCTGTATGCCTCTAGAATCTATTTTTTTTTAAGTCTCAAATTTATGGAGTTTTTAACACTTTCCACCATTCTACCTGTCCAAGGACCTACTGTCTTTACCATGTATAATGCACACTTTTTTGTCCTAATTTTTGAGAAAAAAATAAGGGTGCACATTCTACATGGGAATAATCATTCCATACCATGGGTATAATAATGGGCATAACAATCCCGCTTCACTGTGCAGGCACATTCTACATGGCAAAACACAGTAGTTTCAGAATCCCTAAGGATATCTACTATGCCTACACCCTATCTGTATGCAAAGAAGAATGATTCTCAATGCTGATGGTATCAGAATAATCTGGGGAGTAAATGGATTAAATTCCCAATCAAAAGTCATAGTGGCTGAAAAACAAACAAAACCCACCAAGATCCAGAGATATGCTGTATGTAAGATTCACTTTAGATCTAAAGACACATAAGGTTGAAAGTGAAGGTACAGAAAAAGATATTCTACGTAAATGGTAACAACAACAAAAAGCAGAGATGGCTCCTTATATCATACAAAATAGATATTCAGTAAAAAAAAAAAAAAAAAACCTGCCTAGAGACAAAGATCATTATATATAATGACAAAAGGGTCAATTCAATAGAAGATGTAACAATTAAAGATACATATACAACTAACATCAAAGCACCTAAACACATAAAGCAAATATGGACAGATCTGAAGGGGGAAATGGAAAACAATACAATAATAGTGGGGACTTCAATATTTTATTTACAATAATGGATAGAACAGCCACACAGAAAAATGAGTAAGAGCTGACTGGAACAACATGACAAACAAAAGGGACCTAGCAGATGCAATACCCGCCCCAATAGCAGAGTACATTTCTTCAAGTGCACGTGGAACGTTCCCCAGGAGAGATCACATGTCAGGTTACCAAACAAGCCTTAAATTTAGGACTGAAATCATTCCATGTATCTTTCCTGACCACAATGGAATGAAACTAGAAACCAGTAACAGCAAAAAACAGAAAAATCCACAAATACGTGAAAATTAAACAACACACTCTGGAACAGCCATTAGGTTAAAGAGGAAACCAAATGAGAATTTCTAAAGTACCTCAGAAAAAAGAAAATGAAAATACAACATACCAAAACTTACAGGGCACAATAAAAGCTGTACTAAGAGGGGAATTTATAGTGGTGAATGCCTACATTAAAAAGGAAATCTGAGTTCCTTCCGCCAATATGGAGGCATAGGTGGAGACGACGTGCTTTCTCCCACAACCAAGCTGAGAGACAACAAAATATTAGCAACAGAAAACACAGCCAGAACACAGAAAATTGAACTTTTCGGAAGTCTGATAACAACAAATTCTTCAGCCTGACCGGTAAGAGGGGCGAAGCCAGCAGCTGGTGGAGCAGGGTTGCACAGGAAAACTCGGTCAGACGGACTCAGGCGCGCGGATCCCAGGCGTGGGGTTGCAATGGGCGGACCCAGTGAGGGACTCAGTGAGCGACCCAGTGAGCGATCAGCATAGCCAGCGAGGGTGCAGGGCAGCGGGTTGACTGTGGTCCCGCATTCGTGTGCAGATAGACCAAGGAGAGAGTGGGCAGTAAGACAATGGGACTGAGCAGGCCCCAGTGGCGAGAGGCAGCAGAGAGGCAGCAGAGGGAATTGCCATTTCCCTGCTCTGACCCCACCCCCACATACAGCATCACAACCCAGCGACCTGGGTGGCCCCACCTTGGTAAACACCTAAGGCTCCACTCCTCATAATTAACAGGTGCAAACAGACCAAAAATG